AAAAAAAAAAAACACATCTTAGTAAAACCAATACCTTCTCAGCTTCGCATCGAAGCTAAAACACATAGTAAAATAATATTAATATGAATTTATTTTCACGAGAAAAGACTACAGTAATGGAATCTTTGATATTTATTGAAGTTATTGAATCTAAATGAGATAAAAATCAAATGGATTAACCACATTTTTTTTTAACTCAAAAAGAATTAAAAAAAAATTCAGTACCACAGTCGTGAAAGACCCAAGTGTTACCGTCTCAAAAACCGTACGTCTCATTCGTCACTTAAGCAAAATGGAAATTTAGCTAGTTCAAATTTTAAAGTTATTTTTCTCGACTTTAAAGAAACAAAAAAATTTAAATATGATTAATTTTTTATACTATGTCATTTAGATTGATATAATATTTATGAAAATCAGTGTAATCCCCTTATAATAAAATAATAACAAAACCTAGAATTTTAATAGAAAACTATAATATTTTTGAATACGGTAGCCATTTGTGCATAGAAGATAGGTCGTCGGGACAAATTTTTTTTTTCATTTTATAGTGCATAAAATAAGCTTTGATTTGATATATGTTTAAAGGACGCAGTATTTCCGGAATATTTTCAAAAATTAAGTTGAAAAAGTTAGTTTTTGTAAAAAAGTTGCTATTTTAAATCCCTTTTGTGAGCAGAATAAGTGTTAGATTTTCAAAAAAAATGATATCAAACGAAAGGAAATTACTTAGGGTTTCAATATAAAAAAATATTATTTTGATTTGTTAATATTTGCAAAAGTTATAGCAGTTTTAAGTACTGCTATAGAAGGTGATTTTTATCGCAAATATTACATTTTTTTTAAAATTTCGATAGCAATTTGCACATAGTAGATAAGGTTGGGTTAGATAGTACATAAAATAAGCTTTAATTTTATATATGTTTTAAAGACGCAGTATTTCCGGAACATTTTCAAAAGTTAAGTTGAAAAAGTTCTATTTTTTATACAATGTTTCAAGTTTTGAACACCCTGTATAAGGGGAAATTGTCCAATTTTAATAAAAAGCAAATATCAAATCAAAGATGTACTTAAAATGTATTTAGAAAAAAAAAATTTGTGCTGATATATACATTTTTCGAAAAGTTATAATATTTTAAAGTTGAAAATTTAAAATCGAAAATTTTAACACAAAAATACCATTTTTTTAACTACGGTAGCCATTTGCATGCAGAAGATAAAGTGTGCGGGACAAATGTCAGTGAGAGCTGAGAAAAAGTGGTAACTGACATAAAAAAAAAAAAACACATAGTAAAATTAATACCTTCTTAGCTTCGCATGGAAGCTAAAAGTGAAAAAAATGACGAACTTTACCGATTTTAAAAATTGTAATTTTATTGGAAATTTCCCCCATTTACGGGGAACGAGAGAATTTTTAAAGGTATTCAACAAGATACGATTTGTGATCTATTACGATAAAAATGCAAAAAAAAACAATTTTACTAATAAATTTACTGTAAATAGTAATTATAAAATTTCCTGAGTGCATATTAATCTTACAATACCATTTTTTTCTATTTACTTATGTCAATTTGAAATTTGCAAGTTGAGCTGAAAGTTATGGTAATAAATTCATTTTTTAGATTCAATGCGAAGCTGAGAACTTATTAATTGTACTATGTGTTTTTTTTTTTTATTTTTATTTTTTTTGTGTCTGTATACGGTCAATCTCAGCTCTCGCTGGATCGATTTTGATGAAAAATATGTCAAAAGATCTCAAATTGTATCTAGTCGAAGACATTACCCTCAAAATTTGAAAAAAATTCCCTCATTCCTCGTAAACGAGGGAAGTCCCCCAAAAAATTACAAATTTAAAAATCACTAATTTTCGACATTTTTTCAATTTTTTTTACTTAAAATCGCCATAACTTTTTTAAAAATGACCGAATCAATATAATTTTTTTTTATTGATACCTTAGGTATTTACCTATTATAAATGTATAGGTATTTACCTTTTATAAATGTATAGGTATTTACCTATACATTTAGGTATTAACCTATTATATATTTTTGTGAACATGAAGGGTTTCAAAATGGTAACTTTTTCAACTTAATTTTTGAAAATGTTCCGGAAAGACTAACACTTTTATATATACCTTAAATTAAAGCTAATGTAATATACTTTAATTTGAAAAAAAAAATTTGACCTCTGGACTTGTCTTCATAGTGAAAATGACTACCGTATGCAAAAATATGCTATTTTTGTGAAAAAATTCTTGATATTATATTTTACATTTTTTAACATTATGTTGCTATAACTTTTTAAAAAATGCATGAATCAACTCTATTCTTTAATGATAAATACTTTATATATACTTCTTTCATTCGACATACTTTTTTTTAAAATCGGACCATTTCCCTTTATACAGGGGGGGTGCAAACCTTTTAAAATGCGTATAGAAAGTTACATCAATGATACGTCAAATGACTATAATTCGTATCTAGTTGAAGATATTACCCTCAAAAATTGAAAAAAAATTCTAATTTACCAATTAAACAGTTAGTTATTCCATGTTCTCCATACAGACAATTAAAATCATTCATTTCTAATGTTTTCAAAGTATTTATTGACGAATTAAGTTTGATATGATAGGTTTCAAATACAAAATTAAATTATTTTACTTTATAATTTAATAACTTTTTTACTCTACTTGTATGTGCTACTACTAGACTATAATATTCCACATTTTTTGGTAACATGTTGCTATATAAATAATTTCTACAAAAAATTATTTTTAGTTTCTCCTGAATTAACAATGTATTTTTACAATTATAATCAAATTTTATTATACGCTCAAATAATTAAATCTTTTTAACAACTTTGTTTTTATTGGTTCATTTAGTTAAAGTAAATCATTCAAAATTAATTAAATTCTGAATATTTCAATTGCAGAATCTTTTTAAACACCAAAAGTTACTAGGAAATTATTACTATTACTTCTATTTAAGTTATCTATTACGATAAAAATGCAAAAAAATATTGAGTTACTCTGATAAATTCACTATAAATAGTAATTATAAAAATTCCTAACTCCATATTAATCTTAACGATACAATTATTATAATTCTCATAAAATTTTCTATTTAATGATGTCAATTTCAAACTTGCCAATTGAGCTAAAAGTTATGGTAAAATAAATTAATTTTTTTTATTATAAATATTCACAAAAATAAACTTTAAACGATTTAAAAAATCGGTTAAATGTGTTATTTTCCTTATTTTTAACATTTTTTTTTTTGTTCTTAATTACTTTTTTTTTATATATAAATACTTATTTTTTAATAATAAGTAATAATATTAAAACTTAGAAGTAATAGAAAAAGTTTAATTGCACATTTGAAAACTTGATTTAGAAAAGTATATTTTCGTTCTTGATGAAAATTCCTTGTAGTATAGTGTATTTATTCATAAGTAACAATATTTTTTTATTAAAAAGTATTGCATAAATCCCTTTAAATTTTTATACTCGTTAAAAGTATATGAATGTACAACTCCTTTTTATTTTTATAATATTTCCGTAAAAATTACAATATTATATTATTGAATATCAATTTCATACTAAATTTAATTATTATGTATTCATATATTATAATTATAAATCGGGATAAAATTAAGAGAATAAGAGTAATGGTTGCTTTTGAAATGATCTACCAATCTCTTAAAATTAAACACTATCTACAGATTTGCATCGAAGCGTTTCTAATGATAGTGATTTTAATCATTGTCAGATATCATCTATACTGGACCCAACTATGCTTCGTCCACACTGTGCCACGACCACTCCGTTTTTAATTATAAAATGAATTTGCATAATGATGTGTAACTATTTGTTACTGTAATGTTCTCTATTATAAATCTTTTTCTTATAAGAAAATTTTTTTTATGATTAAAGCATTACTTAGATTTATTTTAATCATTAGTGGGACAATTTGACGAGCTGGTATTTTTTTAAAAAAAGTCGTTAAGTAGGTTAATTGAAGGCATGGTGCAATAACATTAGATATGAAAAATTATTTGAATATAAATTTTACACAGGTACTATGTTGTCGAAAATTCTTAATGCAACTAATAAGTGATTATATATCATGGAGTTAAAGCTAAAATTGAAACTCTTAATATTTGATACATTCCAATGGAAATAAACATTTTTTTTATATTTTAACTTAAATTTTTTTAAGAATGTTTTTAGATTATTGTAACAGTACCTTTAGTTGATTAAAAGTATTTTAGAAAGCTCTAAAATGAAAATGTTAATACATGTATTAATATTGTTCCATGGTTAATAAATGTCATTCTAAATATTAAAAAATATATGTTACACATAATATGTTAGGAAACAGTAAATATATAACTTTATATAATCAAAATATTTTAATTCAACAAGTATATAATATATTTTATGCTACAGTGGTGGTAACCAATATTAATTTAAAAATTTAGTGCAAACTTCTTCATTGTAGATGTTAGTTGAGCAGTAACACAATCCATAAATATATTTTTGAAGCATCAGTAAGCAATAATATAATTGATTACTTTTAAAGCTTTATTTTTACAACAATAATCACCATATAAAATGTATTTCTAGTCAGTCTTAAGGCGTTTTAAATAAACAATTTAACTAAGTTAAAAACATAAAAAAAAGTTATATGTTAGTTTAGATTGAACTTTAAAATAAACTCATAAACAACAAAAATAAACCTTTAAATTTCATTATTGAAATTTTTTTACAAAAATATAACCTAAAAATTATTAATTACAATTAATAAAAATTCTTTTAAATAATTTTCAATGATACAAGTTTTGTATTGAAAAACTCTCACAATTGGTAGATTTTCAAAAGTTAACAATTTTCTTTCAGTCTTGCATTTGATTTTTCTTTTCAAAATACATCATCAATAGAAAAAAAAATTAATTTTTTAAGCTAAATTTCGATTGAATTTGATTTTTCTGTAAACATAAAAATTAGAAATTTATAAATGATTGATAATTTTTGCTATAATTTATTTTGTTCTTATCAATAAAATATTGATATTAAATAAGTGTTTGGTCTTAGGAAAAATGACTTGGTGATTTTTTAATTTATTATTATCAGTGTTGAATCATATTTAATACTATTTTTTTTATTGATTCTTTTTCCATATTAAAATCTATGTACATTGATATTATTAATACTCAGAAACTTTGTTTTTATAAATACGAAATACACACATAAATTATAATTTGAGATGTGATTGCAATATAATTCACTAACAAATCATACATCCTTGTTTATTTTTAAATGATTTTAATAAATATTGACTATAGTTTTAAAAATAATTTCTTGAGCTTAATATAAAAAGGTTCTCATTAAAATTTTTGTTAGAAAATTCACTATTTACCACAGTTTCATGTTAATTTAGAAGTAGTTTCAAAACAAATAAATTGAAATTAAATAACTACTTTATAAATTAAGTCTTAAGAACAATATTATTTCGAGAAAAAAATATTCCCATATTAACAACACTCACAATTTTCCGATGAATTAAAAATTTTAAGTTACTTACTAATCCCACTAACGATTTTTTACTTGTCCTTACTAATTGTTGTCTCTCTTTTGTTTTTCTTTTACTTTCTAAAAGCCTGTAAGTCAAGATAATGTATGTGTTATTTTGATTTTGTTTTACCAGTAAAGAGCAAATATAATAAACTAGCATTATTAGTAATATAAAAAAGTTAATTTAAAAAAAGTATAACTTTTAATTACTTTTCTTTCACAATTCGTTGTTGTTCCATATTCCAAAAGTCTTTGAAGTCTGTACAAAATGGTAACCATAATGGAAAAAAATCTTTTGGTGCAACATCATTAAGATTTTTACTATCTTTCGGTTGAAATTGATAGAATCGCATCAATTTAATAAAACTAAATATACCAATTAAATTTTTTATGAAAATTTGTTAAGATAATTTAATAATTTAAAATAAATGATATGATCCAACAACTTACAGTTTTTTACTTTCTTCTAAATTTTCCAATTCATTGTCCAACTGTCTTCGAGCTATAATTCATAATTTTATGTTACACGAATAATAAATAAATAAGTAATTTATAGTATAATTTAATACAAATTACAGATAAAATAATGTTATTAATACAATTTCGCGAATGTTAATTACAAGGATACTGAACGGAGAACAAATAAATACAACAAATAAGTAAATCTACTATTAAATCAATGATTAAACTAAATGAAATTATTTTATGTATTAAAGCCTGTAATTATAAATTATCGTTTGTCTATAATTTTGTTATATAATAATAAATATATAATAATTTTGTTTTGTCTATAATTCATTAAATAATACATTTTTCATAAGGTTAATAATTACCCATAGAAATAAATGATTCCATTTTAGATTTGAAAGGTTCTAAATTGTCTTCGGCAGATGAAGATATAACTTTATCAGTTTTCTTCTTACATCCTAAATATTTAAATTAATATATTTTAAAATAACTAAAACATATTTTTATTTATGTCTCTAACCTGCAAGTTTAATTTTCAAATCTTTTAAGCCTTGCTCTAAATCATCAAAAGTGACATGAGCTGCTCGATCTACATCACTAGGTTCTGGCACTGGAAGTGATACTTTCATTGGTTCGTTGCATTCAGAAATGTAAGTTCTTACAATAAAATGAAGTAAAGTCATCGAGTTATCTAATATATAAAAATCAATAAAGTATTACAAACAATAGATTTGTTAAAAGTTAGTTTTGCATCTTATTATAATTTATTTTTAAAAAACAACACCTTTACTCTTTACATCCCTCAACTTAGGCAAAATTTCCAAACCAAAACCATCTGCTTGACCACGTTGACGATTTCCACCATTCATATAGTTTCCCAATGCCAAAATGATGGCCAGCACTTTTTTCAAGCTTTCCGATGTTATTAAAAACTAAAACCGAAAGATAAATTGTGAGATAATAATTATTATCATATTTTTACAATATATATTATTACTCTTGATGTAGCTTTCATATTATTTAATTTACTAGCAATACTATTGAGTGCATCATTAAAGTCTGATTGAAATATTAAACAGGCTACTCGGTCGCCAAAATGTGGAATTTCACTAAGCTCAAGTAGAAACAGTTCGGGTTTATCTAATGGTTGTTCTGGATGAGATGACACGTGATCTTTTATCAAACGAAGTTCTTCTTCGGTTGCCGACTAAAAATAGAGTAAATTGAAAATAAATTAAAACAAGCACAAGGGGTATTTAAGGTTTAATCATGATAAAATACTTACCACTTCATATATTTGTTGTAAAACTTCAACACTAACCACTGAAGTATCAAAATTGTACAAAGCTAAAAATATCAAAATGAATTAAAAATACATGGTCATATACTTATTTATATTTATATTTACCATTTTCGATTTCAGAAAAATCTAAATGTAAACTCTGCGCTAAAATTCCCACATTTCGAGATCTTTTTGTATCTAAAATTTGTTTAAATTCCTGAAATAAAAAAACATATTTTTATAAAAATAAAAACATTTAAGATGTAATCAGTTATTCAAAATGTTAACTAACCTCAGATTTCTTTTTTTCTAAAACTTTTTTCTTGGAAACTTTAGGTTCGACTGCTTGACGAGAAAATAGCTGGGAAAATTCATTAATATTTGGTATAGGTGCTTCTTCTAAATCACTCCACAATGGTTTCAAGCTTTAAAAATTATTTAATTGAAATTTATCTATAGAGATAATATAAATATTTTAAATAACTTTCAAGTTTACCTATCGGGTGAATCAGGAGAAGATGGTGCATAGACTTCAATGTTAGGTTCTTTTACAATCACTCTTGTCCAATATAATGGTCTCATTGGTACCGGAGGGGTTATAGGTTTCTTACGTAGCACTAATAATATTAGTAAAAAGACAATATAATACGCTTTGTAAATACTTAATATTTTAACAACTTATTCCAATGTAATACTGACTGTTACGTTGAGCATTCCAACCACCGACCGGTGGTGCAGGAAACGGTGTTGGACCATTTAATGGCGGTGGAGGTGGTGGTGGAAGAGTATTATCTTTGATAGCACACGTCATAGATTGAGGAGGAGGTGGTGGAGGAGGTATTGAATTACCCTCAGATAGAATAGGAACTGGAGGTGGTGGTGGAGGTGGAATATTTTCATCATATATATGAGGAAGAGGAGGAGGAGGAGGGATATTTAATTCAAACAATGATGGCGGGGGAGGTGGTGGTGGTGGTAGCGGAGGAACATTATTAAGTAATGAAGTTGACAGAGAAAATTTTTTTGTATTACATGGTAATTGTGATTTATCCGGTGGTGGAGAACTCAAAATGACTACAGGTCCATTTGACGACAATAGGCCATTTTCGGTCATTGGAAGAGGGGGAGGTGGTGGTATTTTAATTTCCGATGATACAACTTGGTTTTCTCTACTTGAATTAGGTAGTGAATTTTCAGAAGAAGGCTTCATCAGTTTGACAGGTGAACTATTTTTATTAACTCCGGGCGTGTTGGGAGATGAATCTGTGTTATGCCCAATGGTACTTGTATCACTAGTGTCTAAATTTGGTGACATTTCAGCGATCACTATTTTTCTAATATTTGAGCTCACTGGAGTTGTTAATAAAGAGGTTCCGTGATGTTTAGTATCCTCTACGGTACCAGCAGGAGTGTAGTACAATGAGACATCGCCATTGTTAGGACTAGATGGCGGAGATACCTTAACACTCTGTTTAGGGGTTGATACGGGTGACCATTTATTGGGAGGGTTTTGGGCTTTTGAAACCTTATCATCAGGTGAATTTTCATTAGTGTGCTTTATTGGAATTTTTGAATCTTCAACTGATAAGTATGATAATTTTTCCGATAACGAAGTCAAAGATTTTTTACGTTTAATTGGAAAATTAATTGACGTGGGGCTTTTTGTAGGCGAGAACTTTGGTATGATGTTCTCAAAGTCCGGCATATTTTCTTTATGAGTAGAACTAATGCCATTTTTTTGAAGCGACTATAAAAATTAACGAAAATTTTCAGAGTTTGAATATAATTGTGCACAACCATCACTTTTAATTATTCTTACCTGTGTGATGATAGTCTTGTTTTGTATTTCTTGCGAATCTTCTGTTTTTTTATAGATCTTGTCAGTTTGTCCATTATTGCCGTTTATATCTCCTAGGAAAGTTATCATTGATTACCATATTTAAATGATATAGTTTTAGATCGTAATTATTCACCCGTATTTTTATCTGTCAACCAGGTTTGTTGATTAATGCGCCCAGGTGACTGTGTTGGTGAGTTAATTAATTCTGAACGGGCCCAGTAATACATGAGATCTGACTAAGGATATCACAATAATAAAGTAAAATTAATTAGTTGTACTAAATTAGTTACACATGGGAAAATGCAGTATGCGTAAGTATATATAAATATTATGAATACAAGTATTATAATATTCGTATTATAATATGATATAAGTATTAATAATATTGAATTACGAAATGTCACAATTTTCATTGTTGCAACATAATAATACACACTAAAACTGTGTAGTAATTTTATAAACTAATAAGTATTTTATTTAAAAAATAAAATATACATTATTCTTAAGTAACGATGTACATTCATATTTAAAACTTTTAAATAATCACAAACTATTTAAAATAGATTTATTTTTATTTATATATTTTATTATTTAGATTTAATTTAGATCATCGTAGAATTAGGGAATAAATTACTTTGGTCCCTTTGATCAGTCCCTTCTTTTGTGTTTAAAAATTACCTGAATGCGCTCAACCCGGTATGAGGGTCAATACAACATTATACCATTAAATTGTTACTTTTACTATAGTTTTTAAAAATTTGCCCTAATAAACTTTAAGTGTAAATATAATATTTTCTACAAGTAATATTTGTTTAACACATTGTTAACTATAAATAGTTACTACCCTTTAAAACATTAAACCGTTTAATGTCTAAAAGTAAGTGATATATTAGTTATTAAAGTACTATTAAGATCGAGATAAAAATCTAGATAGTATTTTATTAATATACACAGTCAACAAAACATCAAATTATATCAACGAAAAAAAGTATTTTATTGAAAACATTTATGAAAAATTATTTGGGGTTTCACTTTATTTTTGCTGTTTAGTGTTAGACAACAGGTGGGATAATTAATGAGAAAAATATTAATGTATGGTGTTAGAAAAACAAGGTGGTGTGTAGGCTGGACCATCTGGCGAACATTTTGGATAAGCCTTAGATACTAATAACAACATTTATAGAAATTTAATATGATTTTTCATTTAATTTAATAAAGTTATTGACATTTTAAGCATTAATTATGCTTTAATTTTTAATCACACAAAAAAATACATGAGATGTACATAATAGTTGTAATGTAATAGTAGGATGATTGGGGGAATGGTAGTCTGCGAGTATTATGGTCTCTTTGTTTTCTACAAATCTATGATAGCTAAAAATCAGGTGTCTACGCTAAATTATTCATTGGGTTTATCAAAACCTTAAAAATATAATTTGACAGTTTAGTTTTACCTTCAAATTTTTTTTTTTGTTCTATAACAAATATTTTGGTAAAACTCGTGATCTGAAAACTCTTTTTAAGGTAAGTTTATTTCACTTTAATAATAAAAATAATGAGTAAATTTAAACAAATTTATATTATAATTTGTGTTATACTAGTAAACAAAAACATTAGTCATGAATTTTTAATGTATTTTAAAATTTGAGTGGTTATCATTTTCCTATATCTGAGAATCCAATTTTTTATTTAACTTAAAATTACATATTTACTTTAATTTAAAAAATATGAAACATAAGTATATTTTTCCTTACATGTTAATACTTCATCTATTAGTAACTGCATTATATTTTTATTAATGATTTGCCAAAAATTTAAGTTCTTGCTAAAGAGACTGCAATACCTCCATTCTCCCTTAATTAATTTGTTTTGTAAAATTTATGTTGGACAAAGAAAATTAAACAGTATTTCAATAAAAAATTTGAAAAATGTACCACGTTAAAAAGTAATTAAATACACGCCTCTATCGAGTATATAAATATTTTAATGTAATGATATTACAAGTAAACTTTGCTGTCATTTTAATTTGATAGACGGCATTTATTATTCTAAATTTTAAGTTTACGAAATATTTATAAACTATAAACTTACTCTGAACACATCACTGACTATAGAGTTTTTGTCATGTATCTGTTTGATGACACCCGCTGTCAGAAGATCTGTACAGATTTGAGGAACCAACGAACGGGCGTCTCTTCGTAACTCTTCAGTCCCGAACGAGGAAACTAACCAGTTGACCAGTACTTGACCTACGACACAAAAAATTTAGAAAATAAATTTAAATGTTTATCAATATAATATTAAAGTTTCAGCATTAATCTGTTCACTAACTGCATACGAAGCGTATGGTTTTTTGCTGACGTTTGGCACATACGCGTAAACAACAAACCGGACTCGATTGAAGACTAGCGCTGGAAGAAACTGATAGGAAAAAAACATTATCTAGTAATAATTACAAATGAATATTTTAATAAATTCAAGGACAGCCAGAGGCAAATATCATTACAGTCGTTTTACACACGGCGATTTTAATGACTAAACTGTCATAAAGCGTCAAATTAACAGATTTTAAATTAAATGAACTTTAGTAAATTCAAAAATGTCCGACGATGATCGATGTTATTCTACAAAAAGGCGTTTTAAAAAATTATATGCATTTATAGATTGTTTGTCCTGAATTCCAAAACTTAGTAATGCAATCAATGATGACTTGTAAGGAGATTTACAATAATAATATTCATGTGTTTTTTATATTTTTAGCTATTAAATTTTAATAGATGGATATGCAATATTTGGACTACTCGTTAGCAATGTATACATTTATTGTTTATAATTTTCATAATAGATATTCCATGTAAAATACAATATATATCTCTGATGTATATAATGCCCACACTCAACAACATTTTTAAATTAACGACTAAGTGTGGGTAATGACTATACCTACTACTGATAGTTAAGTCTAACATGCTGTTGGATTGGGATGGATAAACATTAAGTATCGTGAGCAATAACTGATCTCTCGTTTATTAAAATATTAATATTTTTCATCAGATGTTGTAAGTAATACTTTAGATACAGGAAACTGAAATAATATTGAAACTTCAAAGTTCTAAGTTCCTATCATACACTTTTCTTATAAATAACTATACAGGTTTAAACGTTTTATTTATATATTAAATAACAGTGATTATTTTTTAAAGTAACGATTTCATAACCAGTTTAAAATAATAATTTTGATTACCTGAAAGTAAATAAATGCACTTTAAATGTATTACCCTTTATACCAGTTATTATTTACACAGACCATACGTAGTTGGTAAGTTTAATGTATTATAACTATTTGATTAGATTTATTCCAAAAAACCAAAGTTCATTGTGTTTAAAATAAAACATTTTATATCTTACAAGATTTGCAGTATATTTAGATACTATTCAAATAACGAATGAGCCTAAAAGTAGATTTTATGTCAAATAATAAACCATTGAGATCATTAATTAAATTAGTTTCAGTAAGTATTAAGGAGAAAGAAATTATACCATAAACGGTAACGATAATTAATAACTATTACTTTTCGCATGGAAATTAAAATGAAACGGAAATAACGACTTCTTTTATTGTGATTTTTGACTACTTGGACACGATCAACTAAATAATGAACATCCTTAATGATATTTAAAATAGTCATATAGTTATCCATATTTAGAGTCAGCGGTTTTATCTTTTATTTTATTATACACAATATTTCAACTCGTGTCTGTTTTATATGTGTGTAGGTATAGTTTTTTGGTTATAATATAAAATGGAAAGTTTTATTTTTAACTAATTTTTTGGATTTTCAGGTTGACATTTTTAGCTTAATAATTTTACCACGTGCACAAAATTTTTTTATATAAAATTTAAAACGAAAAATAACGGAAATTCAAATCATGAATATTAAACATTCTTTAGACAAAATATAAGCAAAAATTGTTGATTTATGGATTTAAATAATTATTATAGTTAATAGTAGTGAACAATATGATTCAGTCGACGTACTAAACGATTAAGGTTTGTATTACTATACTACGTGCCCACGAGCTTTGTCATTTTAATGTTACAATACATCTTACACCATTTTCAAACTTATCAATTGCCATTAGAAATGGAGTTCACCGAGTATACTGAAAAATGACTTTCATTTTTTTGTTACAATTCACAATATCACATGTCTTAAAGACATTGGGTGTAATTTTATTGTAAAATAACAATACCTTTACTATGCAAGCAGGCTCATGCAACTTTGTCTACGCTGAATACAATGCGTCGGTGGTCTTGTATTATTTTTTAGTTCGATTATTTTTGTTTTGTTTATTGCACTTTAACATACCGTAATAAAAGCATTATAACACTAGCCTGTGGTGGTCACGTAGTCATTGATATGACTGCGAATATCGATTAATTTATGTATTTAAAGTCATAAAGAATAATTTGGTCTTAATCATAAGATTGACAATAAATAATGAACATAATGTTCTTAACACTGTTATTCAGAGAAATTAATTTTTATTGTCTTACAGTAGTATTTTTAAACTCCACGAATGTTTGGTGCAATGTAAAAAATAATACCAGCTACAAATAAACAGGTGCTATATCGCCCTCAACCAGTCTGTCTGAAAAAGAAACATATTCTAGTTTTAATCGATATTGATCAAATTCGTTTAAAAAATGACTCAGTAAAAAAATGTTAACAGGGACGTCATGGTGAATAGAGTTCTTCACACCTGTCAAACGTCTATCAATTACGAAAAGGAAGTTCACAGAGTTGAACAGATAAACGGATAAAAAAACACATCTTCAAATACATGAAGTTATGTGCGTACTCCAATTCGTTGGTCATAATGACAATAAGTTAACATGAGCACTATTAAGTCAAATGATGTATTTAATCCTCATTTTTAGTATTAAACAACAGTTTAGGGCAAATCTTAGTTAAAAAATAAGTGTTTAAACAGCTTTACGCTCATAATAGGATTAAATATACACACTTAAATAATCTTTCGTGTATATAATGCTATATTATTTATCACATTATGTAATAGCTGTTAGATAATGTAGTTTAAGAAAAAATAATACCCATCTAAGAGACACGAAAAAAAAACTGTTAATAGATTTAGATAATACATATTCGAAATAGCGGCCTTTTTAATCGCATACAGCTGCACTAGACTTGCAACCGGTCCATTTACGATTATGTATGTCAATATAATTTTATGGAAGGCTGGAATTCTATTAGGTTCTCTATTAGTTGTATCCATTAAGTTTGCAATGACACCTACACACTATAAAAACAGCAATACGGTTTATACCTAGGACACCATGCCAACAATTCATGCGCTTGTGCTACTTAAAAGAAAATTTGTTTAATGTGAAAATAGAAAGGGGTATGCACTTAAAGAGCAACTTCTGATATTGTTTGTCAACTCATTCATTTGAGATTCATGAAATTCTGCTGAAATATCATTTTCTCTAAACAAGGGAGAAATAAAAATGTTAAAAATATTTTTTATTGTGTTATATTACTTTAAGACACATGAAACATTGAACAAACCGGATTTTATTTTATAGATAAAGACAATTTTAATTTACTCTTTTATGGTAGTGCAGCTATTTAAATCGAAAATCATAAAGGTTAAATAGTTCGGACTTCACAAAAAAACTGATTTTAATCGAAATTAAATGATTTTGAAATTTTAACCGCTAATATATTATGTTACTTATGCGTGTTTGAGATATAACAATATACTTTCGAAAGTAGTTTGATGACTTACTTGACATTTGCAAGTCAAATTCACTATACTAATTATGAATACTTTATACAAATATTACAGGTTTTTTCTTGTTTATGTATTTTTTTAACGTATTGAATAGATAATGTAATTACTTGAACTAGTCGTAAATAACTCGCGGGGGGTTTATTCGGTTAAAATGTCAAAAATTAGTTCCGTTCTCATTGTACATTCATGTACTCGCAAATTTCATACAAGTTCATCTTCTAATTATTCGTGTTTGTCGGCACATAATATTATTCGTAACTAGGTATTGTGAAAAGGTCATAGTATTATTTTAACAGTTCATGAATTGAAGAAGACATAAGTTTTAAATAATTTAATTGCGTTCGAATTTGGCTGAATTAATAAATTGATTTAACTGCGGCGCAAAACTGGAGATCCTTGCGCAACCGGTTGAAGCATAGGAAACTCTTATATATTTGTAAAAAAATAAAAATAATAATAAGTGGAATTAATTAATTTGCAAAAAGGTAATTTGATATCAATTTTTTGTTTCTCATCCACTACAACATTTTCGATAGAGAAAGCAAATAAATGTTACCTCCAGACTTTCGTTTTCTATTAACTTATCTATTCCTAAATTCTTAATAAACAGCTAATTTTTATTCCATGACATAAGTTTTTATTTTAAATTAAAATACCATATTGGCTCATAAATTTTTAGATAATAGCAAATCCTTGTTATATTTTTACGGAATAACTTATTTTTAAAAAAGAAAACGCATTAAAATTAATAATATTATAATATTCCGACTAGGAAGCAGCTACATGGAAAACTGTTAAAAAACCTTGAATTTATTTAAACACAGCCTAATTACTCTATGATCATATGATACATAAAAATAATAAAAATCTTTATACTTCATATAATTAGAGATAGGAGTTCTATGTATATGTAAATTTATTAAGTTATTCTGAACACACAATTAGCCAGTACCAGTTTGTATTAATGGAGTTGAAAACTTATATGTTACCGTAGTTATAGTTTTTGGGAGATTAGGAGGGTTTATCACCTCTAAAACGAAATATATTTCTACGTTGCTATGTATAAAATTTGGGACCCTTCAAAGTGGCTCAAATAAAATTTACAAGTGCATATAATTCCTAGCTCTATTCGTAATATTAAACTAATTTACTTGTAATTGTTTCGATGCCTTAGAGCAAAAATTTAGCAAAACCTTAACTGAGCACGCTGGTTAGTGTTTGAGCATATACTGATTGGCTAACGTTGATATCAGGTGAGAATGTAAATTTTGCTATGGATAATATCATCGAGACACCAGTACAATTGTAATAAAACACGTATATTGCACAAATACGTTTGCAGGAACCTACGCATTCTAATAAATCAATGACACCAAGTACGCCACCGCATGATGTCTTTCATTTGAGTTATTGGTATTTGGCGGTCACTAGAAGGCTTTTTTATCACTAAGTCAACTACCCAGGTGACCAATCTTCATAATACACCGTGACACAGTTTAGTCGTATTAGTATTCATTCTTGTTGTAAAGATTTTTTAGAGAAATGTGCAGTTATAATAATTTTGATATAATTAGGTTAATCCTGACAGGACTGAATTATAATTAATCGGGCCAAACTGGGCTTTAACAATAGAGCTATTTTAGATGAAACGAGTAAAGAATGTTGGCCTCTGGTGGTTCGGAAGGCGTGAGGATCGAGAACAAGATATGCTAGTTGAAATCAAAGCTTTACCAAGCACGATTTCGCCAGGGCGATTTTTAGGATCGTGATTTTACTATATTCAACAGTTGATGAAGTGTATGACACGCGCGTGCTGAGTCGATCGTCGGCAATAGATAAACCACTCTGATGGACAGGATACGATGAACGTCAAAACAGTCAACAAGCTTTAGGCGTTGTATGCGTCGATGCATATTGCGTCTGTTTTTTTTTTATTTGTGAATATCTGTACGATAAGCAAAGATGACATCCGATATGACTGCGTCTCATTGGCGATCACGTTTCTCAAGAAATAAGAGCAAATAAATAGTTCAAGTGAAGGGGTCTTAAGCACACATGAATTCGTTATTTAAATTTTTAATTAATTGGATCTCCAATAAATGATAACTAATAAATTACAACGCATTTAGTCATACACTAATTACTGAGCATTATGGTTATTGTTAGGCATAGTAATTATCTAGCAGGAACAACGCCCCTTCAACATAAATGTTGAAAATAGATGCAAAAGAGTAGATATAATTGACTATTGGAGACAATTACCATCATTAAATATTTTTTTTTTTAGATTCATAGAACTAATTATTTATATAACAGTTTGCAGTGTTTTAAAAATAAAACCAATGGAGTGTTTTTCATAATGATTAACGCGATGCACACTCCCGCTGTTAAAACAATGAGCGATTTTTTTAATGATGGGTGTTCGAAGGTTCTAGCAAGTTCAAAACTATTGGGATAGATCTACACGTTACTTTAAACAATTAGTCATCATATTTATACATCATACACAGGAAATTATATTGAAAATTCAAACACGACAAACGATCAGAAGAATGATACGAAATTAGTAAAAAAAAATAGCCGAAACAACAAGAGGTTATTGTTTTCCCACAGTTATTAGTTATATTCGATAGTATACAAAATACGAGACGGTCAGATAGCCGTTGATCTTTATTTTTTTTCTACATCGGTTTCTTCCAAGGTTATCGTGTATCTTTTTTTATACACTCGCTGCAGCCAAAATATATTGGAAACCGGTTTTCTATTAAATGCAATTCTACTATTTATATACGGACAAGAGTCATAATAAGCACAATGAATCACAGGTCGACGAATCCTTTTACTCTACAATAGCTCAAGGGATCTTACCTTCGAACTTCTCCTGATTTTTGAAGTCCAACTTTTCTGGGACATGTTTCGGCTTCACTGGTTTCTGGTGCTTGGTTGCCTGGTCCAGCGTGACCTTGGCGACCCTCCTGAGGACGCTCCCGTCCTTGGGTCCGTCGCCCAGATGCGAGGCAACGCTACGTTTGACTGAGTCCACCTGCACTCGACCTATAAATAAACACACCTCTGGATTATTAGGGCGTACTAAATTACACAATGAATTACATTACATGCATTATAATAATAGAGGTGCTCGTTCCGTACACCATACACTATATCTATGAACATTACACTGTATACACAGACTGAATTATTTGTATACTTAAGCCACTTGTACGTGGCACAACAGTAAAATGATTTAAGATTGAGATAGAATGAGAATGAGAAGTTTTTAAATGAATACATTTTAATCAACTATATTTATGCCCTTCAATGTACTTATTCATTTAAAATGAAAAATTTTAGTACAGTAAAACACATAAAACAAATAATAAATGTATACTTTAAAGTTGGGGTTGTTGTTCTTATAAAATACGCATTCGCTGAGTTAATTTTTTCCTTGTGTTATAGAAAGAATGCTATTTTTGTATATTGTTGGCTTTGAACAGTTAAGAACTAAGTGTTCTTTTTAATCGACTGGTAAAATGACTATTTAATGCATGTGTTATGATTACACCGGGTAACTATGCAAACGTATAGAGTAGTACACACAGTTGAAATATTAATTGTGTACCAACAAGACGCCTCATATTCATTGGCGTAGTTCCTGTGGTCTCACGTTTGCGGTGGTCTTCTGATATGCTTTTACTACTGTGAAAACTGCCAAGACTGTCAGTGTAAAAAATTAAAATATGACGGGAATTTTTCAAGGAAGTTTAATGTTACCCTGAATGACCTTTATTAGTGGACGTGAGAATAAAATACAATGATCATACTTTTATGATATAAATTACTACTTTAAGGTGTACTAGAACGCCAAAACGATGAAAACATAGTAATTTGTACAGATAAAAATAACATCAAAAGATGCACATTTCATGAGTTAATTATAGGACGTTTAAATGTATAACATTACAAAATAATATTAGTCAGGTGGATCAATAATAGTGTAATTTAGTGGGCGCATTCAAAAATCTTAATATAAATCAATTTGATATATATTTAAACCAGTTTTATAATGTTAAGTATTTTGGCAGCAATCGTTTTTTTTTGTTTATTTATTATTGTAGATCAATAAGTGATCTAAAAAAGTTATATTGTTATTTATAAGGACCATTAATTAAAAATGACAGTCGAAATGGCGAGCTGATTTAAGCTATAACGGCAATAAATCCTCTCTTCACATATGGTTAAAAACTAGTCAACTTTAATAAGAGTAATCGTCAGGTGTATCCAACAAAAATTTAAGTGAAGTTGTTTCTAGTAACCCTTTGATTTATTAATCATTCCATAATAAATTATTTTTAAGTCACTGAGAATTATATATAAATTGAACAAACAAAAAGATGCAAGTATTAGAGTAACTTTAACTATTAAACGAAATCAATAGAAATAAAATTTTGAAGCAAATGGTTAGTTTGCACTCTAATTTATTAAACAATTAAAAGTCATGTTCTAAATTAATTGTAATTGCTTTTATTATCTTGTTATTTATAAATTGTTTAAGTTATTGGCGATATTATATAATCATGATTATTATTAAAGTTTTTTTTAGACACAACTATCTCATCCTAAATGACTAATGAGTTACGTAACAAGAAATATAATTTTGAACTATACTATTTTCTATAATAACAAATTTTTCTATTGGAAGTAAATAATTATTTAAGGAAATTTTCTTAGTATTTTTAAGTGATAAACTACAAAATTTAAAATTAATGTGTCTAATATATTATTTGGAAAAATGTAATTTTTAAACTTCAAAACAATCAATACTTACTCTAATTTCAAGAAATTTGAACTTACTTTAATTATTATTTTGTAAGAATAAATTATATTAATAGGTCTATAAGATAATAGAGTTGATAAGTAAAAGTATTCGCCTAATAATTGTTAACCAATCTACTTCAATTTTTATTTGTCAAAGAAGAAATAAAGATAACGAACATAACATAAATTATATTTTTAATATATTGTTTTAATTATGTGCATGTTATTTCCTACAAGAGTTAGCTTGGCTCGTGGAATTTGATAAAAAAAACTATTATAATAATTGTAATCAACATGAATAATAATAATAAAACAACAAGAGATAAAACCAAATTTTATGTGATGTTTTGAACTGAAAATCTTACAATAAAGTTTTAAAAAAATTACCTACTTTCATAGTAAGTTTAAATTTTAACTATTCATGTTCACAATTTACATTTATTTGTTATTATGAGCAGTGAAAAATGTATGAGCATTGTTCGAGATCTAAATTTAAATGTGAAATTGATCTATTAAATTATTAACAAATGATAAAAACTGATGTTTTATGTTGCATGGTAATGCACATCCTCTTGTATTGAAAGTATAGAAATTCATCGGATAACACGATTAACTAAATCCAGATTGTGTGTATATTAGATGTTCTTTTTATGCCAAGAATGCGAAGAGTATTTGAAACGTATCGGTTCCACACAGTTGACTCTGAAGATGTTTCAAAGACAAGTGTACCTTATGTATTTTAGTTCATGTAATTGTCTCCATTCATCGTTCGCGCCGACTGAAGCAACATAACGTACTGGTACGTATGAAACATGATTTTTTATTGGATTTATTTGTTTAGTAAAAAAAAAAATAATAATAAATTTTAATCGACAGTTTAATGTAATTTCGTCTCCTACTCATGTACCTGATATGGAGGTACACGAATGTATTTTATCATTGGTAAACCACAATTATCCAAAAATGATTCTTTACTAGTAAAAAATAGCGAAAGAGAGTTAACCATGCAATCTTCATTCCCGTTAAGTATTAGTGCGTATCAAATATTCAACAATATTGGATGCGAATTAGAAAATTAGATTTTCTTTTTTTCCCTATGAAATCTTTTACTTCTTGAGAATCTCTAGTCACTAGAAATTATTAAAAGAGTGTCTCACGTCTGGTCTAATTAAACTCACTGAATATTTATTACGGTCACGTGTAGATACATTAGGGTTATTTATCTGAAAAGATATTTTCATAAACTACAATTTTTATTACAGGCGTGTAGTAAAAAAATCAATTCGGAAGATATACAACTTTCACTTTTCCTATAGAATTATTAATACCCTTTCGTACACGGGGCGTTGAGTTAATAACTTAAAATCCTGTCATTACTACATTGTTTCCAATTAAGATTTTTATATTTAAAATTTTTTTATTAGACGTGCTACAATATGTTACTTTTACATGAATACAGGAAAGAAAATATAGATAATTTAGCCTCTTCGCTTCTATAATTATGTTATTATTCCGTGTTAGGAACTTTAACATTATTCTTATTATAAGAAGAAATTCTTATGGTTTTAAAAAGTTTTAAAAATATATTCGATTTAAATTTTTATTATGACGTAGAGGTTTAATTCATCAATACATTGGAATTGCCCCTTTGAAATTTATGACAAATTATGCAATTCAAGAGGTGCTAACTAATAATTATTCTTGAGGATATTAGAATGAGCAAATTAATTAACATTAATTAAAAATCAAAGGTTTAATTTTTAATTAAGTTTATGTAGTATTATTTGATATAACATTAAGTTACGAAAACTTGTAGCGTCTAATTTATGTACTTAAATTATGGCCACATTGAATCCTGTTTTTTTTTTAAACTGTTTTTTATGTCAAAATGTCAAATAAAAACATAGTGCTTTTAAATTTTATATACTAAAAACATTACAAAATGTACAAATGAATATTGACATTTTAATTGTTTTCGATGAATACATTATCATGAGAAAACTAAAAAAACTAATCAATTCGATTTATTCCTAATAGTATAATTAACCTTCAAAGAGTTTAAGTTTACTTAATCATGGTTAGGATAAAGGTTTATAATTTACACAACATAATTATTAAGTATTTGCAAAATAAAAATTTAAGTATGTGATTATATAATTTTTGAAGTATAAGTATTAATGATTGTTCTTTTTTAAATAATTGTTATTGAATTTAATTATATGATTATTTTTATCATTAACTAATTAATTACATTAAACGTTTAATGAGTTTCGAGCATTATCGCCGTGTCAGAGATTCATTAATTGTTATCTTAAATATTACTCCAAAAATGAAAAAAAAGAGTTAATTTTAATTTTTCTTAAAAATTTAAATTATCAGTTAAATAAAATTTACAATACTCTCATAAAATACAATAAATTACTTATCAACAATTTATGCGTAGGTTTTAGTGTTATGTATAAGATACTTAATAAACTGATGCCATCAATTGAATAATATTCTAAATTAGACTTGCTTTTACAATGCATATCGTTCATAANTTGAATAATATTCTAATTAGAAAATTAGACTTGCTTTTACAATGCATATCGTTCATAAGTCACAAAGCGATTTGTATTAATAATTCGTATTTTTTTGTTTAGGCAGTATACGCATAAAAAACGACAATGCATAGAGTTTAATCAATCCATAGTTTACTATATTTGTCTCGTGGACTTTTGACCGATTTATATACACACATGGATTTTTACTTTTGATAATAGTTGATTTTTTAAGTATTATACCAAATTTTAAAAAAGAAATCTATTATTATTATAATGTTTTTTTATCAAAAATGATTAATAAAATAAATTATGAATGAAAAAAATATTGAGAGAAATTAATTAATAGTTGATAAAAACTAAATTATTTTGAATTATTATTTATATAATAAAGCTATTTGTGAATTTAGTAGCATTTTTTCTTGTACCAATTAATAATTGGTACAAGACTAATTTTTACTTGGTAGAATCTATTTTAGTACTTAATTATAATTAATAATAATAATAATTTTACAGTTACAACAGTGATAATCTATTATTTTAGTAAAATTACTGAAGTGATAATAATGTTTACCGCTGTTAAGAAAACGGTCGTTGAAAAACTCGGGACACCTTGAGATGTGTTGACATAGGTAAACTATAACGGTTTACCACAATTAATTCTACCGAACACTCGCGACGACGACTAACGATAAAATTGTACTTTCTTTTAATTGCACAGTAATTATTTATGTAAACTTTAACTTTGGACTTCTTGAGATCAAACGGTCAGCTCAGTACGCAATTTTAATTCCAACTACCATGTGCGTATAAAACGCTAATACATAATAATGAGAGTCGAAACTTTATCAGCCAAATGCAACGTGCACGCTGCCAATGACCAACCAGTGTTAACATTAATTTTGTGTTATTACTATTATTGTTGTCAGAACTCACTGAATGTTATGTGTGTGCTACTCAATATTCACCGAAACAGACGTGCCCACGAAAATAATCATAAGTCACTACAAATTTGGGTAGACACACAAAATGTACTGTTAATATTTGATTACTGATAAAAGAACAGTACTACAGTTGGTAATCGAACGCGTTCGAACATCTAATTCAATTTGGACGATTTATGACCGTCGGTCGCGTTTAAATATTAAATTTACTGCTAAGGTTTGGGATGCATTTTGTTACTGCTAGTTAAATTATAGCGTACTGTTAAACACTCGATCGTTTTTTATTTTTATAAAAAAATTATTTAACAAGTCTTCATAGTGACAACAGCTGCACGTTACATCGTTTAAAACGAGTAGGTAAACAAAAAATTACTCATTACAGGTTAAGTTATGACGAGCGATAAGTTAACAAACATAAAACTTAATTCTGGTCACTTGTTTAGCAAACGTATTGGGTACTTGAAGTCAACTAATTGTTCGTCACTTGATACTTTTTTAACGAATTAGAATAATTGCACGATAGAACTATTTGAAATGAATATATTTAACCTTCTGAAAATTAACATTTTTTTGTTAATAATTAAAAACGCCGAAGTAAATTGTGAAAAAATAATATAAAAAACATTCGCGGTCAGTTTAATTTGATAAAAATCAAGTGTAATTTTGCATCATTCAGTACCTAATGGTGTAAAAAGAATTACGTGGCTCATTATTTTTGTTATTTTTCTCACGGTCACCAATACAGTAAGAAAATACGACAATATGAATGAAAAAACAACGGCAAGTGTAATAATAACAACGTTCAGTGCTTAAGCAAGTTCATTAAGCCGGTCCATATTATTATACGCTGCGATCTTACCCTTCAGGTTAGTGTACCGTGCAAATATTTTTTAACCGATTGCGAGATTGTACGTGATAATATCTTGATGAGATTTGTTTATGACTAGTCTTGCATATTGCCGAATGGAAATACGGCCGGCTAATGTATTATTGAGGAACTGAAACGGTACTTCGTTCTACTCCGCATGATAACTAATCGCATTAATCTGTTTCCGTAAATATCGTATGGGTAATACATATGTGGTGATTTTTTAACACCGCTAACCCTTCATTAAGTGACCAACAAGTATACCCACTCATGATGTCATTGTTATCCAATTATAGCGGTTCTATCATTCAGCGTGTGTTCAGCTATCGGTTTCTAGTATTAGACAAAATATATTTTCAATCCGTCTACTGTTGAATATTCACACAGCCTCGTTCTATTGTATAATTAAACGTCATTATTTATGAGTTGTTTTCCATTAGACGAGCAATAGGATACGAGTATTTATGGCACGCTGTAAGTTTCGTATAATTTTCAAATGCATTTTTATTCTTAATTACCGTTGGTTTAATTTTTTTTTAATTAACATCTATAATTCCGTGTATGACGTAAAACAAAAAGAAACGTAACAAAGCCACAGGAGACTTTTCGGTAATCCAGTTTTTGCTTAATTAAGTGAATATTATAATCATAAACGCGAAACAGTACATACACGGGAACGTTTTAAAATGGATGAAAGATTTTTTATAGTTTAATTATGTTGCGTTTCTCTAATTATATTTACAAATAGACTGTTGAACTACACATTTAAAACGATGTTTTTGATGATATTCATTCGCTTACATTAATGCTCAATGTAAGATGATAATTATAGTCTTCTCAATTATGATTTTAATAAGATATACCTAATTTCTTAACTTCAAAAAAGAAATATCGGATTAACAGAAATTTCTCATGTACTTCTCCAATGAATAATTTAATGTTGACGTGTATGAAATTGATTTAATAATCAATTTTCTATCTGAAATACTGCTAATAATTAATTTGTTGGTATGAATCGAAGGGCGCATACTAGCTGCATTTGGAAACTACGAGTTGCATTCGATATTTATTGTAACTAAAAAACGCAATCAATAATTTTTACTCGTATATATACGAGTTTCACCCTGCAAATGTTAAAGGGGTTCCAAAACCACATTATTATTTTGTGACAACAAACTGTTATTATTAGTATCTTTTGATACTACAAATAACTAATTATTTTTTTATTACAAAAATACAATTTTATCTTTACCGATATAAGTCTTTGAAACTTTTCTCTATTAAAGTTTCTATAAAGCTCTGTGGGTTTTAAGCATACTCTTATAATCTTGTTAGGTTATTCTGCAATTTTTATTGAACTTTGCTACTCACTAGCTTTGTCAAATTTTTCAATGAATTCTAATTTTACACATATTCTAAGGTCTCTTTTAGGTTATTAATTATTTTCTATGCTACTATTTTACGAGAAAACATTTAAGGCACAATATTACATTTTAATTTAATACATTTATTTTCTAGAATAGTACTAGAACATCAATATTTCATTTTATAACATTTTTTTTATCGAACACACTTTATTTAATTTCGTTCACTTTATTCATATTATAGTTATCTTAAACAATAATTTAATTCTAATTTAGGCAATTCAATAACTACATTATAAGTAACAATTTTATTTTTTTTTGGAATTTTTTACATTAACCTTAATTTTACCATACTATTTTAAATCCTCAAAATATATAATTAACATTAAAAATATTCAGTTTCTCCAAATGAACATGATTTTTTTCTGAGAAAAAGTTGGTAAAAACATATCCTGATTGCCCGGTATTGTGCAATTATTTTTTACGAAATTGGGTACTGAAATTATAGCTTATGACATTTAACTAAAGGATAGAATAGCTGTAAGACTTTTCTAGTTAAGATAAGATTTAAGTTACAACTTATCAGGATGTAATTCATACATGAAATTTAGTTCTTCCTGACCTCGGGATAAACTAGTATCTACCCGAATCAAAATCACTTGTATAAACTAACAAATTAATTTTAAAAATACCATAGTAAATTAAAAAATATACGTGATAGGAGTATAAATAGGGTTAACTATTCAAACTTAAGTTTACTGGATTATTATTAGTATTTAACTAATTATCATTACAAACAAAGCAATCTAAAAAACAATTTAAAAATCACATATTAAATATTTGTTATTTCTCTAGAATTTGATGGGGTTTCATATCGTTAAGATGTTGAAATATTAAGATTTGATTAATTATGAATAATCTAATCTTTTAAAATCTATTGCTGTTTATTTTACTTCTGGTTTGACTTATTTAATATCATTGTATTAGTGTTTCCTATTAGGATGAACGGGAAAAAAAATCACAAACAAGTATACAGGTAATTCAGCTCATATAGTAATTATTGTTATTTAATAGATGGGTAGGTCCTAGTCTCACGTACGTGCCATTATAGCAGACGGTATCATTTGGTATAATAAAAGTACTTACATGACCGAGATTCAGTCTTTCTATTTTTCGAATGAAAATGATACCTACACACTCTTCTCCTACGAAACAATAATTTTATACAACTGTTGATGCCAAATCACATGAATATATTTTTGTGTGGTCTTAATAAATATATACTACTTTTGGATTCGTATGAGAAGAAAATTTCAACAGTAATATAAAATAAGTGTATAATATTTTTCTTTATCTTCGAGTGCTATAATTTAGGAGACTGGACGAGAAATAACTAGACGTAGGGAAATATGAACAAATTAAAAATTTTGTATATTAAATCAACATCGAATAAAGTAAACTTGAGAAACATTAAGTATAGTTCTCACTATTGCAGTAATTAAAATTTTACGTGTTGACTCCTATTGTGACAGCTAAACGTATTACCCCTTCTAAATTATAGTAACGTATATGAATTGTATAGTTATGTAATATCATGGTGGGTAATGAGTATTAAATGATCATTTAATTTAATATCCAAATCATTTTGAAGGATTTATGTTACTAAAAATAAATATTAATTGTGATTTCCTTTTATTATTATTATCTGATAATATAGATAAAAATTCATAATTCAATATTCAAAACGATATCATTTTATTTCTTTTTGTAAAAGTCATGGCACAATAAAATTTTATATTATTTGTTAAGTTTATATTTTGTCATATTTAGTTAACAATAAGATAATTAGAATAGTTAAATAATGTATGGATATATATTTATTCATTCATTAAAATATTTTGTTGTCAACGATGATTAAAACTTTCTAAGACTGTAAACGGGCTGTTTAAACTCCGTAATATTCAAACATTGACTAGTTAGGGAAAATTATGATAAAATTTACAAATATTAGCAATGCAATTGTTTAATGTCTTCTTTTCGCATAGTTAAATAAAATGTAGAATTCATCTATTCAACTAAATTTTTAAAATAATTTAAAAAAAAAACCAGCACAGGGGGGTCGCGGCACAGTGGTGACGTGGCATAGATGGATCAAGTGTAATGATATCTGACAGTGATTAAAATCACTATCAAAAAAAAACGCTTCGATGCAAATCTTTAGATAGTGTTTAATTTTAAAAAATTGGTGGATTATTCCAAAAGCTACATGATCTGCTAGTTCATTATTAATATCCTAATTAAGATAAAGTATGTCAAATGAAAAAGGGATTATTAAAAAATATTATTTCTCATAAAAAAATAATGTTGATCCATACACTTTTCAATATGTCATAGCATTATAAAGTTAAAAATGTAAAAAATAAAATCGAAAATTTTCACACAAAAATAGCATTCGGTAGCCATTTTCACCGTGAAGATAAAATAAAGTCCGAAATTTTTTTTTTTGCATAATAAAGTAAATTACATTAGCTTTAATTTAAGATATATATAAAAGTGTCAAACTTTCCAGAACACTTTCAAAATTTAAGTTGAAAAATATCTACTTTCTACATGCATTTTTTAGATTTGAACCCCCCTCAAATATAGGGAAATGGTCCGATTTAAAAAAACAGTATGTCAAATGAAAGATGTATATAAATACTACTTCTAATTAAAAATTTGTATTGATCCATACATTTTTCAAATAGTTATAGTATAATAAAATTAAAAATGTAAAATACAAAATCGAAAATGTTCACACAAAAATAGCATTCGGTAGCCATTTTCACCGTGAAGATAAAATAAAGTCCGAAATTTTTTTTTACCATAATAAAGTATATTACATTAACTTTAATTTAAGATATAAATAAAAGCGTCAGACTTTCCGGAACATTTTCAAAAATCAAGTTGAAAAAATTAATTTTTTGTGAAAAAGTTGTCATTTTAAATCCCCCCCTGTGGGCAAGTAAAGGGTCACATATAAAAAAAAAATATACCAAATGAAAGGTAATGATATCATGCATCTATATAAAAAAAATTATATTGATTCGGTTATTTTTAAAAAGTTATAGCAATTTTAAGTAAAAAAAATTGAAAATATTTCGAAAATAAGCGATTTTTAATTTTGTAATTTTTTTGGAGGTTTCCCTTATTTACGGGGAACGAGGGAATTTTTTTCAATTTTTGAGGGTAATGTCTTCGACTAGATACGATTTGTGATCTTTTGACGTATCATTGAAAGAAATCGGTTTGGTGAGAGCTGAGAAAAAGTGGTAACAGACACAAAAAAAAACACATCTTAGTAAAACCAATACCTTTTCAGCTTCGCATCGAAGCTAAAATATTCCATTATATTGTGTGGTATAAAACAAATTTATTAGTACTTTTTTAATGTACTAGGTGGTTTAACATGGTTTTATTTTATTTAAATTCGCTTAAATGTTTTAATTTATTTATAATGATATTTATCGAATGAAATGGTTTTAAAATCTTGATAAATTATTACAGCTTTCGCTTTTAAATTAATTTTAAATTTAGAAATCACCAAAAGTAGTAGTAAAAACTAGTACATATTAAAATTAAGCTATAAAATAAAACATGTCACTTTATGATACTAAATTTTTTTTTTTAATATTAATAGAAGTTAATTTTATTAATTCCATGGGCTTTACCTCATCAATAACCTTATCTATATTTTATATTATCCAAAAATACTCTTTTTTGGTAACATCAGCAATTCATTTTATTTAAAACATTGATTCATTATTGTTTATATTAAAAATTAATATAAAACAAAATATGTTATCAAAATATTATTGTATTTATATTTTAGTATTTGTAGGAACCATCAAAAGAAGACATAGTACTTTATATACTTGTTTTATATGCCAAATAATCGCTTAATAGACATAAAATTGAGTTTATATGACGACACATTCATAAATTTCCATGTTCATATGTTAGAAAGAAATGTTTTAATTGACAAAAAATAGTGAATTGGCAGTTATCGAGTATTACTAATTGTATAAATGCTATGATATTATTATAGAAAACTTTTAACTATAATTCGAAACAATTACTAATTTTTTCTATAAAAAAAAGTTAAGTTATTATTTGTATTGTTATTTTTTTTATTTTATCATAGTATTTTTTAAAATTAATTTTAATCAATACTGATAAAACAAAAATTTATTTTCTTAAATTATCATTATTTTGTAGAAAATATCTTGTCATGTGAGTAATCTTTTTTTAAATATCATTTATATGAAATTATTTCTCATTTAAAATTGATATTTTATTTATGTGCTTTCAACAGAAACTGTTTACAAACTTAAAATACTATTCAAAAAAATTAAAAATAATTTCTTTTTTCACTAATTTTTGCAGCACTTATAAAAGTGTGTCTTTAAAACACGAGCAAAGAAAATTATTTAAGACAAATATATCATTCAAAAATAACAATTATATATATATATAATGATATGCCGTATAATTTATGGTAATGTTATTCAATTTTAATAATATGTAGAATATTGTGTGCGGTACATTGGTCAGCCCAATGCTAATGACCTATCAATGATATTTCCCTAAGTCAATAATTTCCTAATTTATACGCGAGGAACGTGTTTTAGGATTAATTAGTTGAATTGCACAATGTTATTTAACTTAAAAATTACAGCTTTTGAACTTGTTAAAATTTATTATGACAAAGGTAATTTAAATTTTGCATTTTTAACGGTTTTTTCAATAATTAATATTAAATCAATTGCTTATCTAAAATTAAAATTATTTTAAACAAATATAATCACTCACCATTATTAGTAGACTGTATTGGTGTCGGATTCAGCTGAACTTTGCGATGTTTGACTATTGTAAAAGCTTGTGTAGGCGTACGTGTGTTACCGGTGAGCGTGTCGCCGTTGACTACCATCGCGGACTCGTGTGGTTCGTCTGTGGCATCAGAATACACACTCTGCGGACTAGTCAGTGGATCGGTGAACACTGACTCTTCCGAACTGGACGCGTTGTTGCAGCTGTGGTTGTGCTCCTGCAGTGGTTGCCGTCGCCGTTGTTGTTGTTGTTGTTGTTGATGCTCATCTGCATGGAGGTGATCAGTATCGCCGTCGCGGGCTTGGGAAGTCGTTCGTTGTAGCTCCTGCCGGCGGAGGTCACGACTGGTCACGGTCACGTGACCCACCGCCTCCACCGACGCTGGTGCAACTGGTTTCCGTAGCGCCCTTACGCCCCCTATCAGCCAATCCCGTGTTCCGGACGTCGATTGTCCTTTGTTCTGACTCTTTGGACCGACACGGGACGATGGCGAGGAGCTTTGTAGGTTACCCATTATTTATAGTGGATTTTCAATATATTATCTACCATATTTTTGCAGTTAACTGCATCGCCGGTACTATGGTCGGTGACGATGGACATCGGCCCGGATTTCCCGTCCGGACACGAATTTCCCGCCACCGCCCATCATTTGGAGTAGCTCACGTTAAAGAGATCCTAGAAAATAATTATCTGCTATTATTAATAATTATATTATTATGGATTACATTATCTAAGTAAATATTGGCTCTAAGAAGATTGACATAAAATCTTTTATGTTTTATTAAGTGTTTTCAAATTTCAGAAAAATTGTTTTCAGTAACACAAAATTATTTTTCATAGGTGTAACGAGCATTGACATACATTGTAGTTCAGCTTCATAAATTTAACTGATTTACTATAGTTAAAAAATGTTTTCATTACAATAGTATTTATGTTGACTAGTCTTGTCTTGCTTACATAACAGTTATACAAGTTTATTTTTTATGTGGATGTGAACAAGTCAAAAATATTAGGGAAGCTGATGTTATCAAAAAAGAGTATTTTTGGATAATATAAAATATAGATAAGGTTATTTATGAGGTAAAGCCCATGGAATTAAAAAAGGTTAATAGAAGCTTGATATCTGTTATCATTGAAACACCTGTTATTAACAAACACACTTTTTGTCTATTTAGAAATAAATTTAACACCAATTAATATTGGAATGATTGAAATAATCTATTAAATACATTTTAGTTATTTTACTAAATGCGTGGATCATTATGATATCTTTATTGTTTTAACTTATTTGATACTTTTTTTATACAGTCGAGAAAAATCTCTACGTATACTTTTTAGTTGAAAATCGATTTTTATATCACACAAATGTGAACAATATTGTTTCAATAACTAGTCATTCACTTAAAAGTGATATTTTGTAAAATTTAATTTACTAATATATTTGTTATAAAATAAATACTTGAAAAGTAAGCTGAAGAAATGTTTATAAAATATTAAATATTAAGTGGGCCTATAACAAGTATACCAAAAAATTTTACAGTTTTATATGTTGTTTTTTTAATTAATTAAATAATTAAGATAAATTTTCACTTACTTTTTATATTTTTCAAATTTTTCATAAGTGTACAATTTGTATTTCATAATTTTAAAAAGGTAACTATGAGAAACACAAATCCAAAAATGTTAAATGGATCGTCGCAACTGAACATGAGGTAAACTGTAAACACTAGAAGCGTTGTCTGGCCCCTCTTTGAAAATCGATAAGGGTGCGGATATCATGGAGAGTATTCTTACTGCTCACTTAGTAACTAACCAGACTTAACGAGAAATACATTGAGCTCATTTAATTTAAATTCACATACAAACTGTAAAATAAAAAATGGTGTAACATTGCGTCATTCTATTTGTTTTAAGTAGAATTATTTCAATAATTTAATAATTAGTAGGTTTTAGCATAATAGAAACAAAAATTTTTTTTGTTATAAACGTAGTTTAGTTTTTGAAGATATTCTTTTAGCTTCGATACGAAGCTGAGAAGATATTAATTTTACTATGATGTGTTTATTTTATTTTTTTTTTCTCAGCTATCATCGAATCGATTTCTTTCAACGATAAATCAAAAGATCACAAATCGTATCTAATCGAAGACATTACCCTCAAATATTGAAAAAATTTCCTTCGTTCCCTGTAAATGGGGGTAATTTCCAAAAATATTACAAATTTAAAAATCGCTAATTTTCGAAATTTTTTTTACTTTATGCTGTCATAAATTTTTCAAAAATGACTAAATCAATACAATTTTTTTTATAGATGCATGATGTCTGTACCTATCATTCGATATATTTTTTTTATAAATCTGACCCTTTACTTGCCCATAGGGGGGGATGCAAAATGACAACTTTTTCACAAAAAATTAACTTTTAACTTTTTGTTCCAGAAATACTGACATACTTTATTATGGAAAAAAAAAATTCAGACTTTATTTTGTTTTCACGATGAAAATGGCTACCGCATGCTATTTTTGTGTTAAAATTTTCGATTTTATATTTTACATTTTTAACTTGAAATTGCTATAACTTTTTGAAAAATGTATGGATCAATACAATTTTTTTATGAGAAATAATATTTATATACTTCTTTCATTCGGCATACTTTTTTTTTAAATCGGACCATTTCCCTTAATATAGGGGGGTTCAAAACATAAAAATGCATATAGAAAGTAGAACCTTTTCAACTTAATTTTTGAAAGTGTTTCGGAATTACTGACACTTTTATATATATCTTAAATTAAAGCTTATGTAATATAATAATTTAATATAAAAAAGAAAATTTTCCGACTTTAATTTGTTTTCATAGTGAAAACTAACATCAAAATTAATAAAAAAATAAGATTTTTATAAAAAAATTCTTTTTTATACTTTTAATTTTATAATGCTATAACTTTTTGAAAAATATATGGATCAATATAATTTTTTAATATTAAATACTATGTACAGATTAGCATCGAAGCGTTTTTTGTGATAATGATTTTTAATCTCTGTCAGATATCATTATACTTGACTCAACTATATCACGTCCCCACTGTGCTGGGTTTTTATATTTTAGGTCAATTTTATTTTTAATCACAATCTATGAATGTTTTATCAAGCTTGATAATTCTATTTTATTACGAGTTGTGAAATTATTTACATCACATTAAAGTTTAATGATTATTAATCATTAAATTGCCAAAATGATAATTTACAATTAAATCGTTAATTAAACTTTACACTATATATTTATCAAAAAAAAAGCTTTTAAACATAGTATCTAAAGTATTATAAGATATCTGGTACTTTTTTTAAAATTGTAAATGTATAAGTAAATATTTTTTTAAATAAAATGTATTTTTCTCCAAGAATTTTAAATAATTTACACATAAAAATATTTTTATTTTATATGAAGTTAAATATTTTGTAATATTAAACAAAGTTGTTATAAAAATTCAATATATGTTCAGGCCAACTACAACACGTATCCCAACTATACTATTATATATTTGCGTATAATATTTTTGCGGTTCTATTTATTTTTATATTTATACATATATAAATAACATTATTCCTCCCGACCTAGTATAAAAGTGTATATTTTTTAAATTAAAAATATAATTTTTTGTTTTAAAGATACTAAATTTTGAGACCTAGCTTATCTTTTAAAATAGTGGTTCAAAAATTGTTATCGACCACTTATTTTCTTGTTTAGATAATTTTTGTATTTTTAAGTTAGTTAAACATATATGTTTCCATTTAAAAACTTAAGTTGATACTACTTTAAATAGGAGAGAGGGGAGAGAATCTTTTTATGAAATTTAAGTTGCATAGGATATTATTAACTTCTAAAGAGAAGTAATTCTAATATATTTTTAAAAAATTTTCGTTAAACATAATCAACAATCATCCTGCATAAAGTCATGTTAAAAATAAAATTTGATATGTTTTACATTTAATAAATTGAAGTAATTCAATAACTATTTTACGAAAATAAGTTAGTCTATTTATAGAGAAATAAAAATTATGTTTTGACACGGCGTTACACATATGCAATATAGGTACATTGTTGGTTTTGATATCTAAACTAATTTATAAGGATTAAAAATAAAGGCAAAATATTATTTTAATCTTATTTAAACTTGATGACCTTGAAATATTGTTTTTTATTTACTGTAATATTGAATTAAATGATTAAATAATACAAAAACGCAATAAAAAATTAAAATTAAAATTTGAAATAATAATATTATTTATAACTACAACTGTACACTAACTATATTTTATATAGCTAATGACATTATTGTGTAATTTTTTAACAATATCAAAAAATTTTATTTTTATGTTAAGTTGTATTACTGATTAAATGTATTTAATATATTTAAAACAAAAAATTATATTTTGAATACATCAACTCTTTAAAAGCATAATTAAAATGTTCATAATTATATTTTGTACACCAGATAGGTTATTATATTCTTAGTCTTTTTTTATTAAACTTACTTTATTTTATTAAATAAATCACTTATGGTAAACAATAATAATATATATCTAAAATCTAATGTTATATTAGACTTATAGATAAATAAATATTTTAAGATTCAATCTAATAAAACAAATTTTACATACTATTATTTTTTCTAAATTATGTATTTTACAGAAAAGCAAGTACCATCTATTTAATTTAAACCATTTTATATGTTTTTTTGTTAGTTTACAAATTATTTATGCATAAATACTTTACTTATTGTAAATTTACTATACAGTCTATTATTCTTGGTTGAGTTAATTAATTACTTACACATATGACGCATTAATAATTTAAATGTCGCAATATGATGCAATAAAATGAATGTTATATTAAATAGTTAATAGTATAAGTCAACGTAACTCCGTTATAAATTTTATTTTAAAGTCAATTTTTTTTTATCATGACCAAGAATTGCATTTTATAATTACTTTTGACCTCAGTAATGATAAAAAATATTTATTACTAATAGCCATTACAATATAGATATCTATATTTTAATTTACACTATTAGAATCTTATTTGTTTTATTTTTTACGGACAATACATCCAAATTTCACAAGATATCATAACATAATACATGATAATATAATAAATTAATTAAAATTCTTAGAACAATAATAAACAAGAAGAAAGAAAATATATACTTTATTTTTTGTATTATACTTTATACAACAAAAAGTATTAAATGTATATTATAAAATTGGTTACCGACAGATGGTAATATTTTTACGTTATCTTAATACGTCATCGTAAATTAGATTATAGCACAACAAATTACTCAATTACTATTAATATATTTTTCATCACTTTGTTATTATTTTATAATTATATTATTATGATTTTTTACATTTTAATTAAAAATAATACATTCAATAATATTAAATGAAATAAATATTTTAATGTTACAGCATCTCATGTCTAAAATATTACCCAAAAAAAATTTTTTATTTTATATTTTACGTCTTATGTTTACTTTAATAAATCTTATAAATGGTCAAGTTTCAATTGGATTGACGAATTCTAAATAACTTATAGGTAATCATGATCTATTTCAAGCTTATAATAGTTTTATTTTACTGTTTTTGTACAACATCTCGCTCTGTATATTTATTATCTTCGATTGATAATATTGAATGGTGGCAAAACTCAGTTATTTATGAAATATTTTTAATGTCATTTAAAGATTCAAACAGTGACGGTATTGGAGATTTGAACGGTAATTAATTTAAATTGCAAAATAAAAGATCGTTTCTCAATTAACTACTAATTGTTTATGTCCAAAGGTGTAACCCAAAAAATAGAATATTTATCTAACCTAGGAATAGATGCTATTTGGTTAACACCATTTTATCAATCGCCTTTGGAATCTTCTGGTTATGATATAACCGATTACGAATCAATACTTCCAATTTTCGGTAATATTAATGACTTCAAAAACTTAGTAAAATCAGCACATGAAAAAGGTAAAGGCAACATTGCTAAAATAGAGAACAATATTATATTTATTTATTTTATTTTAAATGAACTGTGTATTTAAGTCATTAGCGTAATTCTTTTTCACAATTACTACTTTTATAAATAGACATAAAGGTTTTGATTGATTTTGTACCCAACCATACTAGTAACAAACACGTTTGGTTTAAGAAATCGGTAAAAAAAATAGAACCTTATACAAACTACTATATTTGGAGAAATGCAAAAAATCACGAGGATGTTATTAGAAATATATCGACTCCAATAGTTCCTAATAATTGGGTAAATATTAAATTTTTTGAGAATTTTAACTTTTACTATATCATTTTTTTATAACGTATGATTCATATTTATTTATTTAATAAAAACAACTACAAATATTTTTAAATAATCTGTTTGAAATAAATTGCGTTTTTTTTTTCATAGTTGAGAATGTATCCAAACGGCGATGATGTAAGTGCTTGGATATGGAATGATGAGCGTAGACAATACTACTACACACAGTTTTCTATAAATTTACCTGATTTGAATTATCGTCAAAGTTCAGTTCATAAGCAAATGAATAATATTTTAAAATATTGGTTGGAATTAAGCATTGACGGGATACGAATAGATGCTTTGAAACATGTTTACGAAAAATATACAACAGAAAACGAATCGCTTATAAATCCAAATGGTCCTTATAGTTATGATAATTTAAATCATACGTTTACAACCGACCAAATTGAAGTGTATGATTTGATCAAAGAATGGCGTAATCTACTTGATACATATTCGAGCAAAGATGGTAATAAAAGGTATAATTTAATCATTTTTTAAACCATTGTATGTTTTGTCCTTATAACTGTACAATTATTCAAATGATAAATTAATATGTCACACGTAATACCCACTTCAAAATATGTCGTTTATTAAAACATATGAGATTTGTGTTATTGTTGAAAAATGCATCAAATGATTATTTATTGACATAATAGCTTCATAGTCATTTTGTTTTCAATTTGTCCTTTGTACTATATGCTTCTTTGACGTACATTTCTAATAATAAAGTATATTTTTTAGAATAATAATGACTGAATCATACAGTCCATACAATGTATTATCGATGTACTTCAAAAATGGAGCTCAAATTCCAACGAATTTCAATCTTATTAAAAAAGATCGAAGTAACCTAGCATTTGAATTGTATCAATCGTTACAAGATTGGTTTACTAAAATGCCGCCAAACTCTTTTAATAGTGTGGTAGTTATTGTTCATTAATATGATTTAATATCTAATTGATGAAAATTATTCTGAATATGAGCTAAAACTGATTACCGTTTTAATAAAATAGTTGCAGAATCACGATGTTCCTAGAATTTCTAGCCAATACGGCTCACAGTATTTGGATAATTTAAATGTTTTACAATTGTTTCTGCCCGGCCCTTGTATAATGTACTATGGAGGAGAAATAGGAATGGATGATTTTGATAATTTATCAAATGACATTCAAAGGACGCCTATGCAATGGGATAATAATTCATATGCCGGTAAAAATGCAAATAAATCAGTGTAAGTTAAATACTATTCTAAATTTGTAATTCAGGGTTCACAGATGGTAATAAGAAACCATGGATCCCAGTGAATCCTAATTATATATATAAAAATGTAATGATTGAAAGCAACGTCCAAAAAAGTCATTTAAATTTTTTCAAAACTGTCTCTATGTTACGTCATTTAAGCGCATTCAAAAATGGTGGTTGCGTAGTGTATAATTTTTTTAACACAATCATAGTTATTCACAGGTAAATAATAAATATTTTCATAAAATGAACCACGATTTTACAAGTACAATAGTAAATGATCAAATAATTGTATAGATGGATAAATAAATATCGTTTATGCTTATTAAGAATTATTTTATTTATTGAATAAAATTAATCTAATTAAAATGACGAATATTTTTATATCTCAAATATTAAATATTAAATATTATAGTGTATAATATTAATGTTTGATAAATATGTTTTAGATTTTTAGATAGATATCAAAATTACGTTTTAGTTTTGAGTTTCAGCTTTCAGATAAAGCAAGTAAATTTATCATGTCAAATTAAAAATTTAAGTGAAAAATTATCTGTTGTAGTTGGATCTAAAGATTCAGGATTTGAAGTTGGGTTAGATTTTGTATAAATTATTTCATTTTTTTTAACATAAGCGAAAACAATAATAGTATATTTTTTGTTTACAGAGATCAAATAAATTCATCAATGAACTTTACAATGAAATCTTTTAGTGCTGTAATATTAACAGATAGTTGATATGGGTACTATTCTAAATTTGTTTGTTTTTAATAATGATAATTGAAAAATAAATTAAGTATTTACAGAACATTTTTTTATAAATAACATAACAATATTTTCTTTTATACCTTATATTTCATTGTTTGGAACTAAGATTATCAAAACTCTCCTGTATACCTACATCAAATTTTCTCTACCTATAATATAGTACCATCAAATGGGCAAACTTGGGAAAGTTAAATATCTATTATAATTGTAGTCTTATTAATCTACAGCACTAGTAAAATGTTCAAAGTACTGTTAAGAAACACAAATTATTGATTTAACCACAGTCCCAAGTTGGTCCATTTGATGGTAGTATATATTATATGTTACTCAATAACGCAAAAAAAAAAAAAATATATATATATATATTCAAGAGACATACGTAATTAGTTCCATTTTGGTTATAAAACTAATATATAATTGTTACAATCGTTGAATTATGATAAGTTAATGGAAAATTAAAATTTTAAGTCTAAAATTCGATTTTTTTTTAGGTTGAACAATTTGAACATTTTTTTTACATAATTTATTATAATAAAATACTTATGCATTAAGATGAAATCTTATAGGTACCATTGATTGTAGAAAATTATCATTTTACTGAAAGGTGACATCAAAATATAGGAAAAAGTTTGTTAGGTGCTAAACAAATGTTAACAAAAGAAGTAATTTTTATAATTTATTAAAATAATTTTTACAGTTTCAAAATAGTAATATATTGTAATGTAAATAATTAAATATTAAAGTATAAAAAAATAACTAATTAATTAAAACATGATTTTAATTATTTCGATTAAAACTATAACTGCATGTTATATAGTTATTTTAATCATCATAATTATTAAATACTTTTAATATAAGTATATTTCTTAAAAATTGTCATTTAAGTATACTTTATTTGTAATTTTAACATACTATGACATATTTTAATTAAAAAAAGTAAAAATTTAAATTTCATAATTATTTAAAGCAAAATCTATTTGATCAATGTCAGGATTGTTGAAAGCTGTTGGTTTCATTGCTCGCTGATTAGTTAAAACAATTGGAACTGTTCTTTCCTTGTTATTCTCGTCAATCTAGAAATAATATTAATATATAAATATCTTATTTTATTAATTATTTAAAAAATTAATAGTCAAAAGTTCTACCTTTTTGGGAGCCCCAATTGAAAGTATACCGTCTAAAGATAATTTTGAAGTTATTGTATTTGGATCAACATTGTTTGGAAACTTGTAACGGCGTGTAAAATTGCGAGAAATGAAACCATGCTCATCACTACGTTCATTGTGATTGCCATTTATTACAACAAAATCATCTACTACTTTAACTGACACTTCTTCAGGTTTAAACTGTTGGACGTCTAAATTGACATTAAAAGCATTTTCTTCATTCGATATTTGCATTGGACCCCAAGGGAAAAAGTTCCTCTTTCCTGGATAATTTTTTGGACCTTTTTTGAATGGACATTTATGATGTTCGAACTTTCCTGGTCCAAAATTATGTGACTCATCTTTGTGATGTTCAAAATTGTGTGGTCCAAAATGGTTAAGTCCAAAACGATGAGGTCCAAAATGGTGTGGTCCAAAATGATGTGGCCCAAAATGTTGTGGACCAAACCAATGTGGTTTAGAATGATGTGACCCAAAGTTATATGATTCAATGTTTTGTGGAGACATATTAATGATTTTGAAATTCCGGTTATCAATGTAGAACTTGAGATTTTAATTCAAAAAGTGTTGAGAATTAATTAATGCCTAAAAAAATAATTTAGTTAATAAAATTTTAATTATATTAAATTGTTATTTAAAAACGTCTCGTGGACTAATGAAGTTATTCATTTTTCTAAGTTATACTATAATAAAAAGTCTCCCTTAATAATATCATATAATTAAAATGAACAATGTAAATCCCATATAGTACACAGAAAACTAATATATAACACTAGCATGTACCTTTTAAAAATAATATAACTATTTAACAAAAAATGTAAAGAAAAAACTATAAAACAAATTATTTTAAATAATGTAAAGTAGTATCACAGATATATCACAGTTGAGTTTTAACACTTAAAATTAAAATAATTTAAAATTTAATTAATTAATTTACATCATACTTAAAAAGAAGCACATAAATATTTAATTTGTATAAAATATAACTTACAAAATCCCCAAGTAAGCAGTAATGATATTTGAAATCAACTGGCTGATATAACTGAAGTTTTGTTTTTATATACTATGAAAAATAGTACAGATCATTAAAATGTCAGGGGGGATTCAGTTGCTATGACGATATTTTTATTTTTAATTCTGCGTCATCAACAAAAACAAAAAAATTCTAGAATGATCGAGATACAGCAAATAGTAAGTATGATGTAGCGTTGTTAGCATGAGTCATATGTTCATCACTGGTCAAAAAACTCGAATAATATTATAGAGGTTTTTATAATAATAATTGATCATTATAGAATTGGACCTTATGGTGCAATCAGGGAGATAATTTAAAAGATTTAATTCATAATAGGATATAATTTTGAATGAAGAGACTACCGATAAAATTGATGTTTAATGGAAATATTTCAAACGTCTCCTAGGAAAACATTGAAATGCACTCATGATTTGAACTATATAAAAGGGGTGTTTAATTTATTGAGGAGTTATTTATTTATATAGATTTAATTGGGCGTTGTACCCCTCATCCTGTAATATTTAATCGTTTTAGTCGAAAAATTTCCATTATAAGATGCTTCTAAAAAAATAACAATGAAAAGGTCACACAATTTTGTCAAAATTATGTAATTGACAAACAATTTTTTGTCCTTTCATTTTTTTAGCTTAGAGGCGGTCTTGACTGTTCTGTCTCAGTTCAAACTGGTCCAGTTTGTAAAATTTCCGAATTATTTTATCTTTGATTTTATAAACTTTCATTTAATTTTTATTTTACTTTCAAAAATTAAAACAATTTTATCTTCGTAATTAACATCACAAAAGTGAAGAAGCATCACACATTTTTTAACTAAAAAATTGTGTAAGCTTACAGGGACATTATTAAGGCTTAGTGAGAGAGCAAATATTTTAGAACAAAAATAATTAAAAACAATTTTCTTTAGAGTAATACCCTAAATAAGGGTTAGAAGTATATTAAACTTAAAAATTAGAATCATTATTCAAATATGTTTCAGATAAGAATTTTAAAAGTTTCGTGATATAGCCTTGCTAAGAAATACATAGATATTCACATAGTATGAATGTACTGCAATCATTGATGACTTAGACATAGGAAACTATATATTTTTTTTAATTTTTATTGATAAGTTTCACGTGGTGATAACATATTTAGTAGTAGTTTTTATTAGTTACCACGGTATAAAAACTAAGAACAGATCATTTTATATGTGCTACCATAGTCAGTGAAAATTTGTGTTTTGGTTGCGGCGACGCCATCTTTATAAAATTATTCCTTAACCGTAATCATTCGTGATCATCTGCGTAATTCAGTTTTTCCTTAGATTTTCTTAAAGGAGCCAAATACATGTAGTAAGTTTCCATATTTCTAATGTTTTTATTTGATTATCCTGTTGTTGTATTACGTTTTTGTTTTCACTTATTGTTTTTGTATTAACCTAATCTATGTATTTTTCGTTAACTCTCTGTCTTGGTTGTTTTCACGTTGCTTATTCTATGGTTATAGAGACGCGGGAAGCTGATAAAAGTTCTTTATTTAACAATAATAAGTATTGAGGCTTCCAGAGTCATGTGTCACTTGTTTTTTATTATGTTATAATTCTTGTGTCATTTTACAAGTGGTTATATAGTATAATTAAGTTTTAAATCAAGATCAAAATATGATATGTTAAGATATTACTGAGTGTTAATAAATCACGTTTTGTTTTCCTTGAATACAAAATTTTCATGTAATCAGTTAGTATTTTTAAATTGGATCTTACAAAATAATTTCATTTGTTAAACATGCTAAAATCTGATTTCAAATATGGTTATAAAAATATGAATATTTTGATTAATTTAATGTATTGTAATTACATTTTTAAAATTCCTGTTATCTTGTAATCTTGGTGACAAATAAGTCTTGATTTTGTTAATTTTTAGATGAACTATTGTATCTATGTATTTGTAAACATTTACAGTGAATTTATTTTTAAGATAAATTTTTAAATGTAAATTCTCTGTTTGCATTGTAAGTATTTATGAAAATTAATTTTTTTATTACATACTAAGCAGTGACGTAGCCAAGAAATCACAGGGGGTTTAAGGGCCATGCCACCCTTGACTGTAATTTTTATTGTAAATTGAGTGATGAGCAAAAAAAAAAAAATTAGAAATTTTAATAGGAATATAGCTCAAAATTTTTTGAACTATAATTCCTCCCATCATGAAATCCTGGCTGTCATTGATACTACGTTATAACTGAATATTTAATTAATGTTAATATTTTTGTAATAAAATAGAGTAATTATTTTCTGGTATGCAATTTAAAGTTATTTATGTAAATTATAATATTTAAACATTGCTTTGGCTTCTCTTCATGTTACCTTTAATTAACCATAAAGTTGTCCAATATTTTAAGTATATTTATTATTACTTTTTATTATTAAAAATTAATAATTAAAATAAAATAAAATGAGATAATTTAGTAATGTATGGATTACTTAATTGAAGGTGTTGTTATCATCTACATATTCTATAGTGTTGGTTTAAGTGCTGAAAATACTTTCAAATGAATGAAATACTATTTTAATGATGTAAACATTTTTGTTTCAGGTTTTAACACAAAATTATTTGTTTGTGTGTATGAATGTCTTCTGAGTGAATGGAACGGTGACTAGGTCTTAAATCCAAAGTTACTGTTGCGTATACTTGTCGTCTGTCTGTTGTTGAGTAAGTTTTTATATTGTTAGTGCTGTATTTTTATATCTATCCTTTTTTTTTTTTTTTAAATCTGTAATGTATATTTTGTTAATAAGATTTACTTCAACTATTATGTTTTGTTAGTACTATTTTTTATTTTGTGTGAATAATATCTTTGTTTACTATTTTTAAATTTATTTGTAAAATAAATATATTGTATAATATATTTGTATTATTTATTTTAATTATTAACATGATACAGTTATACATTTACTATATTAATAATTAATTATAATTATAAATTATATGTATGTCTTGTTATCTAAATAATAATAATAAAAAGAAAGTATTTTATATTGATAAAATTGTTTTTTAATTTAACAAGTTAATTTAATTTTTGATGTTATAAGTTTTTACATCAGTATTTTTTTTTATTTTTTAGCTGAATCAATATATAATAAAAATAAATCAATTGCAAAGAAATGGCTACAATGACGGATCAGGTTTCTAAGTTATTAGATTTTTCTCAAAAGCTTGACATTACACTTTTAGAGAATATTGTTGGATGTATGTACACAGGCACTGGTGATCAGGTACAAATACAATTTGATTTATTTTATATGATAAAAGATTTGTTTACACATGGTGTTGGGTTTTAGCAAAGAGCTGCTCAAGAAGTTTTAACTACATTAAAAGAACATCCTGATGCATGGACTAGAGTAGATACTATACTTGAATTTTCAAATAATCAACAAACAAAGTATTTCGCTTTACAAATTTTGGAACAACTTATTAAAACTAGATGGAAAGTTTTACCTAGAAATCAATGTGAAGGAATAAAAAAGTACATTGTTGCATTAATAATAAAAACATCTTCTGATCCAATAACTATGGAAAGAGAAAAGACCTACCTCAATAAATTAAATATAATTCTTGTTCAGGTAATATCTTGGTAGAATTAAAGTTTACCATAAAATGTACCTATATTTTACCATAGGTGTTAAAACGAGAATGGCCAAAAAATTGGGAATCGTTTGTAGGTGAAATTGTTGGTGCAAGCAAATCGAATGCTAGTTTATGTCAGAATAATATGGTTATTTTAAAATTGCTAAGTGAGGAAGTTTTTGATTTCTCAGCAGGCAATATGACTCAAATGAAAGCCAAACATTTAAAAGACACTATGTGCTCAGAATTTGCACAAATTTTTGAGCTTTGTCAATTTGTTTTGGTAAATTCTTTTTTGATATTATATATGCCATTTAAATATAGCCTTGTAAAAATAATTGTTTAAGTATTATATCTGAATACTTTAAAGTAAGATTTATCAGATACATTAAAAAATATATTTTTTACAAGATTTTTGGATAGAAATTATGTGAAAAATATATAAAAGGCACTAATACCTTAATTTTATCTCAATTTTAGAGTTCTTCTCAAAATGTAGCTTTAGTTAGTGCTACGTTACATACACTATTAAGATTTTTGAATTGGATACCCTTAGGCTATATATTTGAAACAGACTTGATTGACACATTGATTTTCAAAGTATTTGATTAATTTACCATTTAGTTAATAAATATATATTAATTAAAATAAATGTTTTTAGTTTTTCAACGTTCCTATGTTCAGAAATGTTACTTTACAATGTTTAACTGAAATAGCAGCTGTAACTGTACCAAATTATGATGCTGCATTTGCAGGATTATTTTCTAAAACAATGGCACAACTTGTTGAGGTAAATAATCAAGATTATATTATGTATAAATCAATTTGTGATAAATATCAATTGTTATAGATGTTGCCCATTCATACTAATATTAAAGAGGCTTATGCATCTGGACAAGATCAAGAACAGAATTTTATTCAAAATTTAGCATTATTCTTGTGTACATTTTTGAAAGAGCATGCCCTTTTAGTAGAAAAAAGTGGTTCTAATGAAGATTTGTTAAAAGTAATTAATATTAATTTTTTATTTGCATAGTTTTATTTAGAGAAAAAAATCAATCAAACTTTCTATTTATTAATTAAGTTAGAATAATAATAAACATAATTAATTTAAATTCGACTATGTTTTAGGCACTTCATTATTTAGTTATGATATCTGAAGTTGAAGAGATAGAAATATTTAAAATTTGTTTAGAATATTGGAATAGTTTGGCTGCAAGTTTATACAGGGAAAATCCATTTGGTCAACTACAAATTGTTGGTCTGTTTTCTTTGTCTCCTAATAGCCGGCCGGATTCTAATGCCATATCTCCAAGACGTCAATTTTATGCTCCCGTTTTATCCCAAGTAAATTGTTATTTATGCCTTAATTAATATATAATTAATATCTAAAAAATTTTCAAAGGTTATAATTAACAAGAAAACCTAAGATGTGTGGAATAATGTAAAAATCTGGAAATATAAATTATTTACTGGAATTTACGTTATTTTGTATTTACATTTGTACTTTGTAGAAAGTTATGTGCTTTATTATTTTTTGTCTTAATAAAAATAATAATCTTGTTTACAGAATTCTATAAATATAATTTTAGAAGAAACTTAAATAGATATTCTTTTTTACCTTTTGTATTGAAAATTATGTTTGTTAGTTACTTTATATATTACTTTTTTTTATTAAAATGTTTCTTCAATTAAAGCATTTATTAAATACAAATAGATAAATCATACTGTAGGAATTTTTGGTATCCAAATATTCTTAGATATTACTAGATATTCTTAGTGTCATCAATTTTGATTGGCTTATAATTACTTTTGCTTGATAAATAGCGCTGCCTAACAGACTCTTACAGTTAGAGTCTAAAAAGAGTGTTGCCGAAATTTCTTATTGAATAGTCTGTTTATAATATATCAATGACTAAAGTAAAATTTGAATCCTTTTAATTATTTTAATTAGTTATTTTATTTGTATAGTTACCGCTTGATGTGAATGTATTATATTTAGGGTTAATTTTTCTGATAATGATAATTTGTTTTATTGAAGGGTTTAAGTAAAGTAGGAAGGTTCAATGAATAATCTATGCTTAAATCCTTAATGTTCTATAAAATTCTTTTACTTGCTTGCCTAATATTTTGTGTTAAATATATTATGGTGGTAAAAATAAAAAAAATTCACTGCTATAATTAAGAAAAAAATCTGTTTATATTATTTTTGTAATTACTTTTCTTGTTTAAGTAATTTTTTATGTAAATTATATTGAATGTTACATTTCAATCATTTTTAGATGCGATATATAATGATAAGTCGCATGGCTAAACCAGAAGAAGTTTTAGTGGTAGAAAATGAAAATGGAGAAGTAGTTCGAGAGTTTATGAAAGATACAGATGCTATTCATTTGTATAAAAGTATGAGGGAAACACTTGTCTATTTGACTCATTTAGATTGTGTTGATACTGAACGGATTATGACTGAAAAATTACACAATCAAGTTAATGGAAATGAATGGTCATGGAAAAATTTGAATACTGTAAGTTTTATTACTTTTTCTTATTTATTCAAACTATCTAATTGAATTTTTCTTTCAGCTTTGTTGGGCAATAGGAAGTATATCTGGAGCAATGCATGAAGAAGATGAAAAACGATTTTTAGTTACAGCTATTAAAGATTTATTAGGTTTATGTGAACAAAAAAAAGGTAAAGACAATAAAGCAATCATAGCCTCAAATATCATGTATGTCGTTGGTCAATATCCTCGATTTCTAAGAGCTCATTGGAAATTTTTAAAAACTGTTGTCAATAAACTTTTCGAGTTCATGCATGGTGAGTATAGCAATTTTTTTAATAAAATTTTCATAAAATTTTTTAGTTACCTGCATATTTCAATTTGATACAATAAGTAATTTTTATAATTTCATTGATAATATGCTATAAGAATTAATATGCTTCAATTAAATAAGTAGGTTTCATTAGAATAATAGATTTTAGGTCTTTTTTCTCGAGAAATGAATGTAACGGTTTTTAGGAAAAGTGTCTGGACATTTTTGAGATGATTTTGTAATTTTGAGTGAAAATGTTTATAATACAAAGATGTAATTTTAGCATCATTGAGAATATTAAGGCCAGAGAGAAAAGGTAAGAGTGGAGAATTGATTTGTGATAAACATTGGAGCTTTGGTTATGATTCTGAAGCAAATAGCTTGAAAAGCTTATATTATCTTGGTATTTGATGGTTTGAGAAAATGACAATGCTATAGGTCCATATAGGTTTGTGTAGTTTTCTGTATCATTAGTTTGTTATATAGAGACATATTAGAATGAAGGAGGAGTCTAATAACATTTAGTTTTGAATTAAGTTTTCTTTTAGATATTGTGCTCAAATATGATGTTCATCAAAAATGAGTTCAAAGTAATTTACTTAATTAGTTTGTGGATTTATGGTGTATTTTAAATCTATTCAGTTATAATATTACACTTTAAGAAATTAACTAATTTGAGTACTATTACACCATACAATTTACTTAGATTTTTAACTCCCATATTTCTGTTTCCTATCTTAGTGTAAGGATAGGCTTTCAAAACTTGAAACAGATAAAGCTCAAGTTGTTTAAACACTGTACAATTTTTACCTCTTAATGATAAAATATTTTAATATGAGAAAGTATCATATTAATTTATTCATTTCTATTACTAACTAAGTCATTGACTCATCATTAAAATTATAATAGACTTCCCATATAAGTAGGAATATAAAATTTGGCACAAAGATATATCTTGTAGTCCAAATTAAGGACAAAATATTTTGTTAAAATTGTTTTCTTTTAAATAAACAGTCTTACTAGTGGGAATGTTTTTTGAAGGTAGCAGGGTTAGCAGACACTTAATTTGCTCATTTTTTAGTGGTTCATAATAATAATGATATTCTTAATAAAAACTATGAAAAAATGCTAGTTGCTACACTTTCTCAAAAAATTCCACATAGTAAGTTTTTGTTGAGGATTGGTTATGTCTTGATGTGTTCTTTTTTTTATTGCTAAATTTGTTGAGAAGTTGTTTGTATATTTCCTTTTATTATTGAATGTGTTAATTTTAACATTCTTAAAAGTAATCTAAAAGAGCAAAAAATCAATTAAATTGTAATGATTTTTATTAGTCTTGTCATTTTTCTATTAATATATTAATAGATAAGAGTAAATTAAGATATTTATCAACACTTATACATAGTCCAATGATGAATGATTGCCATGCTAATTTTGATTTTTTATTGATAAAACTCCTTACATTTTTTCTGAGGACTACTATACATAGTGATTCTTTTGAGTTTATTTCTTTCACAAAAAGTGCTTTTAGTTATTTACTTACAGTTAGTTATAAAACTAAAAAAAAGTATATTATTAGATTTAAAAAATTATGATAGTTTATTAGTCTTCTAAGAATTTATTTTCATTTTGTTTCGTATTAATAATTTTAATAATTCTATTTCATTGATTTCTCATAAATTTCTCATCTTCAAAAATTTAGCAAGAGACATTTTTTAAACTAGTAAATTAGGATACTCACATTTTGATTAGTTAATATTTCTAGTCCCCTTGTTCACTATAATTTTGTCCTTTTTTATGGCAACTAACTTAGTAAAAACCATTTATTTAAAAAATATACGTTTATTAATTCTATAACTAGTTATAGTTATTTATGTTTAGAAAATACTATTTTTTTCTTTCAATGAGAACATGTTAAATAATCCTGTGGTACATTTTGATGATGAAGTATTGCATTTAAGAAATAATAATTATGATTTTTTGATTAGTCTTCCTGAAATTAACTACTAAAGTGCCATAGTGAAATAGTTGGAATATTTTATTTTATTAACTTACAAATGATTATAAGTTGGATCCAGATAACTAAATGAAGATATTTATCTAAGGAACCTATGATGTTACTTGATTCAAATGTGTATTAAGCTTAAGAATGTACTGTACTTTTAAAAACAATTTAAAAATATTTTTTTTTGTATTGTATAATTCATAAATTCAGCGCATTAATAAAACTAGTAAGTTAGGATACTCACATTTTGATTAGTTAATATTTCTAGTCCCCTTGTTCACTATAATTTTGTCCTTTTTTATGGCAACTAACTTAGTAAAAACCATTTATTTAAAAAATATACGTTTATTAATTCTATAACTAGTTATAGTTATTTATGTTTAGAAAATACTATTTTTTTCTTTCAATGAGAACATGTTAAATAATCCTGTGGTACATTTTGATGATGAAGTATTGCATTTAAGAAATAATAATTATGATTTTTTGATTAGTCTTCCTGAAATTAACTACTAAAGTGCCATAGTGAAATAGTTGGAATATTTTATTTTATTAACTTACAAATGATTATAAGTTGGATCCAGATAACTAAATGAAGATATTTATCTAAGGAACCTATGATGTTACTTGATTCAAATGTGTATTAAGCTTACGAATGTACTGTACTTTTAAAAACAATTTAAAAATATTTTTTTTTGTATTGTATAATTCATAAATTCAGCGCATTAATAAAACTAGTAAGTTAGGATACTCACATTTTGATTAGTTAATATTTCTAGTCCCCTTGTTCACTATAATTTTGTCCTTTTTTATGGCAACTAACTTAGTAAAAACCATTTATTTAAAAAATATACGTTTATTAATTCTATAACTAGTTATAGTTATTTATGTTTAGAAAATACTATTTTTTTCTTTCAATGAGAACATGTTAAATAATCCTGTGGTACATTTTGATGATGAAGTATTGCATTTAAGAAATAATAATTATGATTTTTTGATTAGTCTTCCTGAAATTAACTACTAAAGTGCCATAGTGAAATAGTTGGAATATTTTATTTTATTAACTTACAAATGATTATAAGTTGGATCCAGATAACTAAATGAAGATATTTATCTAAGGAACCTATGATGTTACTTGATTCAAATGTGTATTAAGCTTACGAATGTACTGTACTTTTAAAAACAATTTAAAAATATTTTTTTTTGTATTGTATAATTCATAAATTCAGCGCATTAATAAAACTAGTAAGTTAGGATACTCACATTTTGATTAGTTAATATTTCTAGTCCCCTTGTTCACTATAATTTTGTCCTTTTTTATGGCAACTAACTTAGTAAAAACCATTTATTTAAAAAATATACGTTTATTAATTCTATAACTAGTTATAGTTATTTATGTTTAGAAAATACTATTTTTTTCTTTTGATGAGATTATATATCTAAGATACTTTTTAAGTCAATAAAAGGCCATAGCAAATTTTCTCAAAGGGTAGGTTTTATTAACTATTGTTACTCCGGGATAGGTGGTTAATCTGTTGTTGCTGAGTGAGATGACAACACCACTTATCCAATTAATTTCTCACTCGACAAATGAAACGGCCTGTAACCAAGTTTGGAAATTGAGACTGGTTGCTTCAAACACTGTTGCTGTGTTACTGACTCTTCACACCATCTTACATGTTTATATATTATGTTACATAATAATTTATGTTATATTTCATAATATAATTATATATATTATGAAATATATTTAAAATTTAAGTATGTTTTATCTCTAATTTATTATATCATGTTTTTTATTTGTATACAAGATTTGAAATTTATTGGTTGTTTTAATTTTCTTATGATTATATATTAGAACCTACTATCTATTTGAAGATACTTATCTAAGGAACCTATGAAAAATTTAATTATAATTTTTTTGTATTTATACATTTTATACTTAAATTACAATTGCTTATGTGATATCTCTGCTAAGTTTCATTTGTTAAAATAAACAAAAAATTGAATAAACTTTGTGATGAAAACTTTTTTATTATCACAGTGATTATCATAATAATTTTTGGTTAGTGTTCCTAAGATTTTTAGTATATATTATAAATGATTAGAACTTATTTAATTTTTCCTAAAAAATTGTCCAATGATGAATTTTTGCCATGCTAATTCTGATTTTTTCATGATCAAACTTTTTAAAAATTTTCTGAGGACTGCTAAATAAATATTATTTTATTTTTTACATGGATGAATTTTGTTTTATTTAAATATTAAATGTAAACAAATAATTCATTTATTATTTATACATGTTGTTTCTCTGATTTTTAAAACCCACTCCTATTAAAAATAAACACTAGTAATAGCTAAGCTTGTTCTTATGATTTTAAAGGTATGACGACATTTTTACTACATCTCCAAATGATACAAAATATCTTGACTACTTAAATTTTTTCTCATGGAGATCTCTATTGAGATAGAGATTTACTGTGAGAATATTCATAGTGTCAGTTTTCATCCATTTGTATTAGTATTTATTTTCATTTCAAAATTTTTATTTAATATTTAATATTTTAGAAACTCATGATGGAGTTCAAGATATGGCTTGTGATACATTTATAAAAATTGCTTTAAAATGTAGAAGATATTTTGTTCAAGTGCAAGTTGGAGAAGCAATGCCTTTTATTGATGAAATTTTGAATTCTATGGCAACAATTACCAGTGATTTGCAACCACAACAAGTATTTAAAGTTGTTTAGTAGTTTTTATTTGTTAACCATGAACATTTTAATTAGGTACACACATTCTACGAAGCTGTTGGAATAATGATTGCTGCCCAAGTAAATTCTAAAATTCAAGAGCAATTAATTGACAAGTACATGCTTTTACCTAACATAGTGTGGGATGATTGTATCATTCAAGCTTCTAAAGTAATACATTTGTTTATTTAGAATTTTAAATTAATGTTAACTGTCACAAATACAATTTTTTTAAAATTTATTTCAAGTTTTTAATATTTTAAGTCTTTAATTTATAATTTCATTTTTTTTTTAGGATGTTGAGATATTAAAGGAACCAGAATTTGTGAAACAATTGGGTAACATTTTAAAAACTAATGCCCGAGCATGCAAGTCACTTGGTCATCAATATGTTGTTCAAGTAAATATATATATGATTTAATTACATTTTTCTCCTTTATTTATCATAAACTATTTGTTTAGTTGGGTAAAATATATTTGGACATGTTAAATATATATAATGTCATGAGTGCTAATATTACTGATGCTATCACAACTAATGGAGACAGTGTTACTAAACAGCCATTGATTAAGAATATGCGTGTAATTAAAAAAGAAACTTTACGTTTAATATCGGACTGGATTTCAAAGTCTAATGATAATGCAATGGTAATGATACATTAATTGTCATACTTTTTTTTTAAAGTATCCAAAGAAAAAATATTTAACTTTTTACATGTTAGGTGCTGGAAAACTTTATTCCTCCTCTTTTGGAGACTGTATTGGCTGATTACAGTAAAACGATGCATCCATCTGCAAGAGAACCAGAAGTTTTAAGTGCCATGGCCACCATCATTGATAAACTTCAATCTGACATCACACCAGCTGTTCCAAAGATATTAGATGCTGTATTTGAAGCTACATTAACTATGATAAATAAAGATTTTGAACAGTTTCCTGAACATAGAACCAATTTCTACCTCCTTTTACAAGTATATATCAATTTTTATTTGGTTATTTTACATTTACAATATAAAATTGAAATAATTGTACATTTATTGTTCTAAGGCGATAAATAATCATTGTTTTGTGTCATTCCTTTCAATACCAGCACCTCAATTTAAATTAGTTCTAGATTCAATATTTTGGGCTTTTAAACATACTATGCGGGATGTAGCAGAAACTGGATTATTGGTAAAAACATTTTATTTATTAGTTCATAGTATTAAATAGTTGCTATACTCCTATATAATCTTATATTTTTAATTTTCAATATTATTCATGAATGTATTAAAGCAACTTTTGTAGATTATTGTGTATTATTTAGAATTTTTACAGATTTATCTGAATACATGCTTCTAATTATAAATAAAATAAAATTATATAACACAATTCTGTACTTCTGTTCCTGATAAAAGGAATTTACACACACACACAGATATATATATATAAATAAATTCCATTGAATAATTAATAAATTCCTTTGAAGTGATAGATGATCCAAACTATTTGAGCATATTTAAGATATTATTTAATTAACTTTTTAATCTCTTGATTATTTATAATGTTTCATTTTTTTTTATTTTAGATATTATATAAATTATTACAAAATGTTCAGCAACATAAACAAGCTGCTCAAAGTTTCTATGTCACTTATTTTACTGATATTTTACAACATGTTTTTTCAGTTGCTACTGATACCTCACATACGGCTAGTGAGTAATTTTATTTTTTTATTATTATTTGTGTCATGAAAATAAATAATCATTTTCTTTTAAGGTTTATTGATGCATGCTCAAATTTTATCATACATGTTCAAATTGGTGGAAAGTGATCGTATTGAGGTTTTATTAAGTGCGCCTGGTGCTCCACCCGATGGTGAAGTTACTGAAAAAAATGTTGCATATGTGCGTGATTTTGTTGCATCTCTCTTAAAAACAGCTTTTCCCCATTTAGCTGATCCTCAGATTGCCCTTACTGTCCAAGGAATGTTTAATCTTAATCATGATCTAAATGCTTTCAAAGACCATCTTCGAGATTTCCTTGTTCAAATTAGGGTAAGAAAATAATATTATCTTTAACTGAATTTTTTTAACATGTATGTACAATTTATTAACTTGATAATTTTATTTATGTATTTATTTTTTAATTTAGGAATTTACTGGTGAAGATATTTCTGATTTATATCTTGAAGAAAGGGAACAAGCTTTAAGACAAGCACAAGAAGAAAAACGTGAAATCCAAAAATCAGTACCTGGTATATTAAATCCACATGAAATCACTGATGATATGCAAGACTAGATAAGAATATAAAGCGGTTATCGCATCACTTAAAAACCTAATGGTTATGTTAAATTTGGTTATTATTTAATCTTCCTTATCCATTCAATCAGAATATGGACTTTAACTCGGTAGAATGTTTAGTCATTTATTTTTTCATTAAATCTGTTTTTTTCTATTATAAAAATCAGTGTATTAAAAATGAAACTAAAACTTAAGTTTTGTTTGTTATATAAAGATATATTCAATTTATTGGGTAATAATTGACAGGCTCATTGCATTTGTTTAAGTTTTGACTTATTTTGGCACTTGTAAGCATTTATGGTTTATCATACCCACCTATTCTATTTAGACTACTCTGTAAGTTTTATCACTAGCATGGTAAAAGTTTTTTGTATTACATTCTATGCAGTTCTACGTTTGAAACAATAGTATGTCCTCCTTTTTCTCAATAAATTGGTTGAATATTTGTATATATTTAAAGAAAATTGTGAATTTAGTTTTTTTTTTTTTTGTTAATTTATAAATTATTAAAAACTAAAGTTTGGTAAAAAGACATAGCATGTTAAAACAACACTCTTAAATGATGGTTGAGTTTTATATTTTAAAACCTAATTGTAAAAAATCATTGTACAAATTTTTCTTTATTTTTTTATATTAATAATATGAACGAGTTAATGAACTTGACCTTACAGTTTAGCATTAAAATTTTGTTATCTACTATTTAATAAGTTCACTATAATTTGTTCCCAATTAGGTTCTAGTGTTATTGGCATTTAATAAAGTTAAAATGACTTTTTATAAAATTATTTGTATAAAACCTTGTTTTTCAATTTAAATTATAAATAAGACTTTTTTAACAGAATAGTCTTAAAAGTATATTCAACATTGGTATATCAATTAAGGGCTATATGATGTGTAGAAATTAATACAAATTTCCTTTATTCATTCATAACTATTTGAAACTTAGTATTGATATTGTCTAATTTCATCATCTAGTATTTTCAAAATTCTATATAAAATATTGTTTCATGACAAATTGGTATTTGTTTATCTAAGAAGCATTTACATTTTAATTTCTTTTTGTTTCTTTTGTGATTAATTCCACAACAATAACAATCCTGCATCTTCAACAATAATAATTTATTTATAATTAGATCTATAGTGTTAAACATCTTTATTTAATAAATCAATGAATATTAAAAAATCTGTTAATATTTTTAATTTGTGAGTTTCAGTATTTCATTAATTTTCTTTTTACCAATTATCTCTTAATATTAAGTGAAATTTTACATAGTAAATTTGTGGTATTATGTATGTATGTATTTCAGTGGACCTAATATTTAAAATTTAAGAACTATTAATAAACTAATAATATTGCTCAATAAAACTAAAAATGCCATCTGAAAATTTATATTTCATCAAGAATTAATATATTTTCTTACTTTAGATAATGCCAAATCTTCTTCATGTTGATTTATTGAAACTTGTTTTTTTTTTTGATTAGTTAAGGGTAAATAATTTTGATTATCATTATTCTGATAGTCTTAAAAAGAAGAAAATATTATAATTTTCTATTTATTTAAATTCTGGTTTACTTTTAAAAATATTTTTTGATATATAAAATAAATAAAATTACAATAATTGTTAGTAATAAGGCTGTGATAAAAGAGATGGGATTTTATATTTGGGATCCCGTAAAAAAATAAAATTTTGTGTTAGTTATGTTCAAAATTGAAATTTCTTTATGGATAATCTAAATATATTTACATGCAAAATAAAGGCATTCGTATTTATTTTTGAAGTATTATTATTCCTGATTACAATTGAATGACTAATTTGCTTCTAAATTATTTTTACATGATGTATAAAAATGTTTAAATAAATAAAAATACTTTAAATATTTTCACGATTAATTACATTTTAATAGAAGTAAAGATGATTTACTTGCATGCTGATTTTGAATGATTATACTGGTGTTTGAGCTAGATAAATTGTTATCCGCGTTACAAAGAGAATAATCCAGTGGGTTATTCAATTTGTTAATGTAACAGTTTTTTGAGTGGCAATTTTCACATGAGATATTTGTTTTCAAATTCTTTGTTTCTTGTTTCTTGTCATCAGAGTTATTACTTTGTAACATACTACGATACATTATTTTTGAGTAGCTATTTGGGCTGGGTGTAGTGGGTAAAGTTTTTGCTTTGTTTTGATGTCGTTCTTTATAAGCGATAAGTTTTTTCAAATCTGAAATATTTTGTATCAGACCATGATTTTTATTCGTGAATTATAAGTTTTACACATTTTATTTAATAAATATGTACTTTTGTGTGAAATTTTTTTTTAAGTCACTTCTTTATTTATTCATGTTAATTCTATAATAAACTACTACTACATACCTTCTATAAACCTGTTTAATATCTCTGGTGCTATGTTTGTGTAACCCAATATTTCTAAATGCCTCTTTACCTCGTATGGCTCTATATGCATATTTGCAAGCTGTAATAACTACTTTAAGATATAATAAATATTGAAATTAAAATGACAGGTAAATTGTTAGTTTTAAGTTTCTAGGTATAATGTTTATCAGCCAAGATTTTTGTATAAAACAAATGTAATAGATTTAAATTATTGATTTCAAAACAAAAATTGATTTTATTTTGTAAATAAAATATTTTGCTGCTGACATAATTTCTAAGTAATATCTTTCAAGGTGCCAATAATATTGGAGCCATTTCATTTCATTGTGATTTTATTTTTTGTATTATGTAGACAATACCTATTTATAATATTTGTTGGTTTCAAATAAAGCATTTACTACTAATATGTTGCTCAGCATAACTTTTGTTATCAAAAATTATAATCATGCAAACAAATTATTATTTAACGGTGTTAGATTTAATATTGGTGAAGAATTTACATGCAGATAAAGCTATTGAATGAAATGAATAAAAGTTATTTTTTGAAGTTATTAATTTTTCGAGGACCTATATAATATATAATTTAAAAAAATAATATACAGATTGATGCTTTTATTAGAACACACTAAATTCTTCACAAAATAAATACAATATTAAAAAAAAAAAAAGTACAGTGCAGACGCAGTAGTTTGGATAAATATAGATATCAGACAGTGATTAAAGTCACTAATATAAAAAACGCTTCGATGCAAATATCTAGATAGTGTTTAATTTTGAGGAGGAATTGTTGGATTATTCCAAAAACTCAAAAGAAACTCCTTAATAACTATATTTGTAAATATAGATTTATAAAAAAATTAAGAATTATTAATATATAAAGAAAAAAATTGTTAACTTTCTTAAATCGATTATTCCGACTTTCGTTAGTTAATTATCATTTCAGTTACGAAATTGACATTGTAATTTATCATAAGCTATTGGTGGCTAGAATATTTTTTTTGAAAGGACAGCCTCCCTCTTTCCTTTTAATACACTTATTGGATTGCACATTGATAGCTGTAAAAATTCTCATTAAATATATTTATAACATTTAAATCTTTTTTATTTATTGTAAAACGGAGGTACTTGCCGCCATTTTATTTATATTCTATAACCAAAAATGAAGACATAAATTTAAAAATATTGAAAAACGTAATTATAACAGGATAAACGGTTGTTTTTCACACAAAAAATGTTTTTTTATTTAACTTCGTAGCCGTACATATAGAAAATTAGTCGTTAGGGTAATTTTTTTTCTTAACTTATAAAATGTATCATAAGTTTTAATTTACCATGTGTTTGCCAAAATCTTTCGGAAACTCAGAATATTCTGAGATTTCGAAATATTAAAAAAGTTAAGTTGTAAAGGTAAAGTTTGTGCATAAGTTAGTGTTAGGGATTTTTACTGAGGGCAGTAAATTTTCATAATTTAAAAAAATTTATATTAAATCAAAGAAAAATACCTAAGGTATTTAAAAAAAAATATAGATTTTGATTAATATTAACTTCAAATAAGTTACGGGAGTATTTAGAAAATAAAGGTAAAACTTTTAAAATAGCAATTTTAATGGGGTTTAACCTTATTTAAAGAGGACGAGGAATTTTTTTTAAATTTTTGAATGCAATCTCTTATAAAATAACATTTTAGCTAATTTTTCGTATTTAAATCTATAGTAATCCATTTTAACAGTAAATACTTAGAACTACTAGACTTAATATTATCTAACATTTTATTGTCAATTTATATGTGTCATTCGGCTTTACTTATATTATTTTATTAAAAAATTTTAACCTTTAAAGTATAACTAAAATTGTTTATGATTTCAATAATTGTAATTACAATGTTATTAAATCATAAATAGCTTCAATTAATTGGCCAGTTAAAAAGATAGATGTATAAATAATGCTATTGAAAAATTTTATAATTTTATTCTCAAGATTATTGATAATAATTGTGCATTTGTGCTTAAGTAAGTATCCAATCTGGTTTAGTTAAACATTGAGAAAATTATTATTAAAAAAAAAAACAAGCTCACAAATTGTATTAACTGTCAATTACTACTTAAGCCATATTTTTTCATTTATTTGGGGTAAGTGTGATTTGCAGTCTCAATTAGATTACAGTATGGATATAATGTACGACATTAAAAACCAATAGAGTACGTAAATTTAATCTGATTATAGATAATACATCATAGATATTCAGATTTTTTTACTTTTCATAACTTTAGGCAATTTATATAATGTAAACGATCATATATTTCTATTCCTTCTTCGATAACTTGTATGAATCAATTTATAATAAGCGGTGATGTTTACCGCTTATTAGTAATAGATGTAATAGTTCCCAATTTTTCAAAAAAAATTGTTTAAGTCCATCTCTTATATTAGTTCCTTAAAATTATTAGAAACAAGGGACAGCCTTTAGAAGTATTTAACCACTTCAAAATTGAGAAATAAATAATATTAAACAAATTCAAACATTTTTTTTTTCAAAATTACTATTTTAGAAGAAATGTAGTGGTCAAAATAAATCACCTGTATATCATATATAAATAATAATTTTGTTATTTTTAAGATTGACCATTTTACTGTGCTATTAATATTTCTATTTTTCGTATTATGACTTTTTTGTACAATGTATTTTATTTCTGTCGTTTTTTTATCAAGTACTTTTTTCTGTAGATTTATTTTTGTAGCTTTTTTCCTGGGATTTACAATTGCCACATAAAAGTCAACACAGTATTAATTGTTTAATTTCTATTGATTTTTAATTAATTGATTAATTTGGTAATCAAAAAGTAAAAACGTAAAGATAAATTTATTTAATTATTAAATTTGTATAGGATTTTGACTGTTTTGTGACTTAATCAAGAAGATGGAGCAAACAAAAGATTCTTAATATGTGATGATTGACTTAGTATGATGAACAGAAACATTGCTACATATTAAGCAGGTTATTTAAATTATAAGATAAGTTAAAAAACAAAGTAAACAAATATTTTATTGTTATTTTGTTTAATATAATAAACGTAACTTTATGTGATTTTAGTGCATTAATACATTTAATAGCAAAGTTACAAAATATAATAAATTTTTTAAATATTATTTAACTACATATGCCCAAAATTTGATTAATTTTGGACATATGTAGTTCAATTTTAAATAAATATTATTTAATTTTAGATAAATTAAGTCTACTTTCAGAAGAATTTAATTCAATTTTTTCGATGTAATAGTATATCTATAGTTCAGTGTCTTATTCGCTTCATTCATTAATGTTTAGACTATTAAGTTGCCTATACAAAACTCTTTGTTTCCTTTAAGTGTATTAATTTTATTTTTAAATGTTAACATATACAAAGTGATTTTTTTAACTATCTTAAAAAGTAAAAAATGACTAATCGATAACAACTTTAGTACCAGTACTGTATAAGTTCATAATTTTATACATAGGTGTAGAATATATTTTGAAGGAATTATTACTGAGTGGCACAAATAGAAGAGGATTATTTTAAAATTGTTTTAAAGTTTAACTCTCCTTAGAAAGTGAGGTAATTTACACAGCTACATAGAATGTGGGAGTTTATCTAATGAGAAATTCATCTTCAAATCTGAATACACTACTTGGCACTATTACTGAAGATTTATCCAAATCATTATTACAACTGGCAAGTAAGTAAGTAAAATTATTCTTTATATTTTCAGACGTCGTTTGGCAATTTATAGTTTTTACTATTTTTATTAAAATATATATATATATAAAAAGAAAAATTTAATGAATTTTTTATACATGAAGTTGAAGAATCCCTTGAATTCCTTTGATACCTAAAAGGAAAAATTATAAGATTCACCTTGAATCTGGTAGGGTCGGCTCAAGACGTATATGGCTCCGAGGTAATACCTTAAGATGGGCCCCTCATGGAAAATATCGCTACGAAAAATAAAATTGTCATTAATTATAACTAGGCTTTAAAATTCGAGATTGTGCCCGTAAGTTTTTGGTTCTAGGGGCATTTGCCCCCTTAATTCGGACCTGCATTGAAGGCACTAATTAATTAAATTTTACTAGTTAATGAGACTACATTGTAATGATTCTTTACTGGGTTGGCATTAGTACCACTCACTTTATATATTAAAATATACTCTGTACAGGCGAGAGGAGAAGTGCAGCCAAAAAATGTCTAATAATATAAATAGTCAATGGGTGATACGGGTAATACCGCTCAATTAGATATTTCGATTAAATAATAAAATTAAACTAAAAATTATTTATGTAGATATCATCAAAGTATTTATTTTAAATATTATAATATTTATGATCCATTTTGAGATAATCTATGTCAAAACTAAATGTATTTCAGCTTTTAATTGCAATTTTTGATCAATTTATTATTTTAGTGATGTTTTATCTAATAATACTAATTTAATTAGTAATTTTCTTAAATCAATCATTTTCTATTTTATAAGCTAGTTAAATATATATTGTGATAAAAAAGTTGATACGCCTATAAGCAGAGTTGAGAAAAAACATGTTTTTTTATATTTTTTAAACAAGTTAAAAAAAAAAAATACAAATTTTCAGGGAAAACTCATATTTTGCCCTGTTGGAAGGTGAATGGAACAATTGAAAAAAATTGTAGTGTTAGTCTAGATAGATATAGTTCTCATGTAAATTTTAGATTTTAAATCCATTCACAAAATAAGGAAAAATTGTAGAAGCTTAACTTTTTCATCTTACCTCGCCTTACCCTACTAAGTTTAAAATGTAAATTTAAGTACCCCGAACTCATGAGAATCATCTACAAGTAATATCAATGTTTAATAATAGTAAAATTGTTGGTTACCACTTGAAAATTGTTATCGAGACACCTGGACTTATGATCACTTCATACAATAGTCTTTATAAATTCCTGGTAATAGTTTTTGATATTTGTGATAAAATATAGATTTAGGTCTGCAAAATTATTTGTTAAAACTCATTGTATGTTATCTCATGAACTCCTGGTATGAAATTTTAATCTTACAAATGTTTAATAAAGTGATAGGAAATGGTGTCTTTGGACACAGCTTTTTATGAATCGCGATTTGCAAAGTTGTCAGGAGAACCTTCAAGTTTTCCAATACAATTATATGTAATAATCCGCAACTTTTTCAATAAATAAATGAACACATATTTATATAAATGTTTTGTTATATTCGTCATTTAAAAGTAATTACTGTTTGGGGCTAATATTTCTTATGCTGTATGTTATTTATGTTTATTAATGACTTTAATTATATCTTGATTAAAACTATATAAAATCTTTTTATGTGTCAATGAAATTAATAACAATATTTAACAAAATTTATTTTTAAATTTTTACATTTATAATAAGGATAGTATTTCTATCACGATTTGACTACCTACGTACTTTGTCTAACGTTAAAATTATACGAGAGATTAATCTTTGTGACGTACTTACAAGTCACAGTATAATATGAATTCTTTCTGTGTATTAACTTAGAAAGCAAGTTGATAACTACTTCTTTGTATGGTCATCACTGAAATTAAACAAATATTTAAGTATTGATTGATATACTTTCATGCATCATTATTATTCACCTAAATCAATTGGAATATCAAGTCTATTTTCATTGTATATTTTTTCAAACGTATTGCTCATTCTGTACAATATTATAATCACTATTATTGTTATGATTGAAAACATAAAAAATTCAGTCGACTATAGTTAGGACAAATATTAGTATACACTTTATTTTTAATTATTAGTTAAAGAAATCATTACCTTATTGTCGAATAGAATTGTATGGTTAAAAAATATTACAATTAAATTTCCCAGTGCAACCGATAAGTACCACATGGACAACGATACGGTTTTCATGGATTCCGGTGCCTTAATAAAAAAAAAATGTACGAATTAATCAGATTAAAGTGTGTTTTTGCGCTTTACACGTTTATCTAAAATTGTAAGCATTAATTAATAGAAGTTACTTCTGAAAATGTGAATGCAAGTCCTGTCAATGTAAAAAGGGTTTCGCCAATTGCCATACAAATGAATTGTGGTAGTAACCATTGTAGACTTATTCCTCGTGGTCGGTAGAGACTAATTAGTTGACTCTTCTAATTATAAATTATAGAACTGAGTATAAAAGTTTAATCTGAGAGAAATTTCTGATTTTACGTACATAAATTACTTTAGAGTTCCAAAGTCCTATGTAAACGTAGTTCTCTTTTTTTTCTAACTTGAAAACATTACTGCGAGTCCGGTACAGGTTTTTGTTATAATTATTAATCGTAAAAGTATACCTGTTATTGTATTTTTATTATTGTTAAGTACATTTTCCACTAGATATTTTTTAAAATGTTAATATTAATCCAAATAAAATATGTTATATTAATTATAATAAGAAAAGAACTGTATTGCTTACAGAAAAAAAGTTTTTTTAACTACAATTAAATATGTTGGATAATATATCGTCACGTAGAATCGAAAATCTCCATGAAATGCCAATGCCAAAAAGAGAAATCGTATTAATAGATTGTTGTGTATTTTTCTGATTTTAGAGATATAAAAATATTTAAATTTAGCTTTTACACTTTGGGGGCTTTTTACTTCAGGCAACGATGTGCAGTTAATATACAGCCCAGATAATTTACATTAATTTATAAAGATATAACTTATATGAACGCTCCATTATCAAACATTGCTAATTGTAGTTAAAACAATTTATTTTTTATGTACACACAAATCGTTATTCTAGATGATTCATCCAAATGTATTTTGATTTGTTGCCATTTAATGTTTAAAATTTTTTTATAACAAAAAACTAGCCTAAAAATAATTTAATGATAAATGCTCTGTCTTACTTGCCCGGATTCACTTGTACTACATTTGTTTTAATTAAATGCATAGAATCATCTGTTGTTGTTTTTAAAAAGTATAGGTGTTTAATTGATGATTGTAAATTGAAGAATGTCGAATTTTTTATATCAGTCCAATGATCAAAAGTATCATCTAATAGAATTGTTGAACTAAATCAAATCAAAATTTTTTATAAAAAATCAAACAAAAATATGTTTGAATCAATTCAAATATTTTACTAGAGTAACGGTGAATTATTTTTTCTATAGTTATTGATGAGATTATTTGATAAAATTTGAGTAGTAATTTTCAATGAATAATTTTTCGTTTCCAAAGAGAGAATAATCAATTTAGTCTAATGAATATATTGTGAATATAGATAAATAATAAATATATTTACATTTTCAGACATATTTTCTAATAATTAGTTACTTTTACCGTGTTTATTTGTAATCTTATTTTATACTTTTGTCGGGTGATAATTTTGTCACATCCATCATCTACTGATATCCCAACGTAAACGATATTTTCTGGTATTAAAAATACATTTCTTTTGAAAAAGTATTGATTTTCATTTATTTTTTCCACTGATGAGTTCGAAATCCAAATCTTCACCGAACACGGTAACATGTTTACAATGTATACGTTTGACACATCCGATCTTAATGTATTTTTTAGATTATTCTTTAAAATAAAATTCTGTCATAATTTAAGTATGAAAATTTTCATATTTGATGCTCAGAAAATATAATTAAAAGTGTTGATTATAGACTTAAATTAAATATAATTTGTTACAGGATAAAAGTTTAATTTTTATCAGATACTCTATAAAACTATTACTAAGACATGAATCACATATACATAATTTTTTTGTTTTAAATGTAATGCAGTCAATTATTAAATAGCCATATGATACTCTCTAGTAAGTCTCTATTAACTTACTTCCAAGTTCAATTCCACAAAGCCAGATAACACAAATGCTAAACTGGCTACGCCGCCACCAAGTAGAATGCGTTTCAAAGGATATTTGAACAGCTTATGACCATCTAGATATGGGTATACTATGCGATTCATAAACGGAATTGTAATCAATACTAATACTGGACTGACTATTTGCAATGTATAAACGGGTATTTCAATACCGAAAAAGCGTCCGTTGGTACGGGCGGCTTGAAACAGCCATGTAGTGTTCTGTAGATATTGATTTAATTTTCTAATTGTCAAGTTGAATGCACAACAATCAAAACACACTGTACCTGTTGATCGAACAGACTCCAAAACATCGACAGAGGTATATATAAACGAAACATGTGTAGTAATTTCTTTGCGTCATGAATAACGTTCAAAGGTGAAACGCTTTTAGAGTAGTCCAGCCAATGGATTTGGTTTGATCGTCTTAGGCCGTGTTTCAGTTTCTTCCACGAGGCGATCTAAACAGAAAAGTTGGAATACAGTTGCTCATAAATAATTGCTTCTTAAAAGCTCTTTTGCTTCGAGACTTACTTACAACAATGCATTTAATCATTTTAAGCAAGATGCTCTCGTTGGACTTTTTCAATAAATAATACGGGTTTCCGCACAAAAATGCACCTGGAAGAAAGTTTATTGCGTTTTATTATGTTATGTTTTACAAACCCATAAATTACACTTAACATTTATTTCAAAAGCATTCGTTTATTAAGTCTAGACTTAATTAGTATAAATTAATGTTTAGTAGTTGATAGGTACTTGTTTTCAGCTTATTTATGGTGTTCTTTTTGGCTTTTTCAACTATTATGAAATAAGTATATTAATGAATTTTTGAAGTATTTTCCCTAATTTCGATTACGAAATATGCGATTTCGCTAAACACTATAAAACATTTATTTCAATATAATCTTTCAACTAAAATTTACCTTATTAAATCGTTTCATTATTTTACAAGCCTAACGTCTATTTTAAACCATTTTATAATTTTCTGTATAAATTATTTACAGAATATCAATGCTTTGGGAAACTATGCAATGTAAGATGATGTATTTTTATAAAATAAATTAATTATCTTAAAATATTTTACCAATGCCGACTGTCATCAATATGTTTGACAATCCAAATCTGAATGTATAAGAATCTCTATTAGAATTTAAGACTGTTTTGTGAATTCGTAGAATGAAAATAGTTAATGCTGGTGATGTGATCGTGCCAAATAACACAGCAACATGAATTACAAAGTAAAAAGTGCTGAAAAAATGTTCGGCAATCGACACGTTAATGTTTCTATCGTTTACAAATAGTTGATCCAAACTGAAAGCAGGCACACATGGTTTCATACCACCAACGCCAATAGAGATCAAAATTAGTCCGTAAAATGAAATGAATGTACTGTTAAATAAAAATGGAAAGTATGTTTTAAGAGAAACAAATAGCGTTTCTTTGTTAAATGTTACGCCAAAATTACATGTAAATCATAAAAAAGTTTTTTAATAGTATTTTTTTGGATGATATTCTAATTAATGTTTCTGTGTTACGATTTCTGTAACATAGCAAAATAACACTTTATCATGTTTTATTTTAATGGACACTCGATAAACTGCACTTGTTTTAAAATTTCTGTTGTATAGAAAACATTAAGGGATATAATATTGTGGATAGTAAAATTAAGCATTTACCGAATTGTTGTATCTTGAGTCTGTAGAGTTGAATAAAACAGTAGAAAAACTCCCAACCAGTTAGTGATAGTAAATGCTAAAATTGTTCTATAAAAATAAAAAATACAATATTATTACATTACTGTTATGCCTGTAAAATATAATATTAGCTGTTTAGCTTTAAATATGACACGGTAACGTGTTTCTCTTGGTCGCACATCACGTTATCAACTTATATGGAAGTGTATCGAGATCTGAATCATAAACGTATAGCGGTAAGATTTGTCTTACTGATGTGGTTTGAAAAAAATAAATTTAATTTTTTTTATCTTTGAAGAGATAAAAATGAGTTATTTGATAACATAATATTGTAGGATTTTTCGAATCAAATAATTTTTCTGTTTATAAAATACAATTTTTTAATAAATGCCAGTAGACGTTGGTATCTCAATAGACACCAAATCTGCCGTGCTAAGCGAAAACAGGATAACTCCAGTCAACATGATTTTTCAGGAACACAAAAAAACATTTTTAACAGTAAATCAAGATACCCTTTTTTCCCACTGTATGAACATAAGTCAAAAGATGATAACTCCATTATTTTTTATGTGATGTACCAAGTTTTTGCTTAGTATTTGGATTTACCGTGTTTTCGCTTATAAAACATCAAATATATTGAACTTACCGTATATTTTCTTATTTTATATTTCAATTTTAGATAGGTTTTAATAGGAAATATGCTACTTTTACATCAAAAATCGGTGTAAAACCACTAAATTTACCTATAGAAACAAAAAAAATTTTTTTTTTAATTTTGGAGTTATCCTGTTTTTGCTTAGCACGGCAGAAATGGCCTACTCATCACCTTTCTTCAAATTTAGTAGTAAGGGGCCATACAGTAAAAAAAAACTTGCACTAAGTCTTGCAAATTGTTCCACATAATAAGTATTAAAAATGTTTTAAATTCGCTTTAAATTTAACAAAAAAAGTTGAATGATAAAATTTAAATTTAAATTATCTCTTCGCATGAAACAAAATATTTTTTATTAAAACAGTATATTATGGGTAATTTGATTTATAAAATTTTTTATCTAATTGAACAAGGTATTTTTAAAACGAAATGAAATATATTTTGTACATTGTATCATAACATTTTTATGACAAGATTTCAATTTATACTTTATAAAACAACTCACAACTGTTTTGAATAAATAATAATTTTTTTTAGTCGTTTAATCAAAAGTATTTAAAATCGAGTCAGTTGTTATCAACTCATTCATAAAATTGTTCAATATTAATTAGACACAACAATTTAGAAAGTAACATTTAGTAATAAAATAATCCTTGACACATGGAATATTTCATTTTAGTATGAAGTAAAATCATTTTTGTCATATAGCTATGGTGTTTTTACAATGTAAATTTTACATAGTAATGTTAACGGCAAAGAAATTTGCAGAACCGCTCATTTGACAAACAATTTTTTTGGTCATTTGAGTAGACTTGATTACCATAAAATTTACCAAAATATATGTTAACCAAAAGAAAAATATGTTGTTGAAAGAATTATTTTAACTCTTACACCTCATATACAGGGTGATTTTATAACTATGCCTCACGAAACGTCTTATATCATTAGATTTATTTAACTAAAAATTATTTTTTTTATGTTATTCAATTTTCAACGAGTTACAGCTGTTTAAAGTTTGGGCGCGATTAAAACAAATCGTAGTGTTTAATTTTAAAAAATTGGTAGATATTCAAAAGCAAAATTCTAACTCAAAAATAATTAAGAAAATATTGCAAAAAAATCATTGCCGTACACAATGATTTTTACTGAATAGGCAAAATTCGTTTCAATCGTTTTTTGATAAAATTATAAATATATAAAAGTGTCAGTATTTCCGGAACGCTTTCTGTAATTAATTTGAAAAAGTTAATTTTTTGTGAAAAAATTATCAATTTTAATCCCTCCTGTGAACAGGTAAAGGGTCAGATTTATAAAAAAAATATACAAAATTATAGGTAATCTCATGTATCATTAAAAAAAAATTACATTGATTTGGTCTTTTTTAAAAAAGTTATGGCATTATAAAGTTAAAAATATAAAAAAGAATTTTTTTACAAAAATAATATTTTTTTTATTAACTTTGAAGATTTTTCACCATCTAAACAAAATAAAGTCCGAAATTTTTCCATAATAAAATGCATTACATTAGCTTTAATTTAAGGTATATATAAAATTGTCAGTATTCCCGGAACATTTTCAAAACTTAAGTTGAAAAAGTCAAATTTTTGTATAGAAGTTGTAATTTTGAATCTGTATATTCGAAGATATACTGTGATAGTAGTTAGAGAATCACCTTTTATTTGTGAAATTCCACACATTATGTGAAATGATTCAAATTAAAATGACAAGATACTCAAAAAATTAATAAGCATATAATTGAGATTTAAAACTCTGTTATAAAAAGTTCAGTAAATGCAATTATTAATAAAAACAAAAATATCTCATCAACTTTGTAAGGGTTTTAATTCAAATTATTTATGAAAAAAGAAATTTTTTTGTTTATTTAACAGATTTTATTGACTTAATTATGATATTGAATGTCAATATAAAAAGAGAAAAAAAATGTAACTAATTTTAATTTACTTATATTTGCCGTATTCACTGTTACCAATTATTCCACCGCTCATTGCAGAAACAAAACAGAGCATCATAAACATATGAAATATGCTAATTGATTGTTTTTCATCATACATTAATATATCACGTAAGTAAAATGATAGGATAGCTAAATCATAAAACTAGTTTGTAATTTATAGTTGATATAGTTTAACATTTATGAACTTACATCGAATACTTGCGAAAGAAAATCTCTCGCAAAATTGCAACAATAATATAAAACAAATTCTTAATGGATACATTTGAAAAAAAATCAAGAAAGTTAAATTAAATTTGAAAAACAAATTGTTAAATAAAATAAAATAAAAGATCAATTGTTTTAAATTCTTTCTTGACAACAGTAAACATAAAACACACCAATTAAAAACAAATTTAATAAGAATAAATAATAATAAATAAAAGTATAACATAATAAAAAAATAAATAGAATATATCGCACCCCTAGATCTATACTGTTGTAACTCAAAAATCTCATTGAGATAATGTTCATTTTAGGATTTCTGATTCTATTACCTACATGAGAATAAAACCGTAGTAACTATATATTGTTTGGTTTCCAATAGAAAGCGCTAAAAGACAGTTTACTTGAATGACAGCATGCTCTCGAATATCAGTTTTTCTTGAATTCTGAAAAAAGAGGTTTTTTGAGTTACAACAGTTTAGATCTAGGGGTGCGATATATTTTGTGCTTGACAGCTCTTTAATTTTATATTAGTACGTTATTTTAACAAAAAAAATTCCTCGAGTAACTTTTAGATACTTTCGGATATTTCTTGGATTATAATGTAGAGCTATAAGTTGTATTTAAAAGTTTAGACATTTATCCTATTAACTAATATTAATAATAGGGACCTATAATTTTAGATAATAGGTGATTAATTCAGTCAAAACCGTCTGGAAGGTTATCACATAAAAAAAAATTTTTTTCTTTCGAATTCATAAATAACCATTTATATGAATGTTATTAGTGGTTTCTTTAAATAAATTTCTATATTTTTTTATTTAATAAATAAAAGTATTGTGGTCGTATAAAAATGTGTTATGACAAATAAGTTCTGGAATATTATTAAGGTTTTTTTTTTAATAGATATTTATCAAAATAAAAATTACAACCTTGTAAAAATGCATGTGAAGTATTATAATAATAGTTGATGTTTATCTACGAATATAACATAATAATATTCTTATCAGATGTGTAACATAATAATATTTTTTTTACCTTTTGTCATTTTCTACTAAGTCCTTGTACATAATTTTATTGTCAATGTTATATGTTATATGTTCTATAACCTAGTACTAGTAGACTTTTTGTCCCAACAAATTAAATTTATTTAAAAAGAAAATTTTTCCAATATAAAATTTAAATTAAATTTTATTAAAATGACTTTTGACGTTAGAAAAGTTTCGTTTTATGATCTTATGGGTGACAAATCCGTACTGGTGCGAAATGCTTATAAGCGTTATTCTACCACTATAAGTATGAAGGACTTAAATATGACGGTACCATATGGAACAATGTAAGTATAGCGTTTATATGTTATAAGTTTTTATTAAGTTTTGATTGTTATTCAATAATTAAAGCGATACATAACGTGACTAAGCAATATTTTGTATTGTAATTTTGATGAAGAAATTATAAAATATTATAAACAAGTTGTAAATTTCTTTACCTCTATACTAACCTTGTATTAAGATTGGTCCAGTGTGATCTAAAAATTTTCAAGGACAGACATTAAAAAACTGTACATTATCTCATAAGCAATACTTTTCAGTTTCTTATCGAAGCTAACATATTGAATTTTTTTTTTTTAGAAAGTAGTAGTATTCTGTGTTTTAAAATTTAAAAAAATTACTCCTATCCCCCTTTCTTTTCTTTAAAGTAGTTTCAATTTTAGTTTTTTAAACAAATTTATGAATACATATCAATAATGTATATAAAAACATCTATGTTTGATTACCTTAAAAATAAGCAAAATTATCTAATTAAAAATATGACTGGTCAATAAAAACTTGCATTTTAAAAGATAATAGTACTTTTAAACTAGAATGGAAGCAGTAAAGTTGGTTATGTTTATTATATCTCTGGGCATTTATGAATCTCACAACACCTGCCACTATTGTATAAAAGAGCTTGTGTTTTTTTAAATATTGGTTCAAAAGTTTTTATCTTCTTAGTTGAATATTGTAATTTTCTTAGTTAAATAATTTAAACATATGTTTCCATTTAAAAAACTTAAGTTGAAAATATTTTAAAGAGGTGAAAGAGGGGTAGGACCAGTTTTTTTTGAAAATAATAGAAAATTTGATATTATTAACTTTTGAAAAGAAAAAATTCTAACATGTTTTATACTTCTAAGGTTTTGCGCGAAGCATAGTTGATCAACAGCCTTATATAATTTATAAGCTCCAAATCATTAAGACTTTCTATTAAATAACGAGTTTTTCTTTAATTCTCTTTTTTTTATCGTTCTTGTAGATATGCTCTTCTAGGTCCAAGTGGTTGTGGGAAGACTACATTATTAAACTGCATACTTGGTCAAACAACATTAGATTCGGGTAGTGTTTTTTTAAGTGCTTTAAGATTGTCTGACATAGGCTATATGCCCCAAGTATTGGTTTTATAATTTTATTGATAAAACATAGTTTTCTTGTATTCAAAATTTAAAAGTGCGCTGTATTTAAGGAGACCACATTACATCATAATTTGACTGCTCGGCAAACTTTCAAATTTTATGGAAAGTTATATGGTATTCCTGATGGTGAAGTAAAAAGTCGAATAAAAGAATTAGATTGTGTACTACATTTTCCAAATTTAAATGAGCAAATAAAAAATTTAAGGTTAGATTTACAAAAGATTTAAAATAATAATAATATAATAAAAATTGATCACTTGTGGCTAATTACTCAAAATTAAAACTAAAAGGGGTTTTTTCCGGTCGGGGTGTCAGTTTGTGTTTAGCGTTAATAATGGTAACATTGTTCCCAAAATAAATATTCATTATTTTTTAGTAATTTGATTGTGTCTTTTTTTTTAAACTAAAAAAAATTAAAAATATTTTTTAGTTTTAAATTAATAATATTTTTAATATAGTTTTAATTTTGAGTAATTAGCAACAAGTGATAAATTTTTATTATATAATTATGGCGTTCGGGCCTTTTGATCATATGAAAAGTTAAACAAACTAATGCAGACGAAAATACGCCTAATATATTTTTCCTCGAAAAATGTATTAAGTTCTATATGACTCCAAAGTTTGCCAGATTACCAAGTAAGTCAAAAAATAATAATATTAATTGTTCCAAGTCAATAAATTTCGCTCAAGAGAAGTTTCTTAAGTTAGAAGTAATGAATGAGTATCGTAATAGAAGTAGATTAGAAATGGGGCTTATGAATTACATTTAAAACTTTATAATTTTTAAGTTAATTACAGTGGAAAATTCGAACAAAAAATGTACCAGGTGATTGAACATAAATTCGAAACAAAAAAAGAAAAGTTAAAGAAAAAATTTCAAAATATACTTTCAGAACACAAAAATAAGGGCCAAATAAATAACTTTAATAAAAGTCCGGTAGTTTCATTCTCTAAAATATGGGGGGACGATTTAGTTTAAAATTACACGAACCCTATGTTTTCCATTGAAGAAACTGAAATACTTACGTTGGGTCTTAAAATAAGTTTTTTACCGAAAATATTTCCGATGGAAGATCTCCTAGTAGGCATTGAAATTGAGGTTAAAAGTGTTTATTTTAATGATCAAGACTTAGCAAGAATAGAGTGCTTAAATTTTCTTTAAAAATTCTGTTGTAAGTAAAGGGGTTTTAGGAATATATGAAAAACATTCATGACTCATACAGAACTTAAAATCTGCTTTTATTTAAAATCAGATTAGGAAAATTCTAGGGTAATAATGAAAAAAGAGATTAATTTGATATGCTATCAAAAATGATTCAAGAGGGTTTCTATAAAGAAATTAAAAAGAATCCATTAAGTAAAATGATAAGAGAGACTACAAACGTTATCAATAGTTCAAAATTAATAATTGAAGAAAAGTTCAGGTTTTTTAATTAAAATTTCAAACCCTTGAACACCTAAATTATATGCTTGCCAAAAATACATAAGCCGGTAAATAATATGAGACTTATTATGTCGTATATTAATGCCCCGACTTACAATTCGGTTAGACAATAGTAAGGGTATTTTTATCTATTCAAAATTATCTATTTCTTTTACAACATTCACTAGCGTGGGGGGACAAATAGTAATTAGATCTCCCATTTTATATTATCCAGGCATTTCAAATGGACTAGCAAAAATTTTTAAGAACTTTGATTTTACTTTAGTAACATCTAAAAGTAATAATTTAAGAGATTTATTAGGTAACCCTAAAGATAAAGTAGAAGAAGGTGGAGTTGGGCATTTATGGAATACAATGTGAAAGTTGTAATAAATGTTATGTAGGATAAACAAAATGAAATATAGTGTAAAGTTTAAAAAGCTCTTAAGAAACATTAAAAATCAAGAAGTTGATAAATCTTCGGTGGCTGAATATTTATTGACACATAATCATTCCATTAAAATCATAAAACTAATTAAAAACGTTATATAAGGGAGGAAATAGAAATGTTTAAAAATAAAAATAATTTAAATAATTGGGATCTTGGCCCACAGAAAAATTAATTATTGAACTTGGCAAAATGTGATAATAATACTTAGTGATAACGTTACTAGGTAATAAGGTTACTAGGAGTATATAAGGGGGTTCTTTCTAGTCGGGGTGTCAGTTTGTGTTTAGTGTTGATAATGGTAACGTTGTTCCCAAAATATATATCAGCTATTCTTCTTTTTTTTTTTTTTGTGGCTTTTTGAGTTAAATTTTTTTAATATTTATTGTATAAAATTAATAATAGTTTTAATTTTTATTTGTATCTTTACAACTATTTAATGTTAAAATTAATGAAGCTAGTATTAAATAAATAAATAAAATAAAATTTAAATAATTCGTACTGTTGAACATAATACTGCCGTGCTAAGCGAAAACAGGATAACTCCAGTCAACATGATTTTTCAGGAACACAAAAAAACATTTTTAACAGTAAATCAAGATACCCTTTTTTCCCAATGTATGAACATAAGTCAAAAGATGATAACTCTATTATTTTTTATGTGATATACCAAGTTTTTGCTTAGTATTTGGATTTACCGTGTTTTCGCTTATAAAACATCAAATATATTGAACTTACCGTATATTTTCTTATTTTATATTTCAATTTTAGATAGGTTTTAATAGGAAATATGCTACTTTTACATCAAAAATCGGCGTAAAACCATTAAATTTACCTATAGAAACAAAAAAAAATTTTTTTTAATTTTGGAGTTATCCTGTTTTTGCTTAGCACGGCAGAATAAACAAGTGATAATAACAGACTATTAATTAATATGTCTCTAGTGGTGGAGAACAAAGGCGATTATCTTTCGGAGTAGCTTTGTTTCATGACCCTAGAATTATAATACTAGATGAACCAACGGTAGGAATAGATCCTGTTATCAGGGAGAGGTAATATTTTGTCGTTTCCTCAGTAAGATTGTTAATCGTGTTGATTCCTTTTTAATTGTTCACTAGTATCTGGGAATATCTTGTCCAATTATCTGCAGAAGGCAAAACTATAGTTATAACAACTCACTATATTGAAGAGGCTACAAAAGCAAATTTGGTAATGATTTTGCTTACCTGAAAGTATACTTAAATCTTTTGACGTAGTATTAATATCTATTCTTTAGAAAAATTGTACATTTTTTTTTGTATTGTTTGCAGGTAGGTCTTATGCGTAATGGTATCTTGATTGGAGAAGATTCGCCATCATCTTTAATTAGAAAGCAGAATGTTTCAACTTTAGAAGAAGCATTTTTATCTTTGTGTAACGATCAAGAGAAAGAAAAAGTAACTAAAAATATTTTTATGTTTTAAATATTTTTATGTTTTAAATATTTTTAATTATAGCTTTTTAAAAAATTATTTAGAAATCAATTGATTTCTGCGATGAAAAAAATTTGGAACCACAGTCTACTACAGGTTTAACAAAAAATCCATTTTCTTGGAGAAGGTTTCGAGCACTTACTTATAAAAATGGAGCATTTTTGTGCAAAGATATCTCGTGTGTGAAAACATTATTCTTATTCTTTTATGTGTTATTTAAATTTATAATTTATTTGTTATTTAGGTTTCTATTTTTTACTTTTATTTTGCCAGTGGTTCAAACGATGTTTTTTAATTTATGTATTGGTCATCACATCCAAGACTTGAATTTGGCGATTATCAATAACGAGATAAATAATTGTAGTACATTCAACAACTATAACACTTGTTTTTTATATAATTCTAATGATACCAAGTTAAGTTGTAAATTTATAGAAAATATGTTAGGCTACAATGATAGATTGGTAAAATGAAACAAAAATAAAATATTGACTCCATGACTATAAATCTATTTGATAACTTTATATTTTAAGATGCTTTATCCAAATTTGAATTCCGGGATGGTAGCTCTGAAAGATAAAAAAGTGAGAGGTGTATTATTTTTTTCCTCAAACTTCACAGAATCATTAAAAAAAAGAATATTAAGACGAGCCAACCGATATGATGTTAAGTACAGCACAATTCAAGTCTACATAGAACCAAGTAACAGAACTTAGTAGAATTACTTTAAAATAGAATGCAATAAGTTTTCCTAATACATATATATATATATATATGTGTGTGTGTGTAGATGTTCCTTAATTAATCACTTTTGAATTTCGTCTTAATCTCCTATTTCTTTGAAATATAAGAAAAACTAAGTCCTATAAAATTTATTAATTCTGAAACCGCCGCAAGAGGGTTAAAATCAGATTCAAAGGTAGATTTTTAGTTTTTCTTGTCTATCTGAAAAAGTATGACTTCTATGTCATAAGTTAAGACACTATAATTTGTAGAACTAAAAAAATTGTCTATAAAAAAGATATTAATAAGTTTTGTACTATATTTATTACTTAACAAAAAATAAAAAATATTAAATTTTTTATGTCATACACAATGACTATTATTTACTATTTAGTTCAGTGCACTTTGCGTGTAATGTAATTTACTTCCTAGTATATATATTTTTGGTATTTTAGTTTCAATATATTTTTTCTTAATTTTATACCTTTTATTCAACGTTTTAAAATTAAAACTAATTCATTTAAAGGAAAACTTCGGACACAATGTGAAATGAATTACTAAAACTGGTAGTCTTTCTACTTTGACTTCTGTCACTGTGCACTGAACCAAATAGTAAACAATGGTCATTGTGTTTGATAACTTTTAAGATTACTTCAATACGTAATAATTAGTGATGGGCATTTTCGAATATTTTAAACTATCGAATAGTATTTGATAGTTTTAAAAAACTATCGAATATCTATTGGAATTGTTTTTATGCAACCAAATAGTGTATTTTTAGGGTAAACTATCGAATTGTTTAAAAACTATTCAAATATATTGTGTAACTATCGAATAGTTCGATAGTTACTATTCGATATTTCCATCACTAGTAATAATCTGATTGCGGTAAGTAATATCTAATTATAGCACTCATTAAGATACAATATCGTGATATACTATTTTCTTCTTTTATTATATAAGAAAATAATGTTATTTTTATTTTAAGTCAATATTCTAGATAATAAAGGTAAAATTATTTTTTTTTGAAAATAAATTATAGAAAATAGAATTTTAAATAACTTTTGTATGAAACACTTTTTTGTATAACAAACGAAAAATATATTTATGTTAATAAAATAACCTATTTTGTTGGTATAAATAAAAAAATAAATAATTTTAACTTTTTTTGGATTTATTTTTTGATTAATTTCAAACAAAACTTGTTAATATCTTTTTCTAGACAATCACTCGTACAAATTATATTGTATTAACTTTAGATATAAAAGTCAAAGTTTTTCAGATAGTTTTAGTAGAAGTTTTTCAAAAACTATAAATTTACCCTCAGGTCCGATTTTAACCCATTTTACCCTTAGTAGTTATCTTATATTACAAAAAATAGGTGGCTGAAACGGTTAAAATTTATACAAAAATAATTCTTTATAGCTGAATGAACGTAGCGCCCGGTGGTACTCACTCGGGTTCGTTGTTTTATTTTATCTTAAGTCAGGCTATGTCAAGGAAAATGAATAAGGTGAGTGGTCTGTATGAATAAATGTAGAATGAATTTTCAAAACATATAACAATTAAATTTATTATACATGAATCATAAAATCTTACATACACCATTGTGGATATGAGGATACTTCATACTAATGCCAAAATGGCGCTCTTATGGCGCTGATAAAAAAATAAATAATAAATTAGAAATGTGAGTAAGTCTTAAAAAGAAGATGAACAAGTATTATACTCATCGTCTAGTTGAAACGACTGATGATAATGTTGAATATTGAAGTCGAATAAATGTAGCTGACCAACGCGTACAACTGATGTGAACGGTACTGTGATGTATTATAGAAAATATATAGACCCAACCGCAATATACTGAGCGCACAAGAGTTCGACAATCGCAAAGATGATATTTTACTTTAACAACAAAACTACTGGCTCGCAAGCCACATAGAGCTTATAGTTGAAAATGCGCTAAGATGGCGGCGACAGTACAGACAAAGAGAGAAGACCGACAACAACTCGGTGTAGCACAACGATAGCCTAAATAATCAAAATGGGAATATTTTTGTAAATATTTGATTTCACTGCCCACTTAATAGATCTAGCGTTGAAGGGAGAAACCAGGATCCTCAGTCAATGAACGGAGTTTTTTGGAGGCTTCTTCATAGGCGTAACAAAAAGAATTCAGTCCCTCAGTTAACGAAATATTAATTATTAAAGTAATATAATTAAACTCCCATACCTCATTCTCACTAATTAAATCTACCAGTCCCTCATTCCACGAGATATCCTCTAATGTCTTTTTTGGATATTTCTCATTCAGTAATTTTTCAAAATACTCTTTCCACCTTTTTTTCACGTGATAATCACTCAATAGAATCCTATAATCAACACTTTTTATACATCTTACATTGTGATAATCTTTAGACTTTTTTTCTCTTATTTTTGCAAGTTTATAGACTTGTTTTTCGCCTTCCTATGTTCCTAGCCTATCAAACAACTCATCATACCATTTAAACTTAGGAAAAAAATATTAATAATAACAAAAACTTTATTTTGTTCGCATTGTACATTTTTGTATTGGTTGCACTGTTTTATCTTTAAAACTAGTTATTAAAAAAAATCAGTTTAAAATCATATACATTTTTGAAAAAATCCAGAAAATTATAATTATTGTTATATGAATATAATATTTCAGGGGAAATTTCCATTTTTTTTTTTTTTTAAATCACGTACACAGCGTATAAAGACATACATTTTATGAAATATTGAATTTAGCTTAACTGTTATTTAAACTAATTAACTGAAAAAAACTAAGTTATTTCAACGGAAAATTAGTAACTAGTTAATGCCCACCATTGTAAATAATAATATTTACACTTTGGAGAAAAGAAATAATAGAACAAGTAACTATAATAGACTGAGTCTGTAAAATTACTTCGTGAGAGACAGTATAAATAACATGAATAACTAAAAGAATAGACTAACAAATTTATATTTTAAGAGAGTATATGACAGTTTAGGAGATGACGAGAAAAGTTGCCTAAATGTACTTAAACGAGAAATCTAAGAATCCGTGAAAATGACATAGAATATACTAGTAGCTGATATATAGTACACCGAAGAGAATAAATGATATCATAACATTCGGTTGTAGAAGAGGAGGAAAATAAAGGAATTTGGTTTAAAAATAAGTATTAAAATTGAAAAAAAGGAAATAAGAACCTATTAAATCACCAGATACTGAACCGTCAATTTTAAATTAAATATTCATAGGAAAGTTGGAACAAACGTATAGGGGAAACATTATTAACAGATACTTTTGGTAGAGATCTAATATTATAAAGTGTAAAGTCTAATAACTTGGATGATATAGAAATAGATGGAAATAATATAAGTGAATAAAAAGTGCAATCATAAAAAGGAAGTCTCATATGGGATTTATAAATGTATGGAGAAATAGAAGAAAGAGGAAAACAAAAATAAGTGAGCAATGTAGGAGCATATTGCTATATAGACTTGATATTAGATAAGATGGTAGAGGTGTTAGATTAAGGGGAATTACTAATTTAATATTTTCTTTTAGATTACATTTTGAGACAAATAATAAAAAACAATGTTTACGAAGTTTTCGACAAAACTATTAAAACAGCTGTTCAAGTGTGCAATAAAAGTGCAAAATCAGTTTCATCTGCTCTCGTGGTAAGACTTTAAAATATGTATAATTTTAAAATATAAACTTTATATTTAATTTTATTAATTTCAGATTGATAATGTAGGAAAAGTTAATATTTCTGAATTCATTCACTCTTCGGCTCCAGGATTCATAGCACTGTAAGTTCTAATACTATTAAAATTAACTTTCAGACAAAAATTTGTCATGTTAATAATCAGTGAGTAATTAATAATAAACAGAAAGGAATATTTTTCATTTTAATGAAATTTTTATTTAATTATAATTTTTTACAGAGTAGTATAGAGAAAACTTGATATATGAATAACCTTAAATGAAATTGTGTAAAATTTTCAACTTTTATTAAGACTGTGTAATATATAATATAATACTGTAATAATAACATAATATTATAATATATAATATAATGCTTAATTAAATTTTTTTACGGAGAACATTATAATTATAGTTCTAACTAGCGTGTATTACTTTTAAAGAATAATAAATACATTTAGTACACGTAACATATATTATTTCAGATTAGCATTTTACTTTCCAATGATTTTGTCTACTGGGTTATTGCTTACAGAAAAAGATGAAGGGATAATGAGTCGCATTATGGCTGCAGGTAATTAAATGATAGTTAATAATTTTCTTCGTTTATGTTTTGTACGATTATAATGACGTTCGAATGAAATATATGCCAAGGTGAATTTGTTTCTAATTGTGTGATATTCAATTTATCTACTATCTTCAGAGTTCAAATGCATGAAACATTTTGTATATACACTCATGTTATAAATTTATTTAATTAAAGCAAATCAGACATTCAGACTTAATTTGCTTACATATAAGGTAGGTGCGTGTAATAAGGCCTAGCAAGGCTTGTAAAGACCAGGCTTGTATTAGGCTTTATTACCTGTACCTATCTTATTTCATTTCGTTAACAGTTTACTTTAAAGTTATCTAAATTTCTAAATTGAGTATAAAATATAATATATATACACATGGGCGCCCGCATGAAATTTATCAGGGGGGGGCCAAAAAAAATTAAATACCAAAAAGTAACATTAAATAAAGTGTTTATTAACTGAAAATTGCAAAATATATATATATAACTATAATATATATTCATGAGTCATTACTAANATAACTATTATATATATTCATGAGTCATTACTAAATAAAAATTTTCAGATTATACAAATTTAAATCAGATTGGTTATAATTTTTAAAAATGTATTTCCAAAGTCCAGGGGGGCAAACGCCCCCTCTTGCCACCCCCTGCGGGCGCCCATGTATATACACGTGTATGTATTTTATATGCATGTATTTATGTATACAGGGTGATTAATTAAGGATAAGATACTTATTTTCTTGGAAAGTATTTTAGAACATTTTAAATTTTTGTAAAAGAAAATATTGTTCAATTCGAAAAATTCTACAACATTATGTAGTTATATAATTATTTTTATTCCTTTAAAAATGACTAGATATTTACACCAGCAATTTTCATTATATTGATCAATATCATGAATTGAACAGGATAGTTTATTAAAATCCTTTTTTTTTTGTAAAAATTTCCCATAACACTTGTAATAACAAAAAAAAAAAAATCAAAAATAATAAAGAAAACCGTCTTTAGATAAGACTAGTTAAAATATATTTTTTATTATTATTATGAAATTATTAACTAGATAAAAAAAACGTTTTACTATTATTAATTATTTATAAAAAAATAACTGTTTAAATAAATTAAGTGTTTATTACTGTTTAAGTAGTTTAAAACTTCATAAGGAAATTTTAATTGTTAAATATTTTAGTGAAATATTTATATGGGATATTTGATCTTTTTTGACGTAAGATATTAGCCTTAATGATTGTAAATATTTCAGGGGTAACATTTATGGAATTGGTTTTTTCGGTAATGTTTTTGATAACTATTGTTCACATCATTCAATCATTGATTGCAATGTCCATCATGTTTTTTGTTTTCGACAATCCAATATTAATGGAAAACTTTTGGTCAGTTGCCATGATTGTTATGTTAACCGGATATCAGGGAATGTTTGCAGGTATATTATATTCAAATTTATACATTATTTATTTTACTTTACTTGTGCTCATTGACAAACAAGGATATTGGATAAGTTTTCATATCAAAATCAAAATATTTAAGTTATTAATGTTTGTCATCGTGTAAAGTGCTAAAAGATAATGTACATTAAATTATGTTATTTAGCTGATGTTTAATTTTGATAAATATTGATCAATTATACATTAATTTATCAATTATATAAGTCGTGAAGACATTTGTTCAACATTTTTAAGTGTATTTAAAAACTTTGTACTTTAATAACGTACTTACTAAAGTTCTCATTTCAATGGGCCTATGTAGGAATACTTGCTGCTGCTTATTCCAATTCCTACACAATGGCTACTCACATTAATATGGGAACAAATGTATTGTTTACATGTTTATGTGGTAAGTATTTATACTTAGATCAACTTATCTAATCGAAAATGAATTAAATAAAACATTTATAACGATATGAGGTATTAAACTCATTTTTCTTGAAGCAAAAGGAAATGTACTGTAGATTTTAATTAAAAGAAAGATTGTTTGGTTTAAAAATATGTGTGTACTTATTTAATTTTTTAATTTTGTGTTATCATTCTATGGAGAAAAACTCATACTTCACTTTTCTTAAATCGAAATTTCTGTTTTAAATTTGATAACGTAGAATAATTTTGGAAAAAAATATAAAAATAAATGTGTATAGTAAAATTTTTACCAATCAAAGATTAGTTTTATTTTAGAATAATCGTTAAATTTAGAATTTGCTTCTATTAATCGTCGGGAATTACGAAAGATTAGTTATTGTGAATGACATCGCGAAAATAAGATGTTATTGTTTAATCAAACAATGAAACCGAATTCACTTAATTTAGCAAAAGTGTAATCGATGATTTATGTTTCAATTTCATAATTGCTTATGAGCAATTTTAGCTAAAATATTAATTTTTTTCTAAATGCCAAAATTGAATATGATATTCAATTTTGGATACATTTCGATAACATTAACGTGATATTAATGTTTCTTATGAAATATTTAGATAAATGTATATGAATAAATTATTCATTTAGATAAATTTTTAAAATGACTTTATAGTAATTTGTATATTGTTAACTAAAAAAATGTATTATATTGATTTTGATAAATTTTTAAATTATAGGTTTAATATGGCCAATGGAAGGAGCTCATCCAGTTTTAAGAGCATTTAATACATTTTTACCTCTATCTATTACATCAGCAACCATTAGTAATTTGGCCCTTAGAGGATGGCCTTATAATCATCCAATAGTTTTACGCGGTGCTATTATGACATTTATGTGGATAGTTATATTTGCTATTCCCATATTTTGTTTTAGTTCATTAAAAAAAGATAGGTGGGTTAAAAAAGCATAGTATTTTTTAAATTTATTTAAGCATAAATTTTTTTGTTACGATCATTAATATTGAATTTCGATAAAATTTAATAAAATATTTGATCATATTGTGAAAAAATCTTATTATATTTTTATTATATATTATTAGTTTTATTATTTATATAAAAATTAAATATTATACTTTATTAAATTAACAAGAACATACTATTTGATTTAAAAAATTTCAATTAAATAAAATATTTTATATAAAACTGTATAAATATAATTTATAAATAAAAATTAACACGATTTAATTTAATTTTGTTTATTTATTGGAATTGTTTTTTTTTATATATTGTTTTTAACTAATAAATAACATTTATTTTGATAAAAATACACAGCTTCATTCTGTAAAATTGGATGGGGTTTTGTAGTTGTAATTATAAAACAATTTAGTGGAAGAAAGACTATTTAACAATTTGTAGGTTTCTTAAGAATAGCCTATACAGTAGGATAGTCAAAAGAGGCTAAAAGGGGTTATTTAGTCTCATTTATCAATAATTACTATTAGCAGTATCGGACTTTTGCGCTGGTAAAACTATAAGTGGAAAAATAAAAAAAAAGTCCTTAGCTTTCCTAAACAAAAATGTGTTGCTATACTATACATTGAACCTATATATAAAGTTTGCGGAGAGGAGGTTTAAAGAATTTTAGTTTAACACAGAGGTATAAATTAATATATCTTTAGCTACGATGTTTAAATTTTTCAAAGGAGAACTTTTATTGAGTTTATAGAGCTAAGTAGAAATGTAAACATTTTCCGTACAATTTTTATAATTTACTTATATAATATTTATAATAAGATATGTTAGATAATAAGATATTCTCTATTCTTTTTTTATTTTTGAAAATATATTTGACAGTTTAACTAATACAATTTGATCACTCACTCTAAAAAAGTTAAAAATTACAGTCTCCAATTTTTTTATTTCTTATATCATCCAGTACATAATATGAGAATTATTTAATTAATAATATAATGATATGATTATATAACTAAGGAATTTTTAATATAATTTATTTAAAAAACGTCAAGTACATAGTAAGATGTTTTATTTTTTTATGTTAAATTTAATATAAACTATTTAGTTATGTGTTAGAATATGTAAGACAATTGAAAAATGTTGACAAAATTAGTTGAAATGTTAAATTTTATGGATTATTCTCAATAATTTGACATGTTACTGTAGATGTCTGACTTTTACAATATTTTGTATTGATCACAAATAGTTTGTGTCTATGACCTTCTGCAACATCACGTTGGTTGTTTATTTACAAGACAAGAACATTTCATAATATGTATAATTATTAAAGTATATATTATTATTTTACATTTTTACATTACAAGTTGGATGGAAGGCCATCGAAAATTATAATTTTTTAAATATTAAAAAAAAGCAGCAGTATGATTTTAAGAGCTTGTAATTTTAGGCTCAAAAGAGTATTTCAATAGTTTTACCTTGGATTTAAAAATGCATTATGATCATGTTTTTACTATCAAAACAAAAAAAAGATATTATATGAAGTTTTAAGAACAAAAATTATTATATTAAAATAATATTTAAAGGATAGCAAATATTGCTAATATACTATACTATACTAAAATTATCAGTATAAATAAATTTTCAAGTCATGCTAGATACAATTAAAAAAATTTAACTTTATAAATTTAATTGATATTAGTTAATACAAGTTTAAACATATATTAAGAAAAACATGAATTTATGTAACTTTAATTGTTTTATGCTAAAATACTTACCATTGTGATTAAATAGAAATGTATAAATTCTATTAAAATTAATTATATGGTAATAATTTATTAATTTGTTTTCATTGCATTATTATTATAATAGTCGAAACTTAATTAATGATCATCCAGTAAGATAAAAAATCAATTATTCGCTAGAATAGTTTTTAATTATATTGTTAAAAACTCATAAATGTATTCTTTTTAATTTGAGTATTCATTTAACAAATGACATTAGCTAAAAGATTATACTATTGTGTTTGTATTCAATATTCATTACATTGAAAAGTAACTTTAGTATGCTATCTGAAAGTGGACTAGAAATGAAAACAACTAAAAAAACTGCGGCTATACACATTACTAACGCGTTTAAAGCATTTTCTTCGGATTGTATGGTGTTAAATGGTTTAAATATGAATGTACCTTCGGGTTCTATGTTAGTATTGCTTTTATGAGAAAATATTCAATTTATTAATATTTTTTTAAATCCTATTATATTGTTTTAGCTATGGACTCTTAGGTTCTAGTGGTTGTGGTAAGACCACTTTATTGAATGTAGTCCTAGGAAAACTATCACTCGATTCTGGATCTATATACATCGGAACAGACAGTGTATCCGACATAGGCTATATGCCACAAGTAAGAAAAGAAAGTGTCCAATATTACATTATTAATAATTTTACATGCCATTAGGATTTATGTTTAGATAAACTGCTAACAATCCGTGAAACATTGGAGTATTATGGTCGCCTATACTTGATGAATGATGAGTGTATTAAAGAAAACACTGAAAGATTAAGTAGATGGTTGAAACTTCCGCCAATTAACTGTATATTGAATAATCTTAGGTGTATATATTTTATTTTGTCTCTATATATTAAGTGTTTAGTTAATAATAAAAAAATTAATATTAAATAAAAATAGACAGTTAATTGATATTTCCATTGGCTTTTTTTAAAGAAACAGTGTTTGGATAATTTATTTTAATATTAATTTCTATAGTATATTTAAGAATAAGTATTTTCATATTCTGAAAATAAAATTATTTTTTATCGTTTTTTAGCGGTGGCCAAGTCAGGAGAGTTTCATTAGCTGTAGCATTAATACACGATCCAAAAATATTAATACTTGATGAACCTACAGTGGGAATCGACCCAATACTAAGACACGAGTAAAAAAAAATATATTGAACTTAATTTATAGTTTATAAAAAGTAATTTAAACGTGACGTTGGTAAATACGTCATAGTTATAGCGGCTTATTTTTTAGACATACTAAAAACTTGTTTTTTAACTGTGATATAAATAATTTATTCAATTTAATTTTACTAGCATTTTTGAAATAATTCAAAAGAGTGCTTAATAATTTAGAAGTCAGTTTATTGGCTTAGTACCAAGGCTCTAAGGTATCTAAGGATATATGAATTTAAGGCTAACATCTAGAGATATTTAATTAACTTTTTCATATTTAAAATATATTGAAGTGCATTTGTATACACATACTTGATAATTACCAGATTAAAAGATGACCTTTATAAAATATTTACATATAATTTTCCTTGAATTATTTTAATTTATTTTCTCAGAAGTAATATATTTAGTTAAAACTAATAAAATATGAAAGTTAAATTTTTTAATGTTTAGTAAAAACTATTTTCATAATATTTTAGTGTAAAAATCAATGACTTTTCCACTTTTTTTTTAATTTATGTATATGGGTGATTCTTATAACTCTAGCCACTAGAATTCTTTTAAGATATTAATAAATTTATTTATTTTTATTTTATTATTAACATATCTATCTCATATTTATCTATTATAAAATATTTTTTATGTCCATCCCTTATATCTTATAATGGTGAATATGTAACTAACAAAAGCAAAAAAAAAAAATCATAAAAATATTAGTATTTTAAGAGAAATTAAAAGGATAGACCACCTTGCATAATATTAAATTGTTAAAAAACTTTTGAATAAGCATTTATATCGGTTGGTCTAAATTAAAACATTTTATTCATAATTGATCTAAATTATAAAGTCTATAATTATTAAGTACACTAAATTAATATATAAATTTCATACACAATGACATTTTCTTTGGAAACGTTTTTTAATGAAAATAAAATAAACGTTTAGTAGTCTCAAGTAAAAGTAGAAATCGTATCTTATTTCAGAAATTATGATTTTTATCTTAATAAATTTTTAAGTCTTACTTGATAGACTACTAATAGAAAAGTTTAAAGAAAAGAAGAAAAAACTGTGTATGGTATTTATAGATTTTGAGAAAGCGTATGGTAGAGTACCGAGAGACGTTTTAAAATGGTCTTTAATGAGAAAAGGAGTCCCGAAAAGGTACATTAATATAATAGATGATATGTAAGATGGATCTTGTACCAAGATAAAATGTGTGGGAGGAGTAACAGAAGGTTTTCGAATAAGAGTAGGAGTGCACCTAGGTTCTGCTTTAAGCGTTTTCTTATTTTCTATAGTGATGGATGAAATTACCAGAGAAATACAAGGAGAGGTGCCGTGGTGCATGTTGTTTGCTGACGATATAGTGTTAATAGGAAAAAATAGGGAGGAAAATAATCAAAGGCTAGAGATGTGGAGATCAACTCTTGAAGAAAAGAATTTAAGAATAAGTAGGAGTAAGACAGAGTATATATAGTACGAGCTTGATAAAGGAGAACACGAGGTAGGTGAAATGAGGAGATCGAGGACGTGATACGAGAGGTGGAAAGTTTTAAGTATTTTGGATCAGTTGTGCAAAAGAGCGGTGGTATTGATGAGGATGTAAGACACAGGATTAAGTGCGGGTGGTTGAAGTGGAGAGAAGTGTCTGGTGTCTTATGCGATAAAAGAATTTCAATGAGGCTGAAAGTTAAATTCTACAAGACTATAGTGTGACCAGCTATAATGTTTAGTTCAAAGTATTGGACAGTTGACAAGAAAGTAGAGCAGAGAATGAGTGTAGCAGAGATTAGAATGTTTAGATGGATGAGTGGAGTGACTAGAGAAGATAGGATAAGAAACGAGCATATAAGAGGGAATACAGGAGTAGCGTCAATTGTGGATAAGATGAGAGAAAATAGACTTAGATGGTTTGTTCATGTTATGAGGAGAGAAGAATTCGAAGCTGTAAGAACAGTTATAGAAAATAATGTTAAAGGAAGAAAAGGTAGAGGATGACAAAAAAGAGATGGAGAGAAGTTATAGAATGCGATATGAGGACAGCTGATGTGAGCAATGAGGATGTGGGAGATCGTGTCAAGTCTTCCACTTAAGAATAAGGGTGGCCGACCCCAAGTAATTGGGATTAAGGCGAGGAAAAAGAAGAAGTCTTAATTGAAATGTAATTTTTTTTTTCATTAGAATTTGGCAAGAATTACTAAGAATAGTTAACGAGAAAGAAAAAACAATAATAATCACTACTCATTATATAGAAGAAGCACATTTAGCTCATACGGTATTTATTATTTTTAATTGATAATTTAAAATAAAAACTTAACAGTATAGCCAAAGTTTTCAATAACAAAATAATGGATTTTAAAGATAGGTTTAATGAGAAACGGTGTTATAATCAGAGAAAATTCACCTAATAACTTATTGGCGTCTCAAAATGCAAATTCTCTGGAAGAAGCATTTTTGTCATTGAGCACAAGTCAAGATAAAGTAATTTATTTTTTAAATATCGTGTATTAGTGATGGACATTTTAGAATATTATAAACTATCGAATAGTATAATATCGAATAGTATTTGATAAACCAAATAGTTTATTGTTAGCATAAACTATCCAATATTTGAATATATTGGAGAGCTTTTGAATATTTTTACTATTTGATATATCCCATTATTATAATTATTTTCCATAACTATTTCTTTTTAATTGTTTTTAGATTATCCAATGTGGTCAAAGTCACAATTTTGACACAAAGAATAGCAAAAAATGTACAGCTTTTTACAAATCTGTAAATAATTTGTCTTTAAAAAGGATATCATCTTTATTAAAAAAAAATTTTATCATATGCACTCGAGACTATCAGTAATGTTTATACATTTTTAACCTCTTATTAGTTGATAATAATCTCGAGTCTGTATTTTTTCTTTAGGTTTGTATTTTTTATTATATTATTTCCAGTTTTAGTTTCTTTTGTTTACAATATGGCTATTGGTAGAAATTTTGAAAATGTTAAACTGTTGTACCATAACAACGAAATTCGCCATTGTAAAAATTTTAGCTACGGAGGTGAATCTATAAAAATAAAAAATGAAAATTATAATTCAGTGAAACTTAGTTGTAAAATTATAGATAAACTTCGATCTTTAAGTTATAACATGGTAAGAAAACTAATGAACATAATTTTTAATATTAGTTTGCTAATTACATTTTAATAAAGGTACATGTAAATAGCCAAGAAGCTGGTGATTTGGAGGTAAAAAAGGCTAAAGCGTTTGCTTTTATTCAATTTCCCGATAATTATACGATCGCCCTTCGAAATTATACTAGCCAGTCTTCATTACTATATGCTAAGAAATATTCATCTAGCTCATTTGCGTACGTACATATTGACTCGGCAAGTAAGTGTTAATGTATACAATATAAATTATTAATCATACAATAACATAACGTATGAACAATTTATTATAAATTGTAGTACAAATTCATTAAATTCAACTGTATTCAATTAAATAATTTTTTTCAATTTAAATTATGATTTTACAATTATATTGAATTCAAAACGTTTCATAGAAAAAAATATAACATTCTAATTTTTAACACTTAATAGAATATTTTTGTTATTTTTCATTTAATAATCTATTAATACGTAGATGTTTATGTTGAAACATGTTGTCTTATTTTGCAATAAGTGTGAATATACTATGCACTAGAAAAAAAATATTTTCTAAAGAATTAACGAGGTAATCTGTAGTTTTATAGCTGTCAATATCAATGTGAATTGAATTATAATAAAAAACATAATATATTTTTTCATTGTTTTGTTAGTGTATCAAATAATTTATTATAATTTTTAATAAAAAATCAGCAATGTCTAAAATGTTAGAGGACGCGACTGTTTGTATAATTATCCAATTAAATAATTGATGATAATATTAGTACTAGATTAAAATACTTTGTTTATCTTTAAAAAAATATGTCCTCAATAAATTCATTAATTACGTTACACAAATCTTCATAATAATTTCTTTCATAAGATTTCATTTTAAGTTAATAGAAACTCAATTTTTGATGACGTGGTAATTAAATGCTAATTATTAATGTAAATTATATGTAGAGTTTTTTTATAAAATTTAAAAAGTGAATCTGTCAAAACATGGTACATTAAAGTTTTATAAAAATAATGTATCTTGATAACGTACAAATATTTTGAGTGAATAAGTATTTATTTTACCAAAAAAAATCATATTAAATCATATTTAATTATTTGGGTGAATGCGATTTTATTTATCTATGTCTTCCTACATTTTTTATTATGTTAAATAAAGGTTGTATTTAAATTTAATTATGGAGGAAAGTTATGGGTTGTTTTGCTGTTTTTTTTAATATATGTATTAAAAAGAAAACGGTGTATTTTATATTTAAAAAGACAGTATTTTTCTTTTTTTTAAACTAGCCCTGAGAAATTTGGGAGAAGGGTGCCTATATGATTACAACGCTAAATATGATCCTGCATGAATTAAATAGATAAACTTCGATACAACTATTACTATTGTTTTTTATGTGAAAATTCGTCATAAATTGTACTTCAATAGTTACATACAACTTGTTCATTTCATTCGTACAGTATCACATGTTATATTAACGTGTACTTCAAGAGAATGCTGATATGCATTTGATTTAAATATTTTCCGCTGTAACTTTTAGTTGTATACTGCAGTGAATAATTTGAAAAGTGATTAAACTTGATGTTCTGGTTCAATTTATTTATTTACTAAATAAATTCAAATCAAAAGAGTTTTTATGACTTTTAGAAATTTTAATTGGTACAGATTCAAATTAGAATGATTTAATAGATAGCACTAGATAGCAATAGATAGCAATATAGCTTTGTATTTTGCAAAAAAAATTATAGATATCTAAAAAACTCACAGGGTTTTATCTCATGTATTTATTCTTTTATATTTTATGAAATTCAAGTATTGTTATTTTAATATATAATTATAAAAATTTAAATGATTTGTATTATTTAAATTAGTATAATTTTAACGCGTTATTTAATATTAAAACCATAAATATTGTAGAAATACTTAATAATATTTAAAATTTTCAATGAAATTTAATATATGAAAAATCAAGACTATTTCATGAGTAAAAGTTTAATTGCAAGTAACTTATCCAGATATTATAAGACATTATAATTGCATATTCTATAACTTTCTTTTAATAATTTTGTATATTTTTTGTAAGCTTTTAAAGCATAAAGAATACATTGCAATATTTTAATTATTATTTTTTTAAATTAATTAAAAAGGTATTCTTCACTAATTTTATGAGCGAAATTAAATAAAAATTCAAACTGTGATTATTTAAAATTAGGTTTTAACTAGTATTCAGAAAAATTTAACTGAATTTTAAATATATTTTTAGATGTATTGATAAAAAATCAAATTTTGCATGACTTGAATATAGCATTTGTTGACATTATAAAGGTTGATTTGGAAAATTTAGGATCAGGAAAAGTAAACCTAGACTTTTTTGTGAGTAATTTTTTAATTTAGGAATAAGGACATTAAATTATTTAGTATAGATGATAATATTTTCTATCATTTGAAGTCTGTTCCTTTAAATCACATTTACACTGTGAGTAACATAAATGTAACTTAATAAGAATAATTCATTTAAAGTCTGGAAATCGATATTAAGTTTATTAATATTGTAGTAAATATTTTTGTTTCACTTGTAACATTTTATTAACATCTTTGTTTTGCATGCTAATTCAGGAAAAAAAAAAGAAATAATTTGATAAATATTTTATCGTAATGTATAAATTTTATTTGTTCAAATTGTATAATTTTTTACAATAATACTATAATAACAGTTTTTTTTTTAAACTTCTAAAAAAATGTTCCATGTTACAACATTTGATTGTACTTATAATCATTACTAATGAATAAATGTACTTCTATACTAAAAAATTATTTAATTTATTATATTATTAATAGAAAATCAATTATGTACAAGGAAAGGAAGTTAAGTCATATATCCATTGTATTGCAACTATGTTTGTGACAATGTAAGTATAATTTTGGAAATTTAATAATAAATTGGAAAAATAATTTTTATTGGAACATACGTGTATTCAAGTGCTTAAAGTTAAATGTATAATCAAATCATAAAATATAGTATTTTTGTAATATTATTTTTTCTTTATTTAACACTAAAAAATTAGTCTCATTATATATGTTCAACAAGTCGAATTATTATCAATGACTATATTTTAACACCGAATTAACTAATTTTTCTTATTATTATTCCTTTTATTAACTAAAATTAATTATTTGATGCATAATTATGCGATTAAAAAAAAGTTATATAGTTTTTTACCATGAAGACTATCAAGTTGCTAAATGTTTTAACTTTGATATTAAAAAATAAATGTTATTTACAGGATAGGATTTTATTTTTCAAGTATTATTTCAACGGGAATCATGTTGAATGAAAAAATGGAGGGATATCTCGATAGAGCCATTACAGCAGGTAAACTACATACGTATGATTTACACGTTAGCTTTGCTTTTAATACATAGCCATTTACTATGTTAAAATTACTTTTTAATAAAATCTAAAAATTTTATTTTAATAGGAGTAAAAATAACAGAAGTAATGATTTCAATAGCGTCGATACAAACTGTTATACATGTGTTTCATATGATTTGTATCATGATCATCACATATATGATTTTTGATAATCCAATAAAAATCACAAATGGCTTGTATGTTTTTGGAATTGTGTCCATATTGACTGGTTGGCTGGGTTTGCTTACAGGTTTTTAAATGGTCGAACATTGTATGTTAAATAAGTAATTAATTATCAAAAAAAATTTAAAATACAGGTTTTTTAATTGCGGGACTATCGAAGTCAAGCACAGAAGCACTAAATATTATTATCAGCTGGAATATGATTCAAATTTACGTTTCAGGCAAGTATTAAAACTTAAACATTTAACAAACAAATACTATTTTGATTTAAATTTATTAAATTATTTTTCTATCGATGAAATTTTCGATTTCAAATAAGAACTTCAAATTAACTAATTATGATTATTGAATCATAGGTGTATCATGGCCTTTAGAAGCTCAGCCTACTATTATGAAAGCAATATCTGAACATTTACCGTTGTGCTATCTCAGTAGGTTTATGAACAACATTGCTCTAAAAGGTTGGACACTAGACAATATGGCAATGTGGACGGGTTCTGGAATGACAATTTTTTATATATTTTTGCATTTTTTATTTCTTTATTATTTAAGTAGTGTAAAACAGGAAGCGTGGCTACTTAAAAAATAGTCGTATACATTTTGTTTATTATTACAATGATTTAACTTGATGAGAATATATCAATGTGTATTAAAATAAATATTATTTATACTATATTGTTTAATTGATTATTTTTTGTATAGATATATGATATAAATAATTATTTTAAAAGACTATGATTTTTTTGTCTATTTTATGTTCATTTGAATGATTAATTTTAGTATGATGAATTTTTGAGTATATGTGATATAACGAGATTTACATAAACAAAAATTTAAAAAAATTATTCATAAATTGTTCATTTGTTTGAATTAAGTATGCGTGTAAATATCAGTCTTAATCTCATAATTAGTCTTCTGCACGACAAAATTTTGTTTTTAACATAACTTCTTTGTTAAAATTTATTCTTAAAAGAACATTTGCTACGCATATTAGTTTATTGTCATATAAACTAAGCTGACATATCCCAGTTTTGTGGTAAATTAATTTGATGAATGTAAACGTGATGTAGATACTATCATAAAATACAGTTGCAGTAAATCTATTAGATATGTCAGCTTGTCATTTATATCACTGGTCAACATAGATATATGAATAAATATGTTTTATACAGTTAATTGCGAAAATTCATCTTTATTTTTTTCAAATTAAAACAAAGCAATAACATAGATTAATTATTGTGCTTGAAATCTTGTGCAATTTACATAGAAAACTACTGAATTGATTCAGGAAATACTTATTTTGTGTTAAAGATAAATTTCTAAAAATTTAAAAATAAATTTTTAAAGATAATTTTTCATGAATGTGAAAATTGTAATTACGCCTTAGACCAAGTTTATACATATATATTATTTTTGTATCACCAAGGACGATGTTGAAGTCATACGAGCGAAGTGGAGTTGATGCAAATTATAAAATTAGTTACTAAATTTTTTTATTGAGTTTTAATAAAATCCCTTTAAATTTTCTTTTGTTTATATTTGATTATTATCTGAATACTCGGCTGATGTATATTTATAATGGTTAGATAACGTAATTAATGTAATGTATAACTAAAATTGGAATGATATCATCATTAAATTTTTAATAATTTTAAAAACAAAAATTAATTATATTTTTAGAATGATGTTTGGGTTTCATCAACTATTATGTATTAAATATAATTTTCTAATTTATTATATTCTCTTACATATAAATTAAAAGGATCATTATAAGAAACATTATATGTAGTAGTACGTCATGATTCTTATGGACAGTTAATTTTTGTATACAATAACTTACGAATTATTGTAAAATGGCACGTACAAAGTAAAAAAAATAATCAATATAAAAAACAGATCATAGTTGTTTGAAGGTCATTTTTATAAACAAAAATTTCGTAATGAGATCTCTTGCAAAAGCTTGCAATAAAATTAAACTTGCGTTTTACTGCGTCGTACTTGGGTAAATATTATCAATGAAAACGTTAATAGTTTTTTTATCCTATAGAAAATGAATAATTTCTTTAATTACTACACATAAATTATAGGTTACACTACTTGTCCAGCATGTGCATTAGTTAACTATGTTGTGGTATGATATTAATTTAATACATATGGAAATACAAGTAAGAGTTAATAACTGGCGTGATGGCATTGAGCATCGTTACACAGTTATTGAAGGATTATAAATTGAAGTTATGTCAATTGAAACTTGAGGAATATTTCAAAAAAGAATAATCAATATATTTTCACATCTTTTGCAAAATAAAAAATCTTGCAAATTTAAGTAGCTCCGAATGTTATTATTATAAGTTAATAAATTTTAATGTTGGGGAGACTGAGAAAAGTTGAAATGGATAATAAATTTATCAAGCACTTTAAGTTGAACAAAATATGGTGATATAATTTTATTTATTAAGTATTAATGGAGTCCTTTATATATTTTCAACATTTTAAAATATAATTCAAGTTAATCATTAAAAAAATGTAATTTTGAAGAAATAGTAAATTTCAAAATTTTTTGCATAATGTATTTGTACATGAAAATTAACTTCAAAATGAAACAGTTTAGACTTAAAATCTTCATCTTAGGTCTAGTATAGCCTTAAAACTTAAGCCAAATTATTGGTTTAAATTAACTTAAATAATGTCTATAATTACTTAAGTCATCAAATTTAAAATTATTTTATATGATCAATTGTTAAGTTACTTTGTTTATAAGAATGCTATTTTTTTTAAATTATCACATTATTTAATTTGCTGTTTATTTATAAAATATTTTACTAATAAATAAATTTTTTCGGACACAAATATTGATATTTAAGTGTTGTATTAACTTACACATTGGTGGTAAATTGAGAAAAAAATTATACTTGGCGTTTTCTTCTGTTGAATAAATAAGATAAATAATTATGATAAAATTATTTTTTCAATTATAGTTTACATGTTTTAAAATTATCTATGGACATTCACCACTCTATCTGAAATATTATTGGAGGATAATTTGCTCCTAATACAGGAGCAAAAACTATAAAAAGTGTGTCAACTAGCTCCAATAGGACTTAATTGGTTGAATAAATGAAATTGTATTTATACTAACTTTAAATGTTTTTGTATTTTCGAATTTTATATTTTAATATTAATAATTTATAATGCACTAGAGCATTATACATGTATTACATTGTACATATTTACTCAAGAAAATTGTAAAATTTGAAGAAAAAATGCTTTATTTATTATCTTAATATAAGAATAATAATGAGAAAAATTATAAAGGGATTTAATGTTAATTTAAATGTAAAAATAATAATATCAAAATAGTGTTGTGTTATCTAACATTATATTATTAAAAAATAGTTTCTTATTACTTAAAGTTGTAAAATGAAATTTCATTTACTGGAAATGCAAGGGCAACGCTTATCTTTAGTGACTGACTTTGAAGGCCTAAGTCCTACATCCTACTGATTTTGTGTTTATTAGACATATAATCAGTAAGATGTTGCGCATTTAATCGTGTTAGTGTTGTAATGTTTGTGTAAAATATGTTATTGACAATATAAAATGATCCATTTCAGACGAGGAATAAATATCAACTCATATCTAGCAACTTCAACAAAATTTTAATTTGTCAATTAGATGACAAGTTCAATATATTATTCTATTGGTTGATAAACTAATAGTAAGTATTAATTAAAAAAATAGGCAAGTTTTCAAAACAAATATTAATTTTCCATTCAATGTTACAATGAAGTAAGAAATCATATTATAAACTTCATGGAATATTTGAAAAAAAAAAAAAGTTATTTGATGAAAATCAAATACTAGATTGTAAATAAAAGTAATGCGACTGATGAATCATATATTTTAAATTTAATTTTACAGTTTACAAGAATAGTTATTTTTAATAAAAACTACATTCCCGAAGTATAAATTCATGGTTTCTGAGGGTAATGCGCTCGTGAATAAAATGAAAGTTGTCGAAAAACGAGTATCTGAGTGTCGAAGTCATAATTTAATGTGACGATTGATCATGTATAGGATGTAAATTATAGCAAAATCAAGGTTAAATCGTGATTATTGAAGATCATGTCAACTTTTTTATGTTTACAACTTATTGTATTACGTCAAAGCAATGCTAAGAAGGTCTTCTTTATTTGAAGTTTTTAATTCTGAATGGATTATGACGTAGTTGTTGGCTAATGTCTAGTTAGAGTGTCCATAATCTTATAGTAGTATATTAAAACTATTTTAGGTGTTGAACCATTCGGTTGTTGATAGCCACAATGGTTCAATCAATTTCAAATTTAAGTGAATCCGAAAATATTGTGCGCGTAAGGGATGCGTACAAAACTTATTCTGATAAAAAATGGGTTCTTCAAGGGTTAAACATGACTGTTCAGAATGGATCAATGTAAGTAATAAAAGTTTTTATTCATAATTTTTTTTAACTAGTAAACAAGCCAATAATTAAAATAATTAAATTGCAAATAAAAAGTACATTTTTTTTGTTTTGAAAGATTTATGGTAGTAATACATATTTCTTATAACAAACTCAAAGGACTGAACACTTTTTTTATGTTTGTATCGTTTTTTAATGAAAAAAAAATAAAGGTTTTTTAATGATGTAAGTGAGCCTAACAGTTTTTGAACTTGATATTAATGTTTTATTTTGTCGCGTCGATTTTATTAAAAATTATACTGATTTAAAAAAAAAACTTTTTATGAACTTTATTCTTTTCTGTTTGCTATGGTCTAATTAAGGTACATTTTTTTCTTTATTTGAAATAATTTTTTTCTTAGAAATTGTAATATCGTTAAAGTAAACAATTGTAAAATGATAGTATAAAAGTATTACTTAATAGTTATTAAACTATTCGCAAATAAATATTTAGTTTTTAACTGAAATTATGTTGTTTTATTCAAATATTTTTTGACCCCAGAAGTCATTGTTTTGATACCATACTCTAAGTATTTTCATTATATATATATTTATATAATTATTTATCTATTTTGTTTTAATAGTAACTTAAAAAATAAAATATTAGCAATAAAGTTATAGAAGTGTAATATTGTATTAACTTAGACTTAATCATGTCATTATTACTAAAAATGATTTGCTCAACATAAACTTTTGTAATGGATTCTGGTGTTGGAGTAGGTCGATTTCGTTTGTTTAATATACCATTTTTTTATCTATGAATCTATAACATCTATATTTTAAAATAAATAATAAAACCAAAAATTCCTTTAACGTAATAATTAATAGAAATGGTGAATGAACGAGAGTGACAGTATTTTGAAATGTTATCTAATAATCTTAAGCTTACATCATTTTAAATAATTTATATTATAATTAATAATATTCATGTTAAATGTTAGTATTTAATTAGTATGTGTTTAGCGTTGATAATGGTAACATTGTTCCCGAAAGACGTATACGCAATTTTTTAGTAATTTTTTTTGGCTTTTTGAATTAAATATTTATAATATAGTTTTAATATTAAATAGAAAAATTTAATTAATAATTATTAATGCATTGTAGAACAACACAAAGTCACGAAAATTGTCAATCAATTATTAAAACTTAGCAATTAATAACTCCTGAACTTATTTTTTTATTTATTTATAATTATTTTTATAATAGATATGGATTGCTAGGACCAAGTGGCTGTGGCAAGTCTACGCTTCTTGAATGTATACTGGAAACTATACAATTAGATTCCGGATTGATTGATGTAAAAGTAGATACGTTAAGAGATATAGGATATATGCCTCAAGTAAATTTTACATGTAAATAAAATTATTTTAAACAGTTAAATAAAATGTTTTTCAGGATCTTTGTTTAGAGAAAGAATTGACGATTCAAGAAACATTGGAATATTATAGCACGTTGTATAAAATGTCCAAAAATGACACATCAAAAAAAATAGCCGAGCTTTATGACATACTAAGACTGCCTAATAAAAATAGTTACATAAAAAATATGAGGTATGACGAAAATCTATTACTTTATATATACCACCAAAGAATTATTACTGGCGAGGAAATTAACGTTTTTTTTTTGTTAGTGGAGGACAAAATAGAAGACTGTCTATAGCAATTAGTATTTTACATGATCCGAAACTCATTATATTGGATGAACCCACGGTTGGAATTGACCCTCTTCTTAGATATGAGTAAGTATAATAATATATTCACGATAGAGTAATTAACAATGTAAATTGTATTGTTTTCAAGGATCTGGTGTCACTTTGAAACAATGGTCAGAGAACAAGATAAAACCATTATTATTACTACTCATTACATAGAAGAAGCTTATCAAGCGAATCGTGTATGTACAAAACCAAAATATCTTTCATAACTAATAATTTCAAAATGACTAAGAGCATTATTATAATGTATTTTATAACTAAAAGCCTCTTATAGACATTTAATTAAAAAAAACATATAAATTATAAATACTATTCACTTATTTTGATTACAGGTAGGTTTAATGAGAAATGGTATTTTAATTGAAGAAGCATCACCGCGTGAAATCATTACCAAATATAATGCTGATTCCTTAGAAGCAGCATTTTTAAACCTTTGTTGTAACCAAGATGCAAAAAAGGTATTTGGTACTTTTTATTAGAGTGGTTATAGTTTTTCATGTGTATGTTATATAAAATAAGCGTTAACTAGTAGTAATAATTGTCTTTTATATCTTCTTGTAAGACAATTGATACTGGTGCATTTTTTTTGTCTAAAATATTAAAAAATAATTCTTTAAAACTATAAAGTTATAATTCTAAAATCTTTAAAATTTGATATATGTTCAATTTTGAAAGTAATAAATCATAGTATGATTTTATATTATGTTAGAATGATCATTTTAAATAAAATAATGAAGTTATAAATTAAATTTAGATTTTCATTTTCTATTTCGTTATTTAACAAAAACAAATGATTTCTTATGATATATGTTTAGGAGAATAATCAAATTGTTTCCTATAAACCTACAAAACAACAGAACAAAAAAAAAAATTTAACTAAGTCAGAAAACATTCCATCATTAACAAGAATACGGGCATTATTAACAAAAAACTCACGAGTTTGTCTCCGAGATTATATGTCAGTATCTATTTAGTAAGAAATCAAACAAAATAATAATTATACTAAGTTTTACTAATTTTCAGGCTGTTGTTTAATTTACTTATAATGCCTATGTTCCAAACGTTAAATCTTTGTTTTTGCATCGGGATGGACTTTAAAAACATGCCGGTGGCGTATAAAAATGACGAGGCAACGCTAGCAGACTGTAAAAATTTAAATTGCATATTAAATGAGACAAGCAATGAGATGTTAAGTTGTAATGTCTTAAACTACCTTTCCTCTCTTGATTATGATTTGGTAAATATTGAATTATAAATGAAGTTGAAATATATTATAATTTATAAAATGTAATTGTATTTTTAGATAGAAGTCGACAGTATTAAATCTGGTGAATTAAGTTTGAATAAACCCACCTACATGGCATTTATTCACTTTCCTAATAACTATACTGAAACTATGCGAACATTTATAAATGATAAAAAGAACTATGATTTAGAATCCATGATTTCTGTTCAAATTACAAGTGAAAGTGAGCTGAACATATCATTTTAATCTTTATATATATTATTCTACCAATAATTCATAAAAAAATCATAAAAAATAAAACATTTTGAATAGGGGTAAAAACGTTTTGAAATCCATTAGACGACATTCTCTGTTTTTCTCTGAATAATTACTACTTAACAAAACGTAAAAATAAAATAATTTTAACATTATAACTATCATAAAAATATCTAGTGATCAATGTTTAATTAATCTTTCTGTATAAACATTTTGATCAAAAATTTCTTGTAATTTTTAGATATTCTATACAGAAATCAATTCACCAGGGATATATTGTTTGGAATAAATAACATAATGCAAAATATTGTTTCATATTGTTCATATAATGTTAAATTAGGAAGAATACCTGTAGTGAGTTTTTAAATTATTAAATTGAATAAGAAACATTACTTTATAATTTCATTTAGCCAATGCTACAAATTTAACACTTTTATAATACTGTTTAGTTTTTATTATTCATTTTTGATTGTTTTTAGGATATCAAAGTTATGTTTGGACAAGATGTCAAGTATTTAATACACAGTCTCGTTGCTATTATAGTTGCTATGTAAGTCTGGTTATACATTTATGACGTATCATTCATTTTATTATTAACTAATATTTACATTTTATGTTAACTTTATTTTGTAGTATTATTGTACTAATTTTTTTACAAAATTATATTTCTTATTAATGACTGGTAACCCTAAATATTCGTTTATATCATTCTCACGTTTCTGATAAAGAGTTTTTTTAATTAATGAAAATGACTTTTTTTTCTAAATATTTAAATGACTGACTGTTTTATAGGGGTGCGTATCATTTCCCATGTAATTTTTCGTTAAGTTTTATTTTGACGTCTAAAATCGATGGAACAATAAATCGTTCAATGTTTGCTGGTAAATATTTAATTTATAATATATATTTAAATTATGATTATAGTAATACTTTTTTTTAGGAGTTACTCCATTAGAATTATTATTATCTTTGTTTTTGATGAACACAGTATACGTTATAGCTCAATTAATGATAACAATACCAATTATATACTTGGGTTTTTCAAATCCTATACAAATAACGTCTGGAATCTATGTGTATATAATTGTAGCCATGCTTTTAGGTTGTATAGGTTTCTTTTTTGGTATGTAATAAATGATGAGATCTCAAAAATTGTTTATTGATTTTTATAAAATTTTTCAGGTTTAGTTACTGCAGGGATTTCAACAAACAATATTAGTGCTACTTATTTAGTAATTGGCTGTTCGTTTTCACAATTTTTGCTTGCAGGTATGTATATAATCTTAATACTCATCACAATATTAACCTTATATTTTTATTAATATAAACTTTTAAATTTAAGGCATAGTTAAAATTTTTACTATTGAAAATAATGTATTAAAACATTTTAAAATAGTGTTGATGAATGTCACTTTCAAGTTTAATAGCTATAATAGTATTAAATTATTATTAGCCAACAGTAAAATAACTGAGTTTTGTTTAATATATTTTTAGTAATCAATTTATTAGCTGTAAAAAGGAAAAAAGAAAAAATTTCATTTTCATACATTCATTGTTATGCTATTTAAACAAAACGAGTCAATAAATATTGTTATACATACTTTTACTAACTTAATATAAAAAATGTTTCATTTAACTAAAATATGGAGTTCGAGAGGAACTTCAAAATTTAGTTATTTTTTAATTACAATGATGTCACTTAAAAATACAAAAATTTGAATTATAAAATACTAATTTAAAATTTTTTATAGGTGCCCTGTGGCCCATTGAAGGGCAACCTACTTACGTGAGACCTATCACTGAATTATTACCTCTATACATTGCTGGTAAAACAATGAACAACATTACTTTGAAAGGCTGGACTATTCATCACCCTGAAGTATTTTCAGGAACAATGATTATTTTATCATATACAATAATATTATTGTTAATTGTCGTAGTATTAGGACGAGTAAAAAAAGATATGTGGGGAGTAACCAAGTGAATAGGAAAGTGACCGATAAAATTAAACAATAAAGAAGTTATCTTGTAAAATATTGTACTAATAATAAATATATTAGCAACTTATTTTTATTTAAAATTTGTTCTAATTCAAATTTTTCATGTTTAGTAAACTTGAATAGATGATTCTCCTCTAGTTTTAAAAGCTAAAAATGTTTTAGTAAATTGAAATTTTGACCGCAATATGTTGGATAGTTAGTTAAACTATTGTTTCTAATTGAGAACAACAAAAACTGTTATTAATTATAATTAATAACAATGTAATAACTAGAAAATTGTTTATTACCTCAAATGAACACACTTTATATTTTTTTCCGGTTTTTATTTTCATTATGGCTGATCTACCTTTCTCTTAATTACAACCCTAGTTTATTATGAAACAATTTTTGAATTTTTTGATTGTTACAAGAATGTTTTAACATTCACTGCGTAGAAAGTTTTTGTTTTTTTTAATAATTATTTGAAAAAAAAATGTATACTAGTCAAAAAAAAAATTAAACGAGAAATATATTGATTTTTGAACATACGATATTTAACTCGAGATGAAAGAAGTAAAACTTTTAAAATCAATCATTATTTAAAAATAAGATATAAATAAGTATTTTAGTTTTAGTTATTTAAGTTTTCCTATTATTTTTGTATAATTTTTATAACGATATTGTAATTTTATTTGTTTTAAGTAATAAATAGTAAAAACATGTAAAGTGTTCTTGTTTTATATGATCAAAAAAGAGCGACTCTCACTAGTTTACCGCTAGATGGCATGTACTATCTTAAAAAAAGAATTCATTTTTTGTTTAAAACGAATTTTTACTTGTACTGTTATGTAAAAATCGTGAACAATATTCCACTTAGCTCATGTTATAATAATATCAATAATTAATTCATAATTAGTAATAGTTAATTTAAAAATAGGCTTTAATTAATATCAAAATGATTTGTTTAGATAAATTTGTAAAAAGTAGTTTATTTAGAGACTTATGTGTCAAAAATTTACGTTATAGCTAATGATGATGCATGTATATTTTCATAGAGATGGGCACTTTATTGCAATTTTAGACAAAATAATAGTTTTTAGAAAAAAACTTATTTTTAATGTTTGTATTATTAAACTTCTTTAGTTCAAATTAGAATTTTAACTTTGTTGCAAAGCTGAGAGGCATTAATTTTACTATTTTGTTTTTACTTTTTAAGGCACTTTATCTTTTATATGTAAATGGCCGCTGTAGTTAAAAAACATGTTAATTTTGTGTAAAAATTTTCGATTTTAGAACTATGTAGTGATATAAATGTTTGTAAAATGTATACATCAATACGATTTTTAATTAATAAGTATTCTATAATATATTTTTCATACAAAATATTTATGTTTTTTAAATCTTGAAACATATGTATTAAAAGAATAAAAATGAAATTTTGAAAATATTTAAAAAATATTGCGTACTTTCAACACATGTTAAATTAATGCTTATATTACATATTATAAGTTGAGCNAATTAAAAAAAAATTGCGTACTTTCAACACATGTTAAATTAATGCTTATATTACATATTATAAGTTGAGCAATTGTTTTGTATGTAGCTCTAGTAGTATTAATTAGAATAGTAGGACAATAACAATTAATTATTATAGCATACGAAGGAAAATGCAAAAATTTTACCCTTTAAATAATATTAAGATCGACTTCAACTATACGACAAAAAATAATCTACCAAAATTTTCGATTGAAAACTAGAAGAACTAATATATTCTAGTGATTTGAGAAATGAAAACTTCGGAGAAAATTATAACAAAGTATTTAATACATTAATAATCACAAAAAAAAAATATAACATTCGGACAAGAACTCCGAGAAACTAGCACAAAGACTGAAAGAAATGCCAATTTAATAATACAATCAAAGTCGTTGAAAATTAAGAATCACATGTGCCAAGTGCAGAGAAATAACGGTTCCAACATTTTTGAATTGTCCCCGAAAAGTTGCCTCAAATGTTGATTGTTTCAAGAAATTGTAGCCTTTCAGGAAAATGTTTCTTAATATAACAAATTTATTTTTAGCTCGTTTTTTTTTTACATTTTAGTGTCAGGATTTGATCAAGACTTTTAACGCTAATTTAAATTAAAAAAACATTTTATAATTAACAAATTGGTTTCGATTTTAGTATTTTCGGATATTTTATTGATATTTGATAAGACAAAAATCAAATTTTTAAAGTCTTATTATTATTTATTCGTTTTGCTAACATTGTCCACGAAATATGTATATGCAATTTTTAGTATTTTTTTTTTCGTTACTTTTTGAATTAAATATTTTTTTATTTAATTTAATATTTTTAATAATGGTGTCTTTAAAATTTTAAAGTAAATTAGTCATATATGATTAATTTTTATTATTTAATTCATTAAATAGAATAATTTACTAATATTCTTTAGTAACTAAAAAAAAAATTAAGAAAAGTCTTAAAGAATACAAACTAGCGTAGTCGAAAATATGAACCGCGCTTAAAACAATTAATTTTAAATTGGATAAAATGAAATTCAATAAACCTAATCCTCTTACATTTATAATCATATTGGAAATTTATATTAAAATTAATCAACAAGAAATTAAAACATATTTTGGTGCTACTAAAAGTTTTAGTAAAAATGATGCTACTCAAGTTTTATTTCTATTTAATTTATTAGGTACAGATGTCTTGAATGTACAGTGTACAAAAAATTGAAGAACTAATTGTTTAAGGTATATTAAAACATTAGAAGATTGTTGAATTTCACTTAAAAATGAAGTTTTTGAACACTAGTTATTTTTGTGCGAAAACAAGGAAACAAAGAAACATTTAAAAGCTTAACACTGACTACTCATGATAACCGTTTGGGAACATCACCAACAGTTAGTACCATTATAATCACCCCATCAATGCTATCATCTCCAATAGTGTCCATTCAAATATTGTATAAAAAAAATTAACAACTGTTGTTGCGGAGTTTGAGTTAAGTGTGTACTCTATATTGTAAATATTGTTAGTTTTGTTTAGTAAGTACTTTCAAAGTTTAGCTTGCTCTACGTCCTAATGTGTGTTATTTTCATGCTTGTTCCGCATAGATTACACATGAATTCATAAATTTGTATAAATCAATGTCAAAAGATTTTCTCGTAAACCTGTAAAGACAAAATTCACTTCCACTGTTTCATATTGCTGAAGTGCGGATTTTTAAACCTAGTCAGCTCATAGTTCATGGCTAGAAGTAACGGCAGAACAACACAGAACTGATGTATCAATTCAAGGAATTATTATTTTCATTGGGTTTTAAAAGCTATAATTAAAGTGTCTACAATTCGCTGCATTCAAAATATATGATCAATATGATAAAATTACTTAGATTGACCGTTAGGAGCGTTGACCAACCAATAAAGACTGAAAATTCTACAGCCTTATATGATTATTAAGTTAGATAAAGTGTATAAAATAAAACTCATAATCTATTTTTCTATTTCTTTTTTTTTGAAAATGTTTGAGTTATGTTATTCGATTAATTTAAGTAAGTCTAATTTTATTAATTAAATATTAAACGTAAACTATATTTTTAATTATATTAATATATTTAAAAAAAAAATTATGGTGATGAAAGAAAATAATTTATGGATTTGAGAAATTTTATTAAATAATTTTAAAAAAATTAATGAAATTAGATTAATTTGATTTACAAATGTATCTGATACATATGTAAAATTAATTGTCAAGTCAATATAGTTATATAAAATATAAAATAATGTAACACTTATAAAAGTTATGTAGATTTAAAATCATTTGATAATTATTCAACAAAACTTAAAGGTAATATAGCTGTTAAATTAAAAATAGCCAACAGATTGTAATTGCGGTACAGCGAGGATGATATCTGACAGTGATTAAAATCATTATCATAAAAATTTTTTAAATGTAAATCAATGTAGATAGTATCTGATTTTGAAAAGAAATAATTGAATAATTCCAAAAGTAATATGAACTCCTATTTCTTTATTTATATCCTATTTTTTTACAAGTTTTATGATTTATAAAAATAATACAAAAATAAATATTTATTATAATAATTAAGTTTAATATAACATTGATATTGAATTATTTAGTAAAATAATATTACGGATAAATTATAAAACATTATAAAGTTGTTGTATAATGGGTGAATAATTTAATATTAGCATGGCTACTCTTAAAAAAAATAAATAAATAAGCTTTGATGCAAAGCTGATAATATAAAGGTATTAATGTTATTAAGATGCCTTAACTTTCTTTTTTTTTTTTGTATATCTGTTATTACTTTTTCTCAATTCTCATTGAACCAGTTTTTTTAACGATACATGAAAAGATCACAAATCTCTTCAAGTCAGTCATTATCCTCAAAAATTGATAAAATTTCCTTCATTCCCCTAAATGAGGAAAATCTCCAAAAAAATTACAATTTTAAAAATCGGTAATCATCGACATTTTTAAATGACTATTATTTACCTAAAACTGTCATAACTTTTTGAAAGATGAATAATTAATAATAAATTTCTTTTAAAGATACATTAGGAACTTATTAATAATTTCGTATATTTTTTCAAAATCTGACCCTGTACTTGCCTACAGGAGAGTATTTAAAATGACAACTTTTTCAACTTAATTTTTGAAAATGTTCCGGATATACAGACACTTTTATTTATAGAATGTTCAGTAAGTAAAGAAACGGGTTATTTTTCTGATTGCTGGTAACAATTGACCGGTTTCCTTACTAACTGAACTCACTACATCTTAAATTAATGCTTTAAACTAATGTAATATACTTAATTTTGAATACAATAATTGACCTCTGGATCGTAGTGAAAATGGACATAAAAAATTACAACTTTTGTATAAAAATTAGTATATTAAAAAAAATTGAATAAATTGTTCTACAATATCTTAAAATATAAAATTGTATAGTTTTTTATTAATAGGGAGATAATAACGAATATATTGTTCATGGCCCTACTGTGACATTGTTAATGCTGACGGCTATTGCCAATGAACTTCTACTTTTATTTAGTATTATAGCAAGAGTTTCGTTATGAGCTATTACATTATTTAATACGCACTGAATACCTCATTAAACGTGATGGTTGAATCAACTTCAAACATAGCAAGAATTGACGATATTGTAACCGTAACAAATGCATACAAGGCATACTCGGCAAAAAAATGGGTATTAAAAGGACTAAACATGAAAGTTCTCCGAGGTACTATGTAAGTAATAATTAAAAAATCAGGTAAACAATCGGTCGGGTTTAACCAACTATTGGGTTTTACTATTTAAACAATAAATTTATCATTTATTTGTTATACAAAAAAAAAATTAGCGTAAAAAGTAGAAAAAAACAAAAATTGCAATTTCATACATTGCCTTAATTAATTATTGATTTTTACAAAATGTAATGAGTATATTATTCATTATGAGCTTTTTTATGTTAGAAATTGGCTTCAACGATGATTAAATTATTTTAATATTTATCAAATATTAGTTTAGCGTTTTTAAAAGTTTTAATGAATATTTTATTATTTGAATAGATTTTTTGCAGTTTTATTTTAATGACTTTTTCTTTTACTTTGTTTATATTCTCTTTTACAAATTATTAGTAAACCATTTTTTATTTTATCATTTAAACATTTTTTTTTTGTGTTTTAATAAAAATAAATAAATTATGAAACTAAAAATAAATTAAGTAGAAAAAACTCTTAAGGTAATTGATATCGCACTATTTAATAAATTCCATTTATACTAGTGTATACTGTTTCTAGTTAAATAATCTACATCTACAATAATTACTTTCTATTTACTAGATTTCATGGTTATGTTAACATTTTCAATAAAAACAATTATTTTTTATTTATTAATAAATCAACAAATTTTTAGATATTTCGAATTTTAATATATAGTGAATATAGGAGTACACTGAATTTTTGTTCAACATGTAAAAATGTATAACTATTTAAAATTCGAATGCATAAATATAATATAAAAAAAAAACTATATCATAAATATAAAGTAACAAACTTTCATAATTAGTAAAATTAAATCTTTACTTATACTATTTATAAGTATTTTACACAGGATTAATAAATATTTATTAATCATAGGTAGATTAGGTAATTATAAAAAATTGTTATATTACAATAATTTGAAAACTAATGTATGAAAATACACAAATAGTTAATAAAAAATAAATATTACAATAAATTCAAATTTTAGTATAAAAAAAATTTTTCTACAAGGTGTAAATTATCGAAAGGTAATAATTTTATAAAATTTATTTTATTGTTGTTGAGTAAGATTTTGAGTTAAATAATCTTTTCATGTAAGTTTCCTTATGATTTCAGCCAAGAATAAAATAATAAAATACGTATTAAGTAATTTATAATGATATACCTTTTATTGATCCTAAACAAATTTTGAATATTTTTTAATATTAATTTCAATTTATTTTTTATAGATATGGGTTATTAGGATCAAGTGGTTGTGGAAAATCTACACTTTTACATTGTATTCTAAAAACTTCTGATTTAGATGCAGGAAAAATTAACATATATGTAGATAAAATGACTAATATAGGATACATGCCTCAAGTAATTATGACTAATGATTCTTAATTGTTTGAATGCATTGATAATATCTACATAAATTATGCAAAGTTTAGGATTTATGTTTAGAAAAGGAGTTGACAATAAAAGAAACTTTAGATTACTATGGAAAATTGTATAATGTAAATAAGGATAATTTGTTGAAGAAAATTTACGAACTAAATGACTTTCTAAAGTTGCCTAATAGTAACAAATGCATAAAGAATTTAAGGTAAGGAAAATTCTTATTTATTTAAAACGATTTCCAAAATATTTTGGTTCAATTTTCAAGTGAAGGCCAAAGTAGAAGAGTGTCACTGGCTATAAGTCTTCTGCATGATCCAAAACTAATTCTACTGGATGAGCCTACGGTTGGGATTGATCCTGTGTTAAGAAATGAGTAAACAATACTTATAATTTAAAAGTTTTGAGAACATATCGTTTGAACTAATTATTTATTAAATTGAATTTTTAAGGATTTGGAATAAATTTGAGGAAATGGTTCATGAACAAAGTATAACAATCATTATTACGACGCATTATATTGAAGAAGCTAATTTAGCCAATCGTGTATGTAAAGAATGCAATATTAATTTTCAATTTTGTGAACGTATATATTCAAATAATATTTAAATTAGAAGTTAATTTTTTAATTTCAGAATCATTGTTAAATAAATAACAATAAAAATAATGAAAATTATTTTATTATAGGTTGGTTTAATGAGAAATGGTATTTTAATAGAAGAAGATTCACCAAATGTTATTATCCAGAAATATGACATTGAATCATTAGAGGCAGCATTTTTAAAACTTTGTAACAATCAAGATTTGAACAATGTATAAACAAATTTAAACTTAAAACAAATAAATACATTTATGTACAGAGCGTACTATTAGATTTTGACATCTTTAATCATTTTATATCCAGCGAATATTTTACGTTACTTTTTTAAAATAATTTTTACAACTTTGGACTTCATTATAAGCAGATATTGTATTATAAATCTCTTAAAAGAAAAACATTTTGATGGAAGGATAACTACTTTAGGAAAAGTACTCATTGAGTTACAACCATTTTAATACAAAAAGTGGGTATATAATATGGTTTGAGTATGCATTATAAATATACACCAGAATTGGCATGCCCACCCGCTCTACATTTCTATTCTGTGTATTTAAATTATTGTAATTCAACGAGTATTCGTCCTAAAATTGTAATTTATCCATAAAACTTTTTATGTAAGAAAAGTCCTAAAAATTGGCTATTAAAATGAAAAAAAATATATTTTTTTGTTCTTTTCTTATTAGAAATAAATAATAAAAAATATGTTTTTAACGAAGTCCAAAACTGTAAATTGTTTTAAAATAATTAACGTAAAATATTCGCTGGATCAAATATTATTAAAGATATTAAAACCTTACAAACACCTTTATATAAAAAAATATATATATTTTTATTTTTATGTCTCTTATAACAAAAAATTTAATTTAAAGTAATCAAAAAGGCAATAATTTACTTTTTTAACAACGATGTATTATACTTTTATAATTTTGATAAACTAGGATTCAGAACCAGATGTTTCTATTCAACCATGCTATACTGTCTATAAAAAAGATAATTTACCAACTTCGGAAAGCGGTGGGTCACTATTCAGAATTAAAGAATTAGTTAAAAAAAATACTAGAGTCTGCTTTCGAAATCCTATGTTAGTAATTTTTGTTTAAAGAAATATGTAATGAAAAATAAATTTTTGGAATTTCATAGGACATTATTCAACTTGATTATTGTACCCATTTTGCAAATTTTGTTTTTATGTTTATGTGTTGGAACTAATTTTAAAAATATGCCAATTGTGTATAAAAATGATGAAGTGGCGCTTTCAAATTGTAGAAATCTACAATGCATTTTTGACGAAACAAGCAATGAGATGTTGAGTTGTAACGTACTAAATCACCTGGAATCTCTGGAGTACAATTTAGTGAGTAATTATAATTATAGAATATAATATATGAATAAATATGTTATAAATAATTAATTTTTTAGATAAATGTTAATAATTTGGAAAATGGTGAAATAAGCTTAAATAAACCAAATCATATGGCCTTTTTGTATTTCCCTCCCAAATACACTGAAACTATGAAAAAATATTTAAAAAATAAAATTGAGTATGATACAAAATCTATGGTTTCAGCGCATTTTACAAATGAAAGTGAGTACAAATTTTTGTTTGAATTTTTATTATAGTCGTACGTTTATATTGCAATATAAGTGTAATGAGCGGTGTTTCAAGGGGTTTTTTTCGTGGTGTACAGATACCTACCATAGGCATAAAATCATAGAAATGAAGGCGTTAAGCTCCCCTTACTATATGTTTTATCCTTTATACATTATTTCTATGTACGCTTATTAAGTGTAATTAAATGTCTTTTGTGTTAATTTTTAAGTATGACGAATAAAAAAGTATTCATATTTTTTAGATTTTTTGTTTAGAAATCAAATTATTAAAGATGTATTGCGTATAATAAATAGTGAAATTGAAGGTACGATTTCACGTTGTAATATCAATCCTAAAATCGGAAAATTGCCAGTAGTAAGTTATTTTTATTAGAATTGTAATCCTTTCGACCTTGTAAATTAAACTTATTATATTCTATAAATAATATAATAAAGTACCTTTTTTTCATCGCATGCTATTAACTATGTTTATTTTGATTATTCTAGGAAATCAATGTATTGTTCGGGAAGGATGTAAAATATCTTATCAACAGTCTGGTTGTTTTTTTTATTGTTTTGTAAGTCATTTTAATATTTGTTATAAGTATTCAAGAAAGTCAATAAAAAATTTGTTATTGAGTTATAATGTTATGTTAAATATTCAATATTACAATCATATTGACAAATTATATTGCAAAATATTAATATAATTATATTAATTTTATAAGGTCATCTTTACATTAAATGACCTTCTATAATAGGTATAAAAAAATCATCTGTTTATGGAATTTCACGGTTTTTATTTCAATCATCAAATTAATGAAGACAAATAAACCTTTTAATATATCTTGTATTGTTGACTAAAGGAAATTTCTCATTTTTTTAATTTTCTCGTAGAACATTTACTTGTAGCAAAATGCGTGTCAACAAATAGGGAAAGTCTTCCTTTTTCTTCTTCTAGATAATGTAGAACAAAAAGAATCAAAACTCTACTGTATATTATTCGGAAATTTTAAATTAAAATTTATATTTCATTCAATTATTGGTTTCATTACTTACAACCGGGCCAATAGGGTAAATTCCCTACACAAAATTATTTTTCACAAAATAAATGTCATTAGGTTGTTAGGTAATTAAATTTGGGTCCATCTTTTTAATTTATTCAGGGATCTACATATTATTTAATCATTTTTCAATAAAAATTTTAAGTTGTAATTAATTTATGAATATTCAAAAATAATCATTCGAATGATTTTCAAAACAATAAATATTATACAAAATAATTAATAATTTAAAAATTAAGTATAAAAAAAAATTTTTCATTAGGAAATAAATAAACTTTTAATTGCTTATTAGGAAGCTATTTCAGCATTCCCAAAATTTTAGAAATTTATTAATAAAGTTATATACAAATATTTATCATGATAAAGAAAAATTGAATTTTTTATTTTAATAGCACCCTCAAAATTATTATTTTAATTTCGTCACTACATATACGTTATGTATTTTTGATTAAACAAAAATAAAATAAGAGTCTCAAAAGTTAAAATCTTAAATCTAATGTTATATAATATAAATATTAATCACAAATATTAATGTAATTATTTATTTTGTTAAGCAAATAGATAAGCACAATTTATTTTTTAGGAGTGTGCATCATTTTAGCTGCATTTTTTCATCAAGTTTTTTATTGTCACAAAAAATTGAAGGAATATTATATCGTTCAACTTTTGCAGGTTATACTTTAATTTTATGTACAATTCTAAGTACAAGAATTTGATTAACATTAAAAGTCTTTCAGGTGTCACGCAATTTGAAATGTTATCTTCTTTGTTTTTTATGAATACAGTGTACATTTCAATTTTATTATGTATAATGATGTTTATCATCTACGGGATTTTTCTAAATCCATTACAAATTACATCTGGTTTATGGATGTATTTTATTATAGTAATTCTTTTAGGGTGCATAGGCTTCTTTTTTGGTGAGTTGTCACACGTGCTATTCTAAATTTTATTAAAAATATATTTGAATATTTGTTGTGTATTTTGTATAAAGGATTAATTGCCGCTGGAATAATGACAGAAAGGATTGGTGCCTTTTATTTAGTAATAGGTTGGTCGTTTATGCAATTTACTCTTTCAGGTAAAATAAATTCAGTAATTTTTATGTATTTATATTAATTCAAACTAACTTTTGATATCATTAGGCTTATAAATTTATACATTTGTTCATCAATTTATTATTTATTTTTCCTAAAATCAAAAATATAACCTATGTTTGTATTTTTAGGTGGAGTTTGGCCGATAGAAGGACAACCTATTTATTTGAAATGTATTTCTAAATTATTACCACTAAATATAGCTGGAAAAACAATGAATAATATCGCGTTAAAAGGTTGGACAATAACACATCCAGAAATTATTTTTGGTACTACAATCATTTTCGCTTATACTTTAGCATATTTAATAACCGTAATTCTGTTAGGACGATTAAAACAAAAAATCTGGATAACCCAATAAGTAGTAATTTTATAGAAAATTTTGTTTAAAATGTTTATTTTATAAAGTATCCAGAATCCAATCCATAAAAAAAAAAATAATAACAAATTTATTGCTTTCAATGATTTAGTATTTTAACACTTTATTCAATTGATGTGAGCTTATAACTTGTCTGGTGTTCATTATAATAAAAAAAATACTTTCAAAAATTTTGTTTGTAGTATAATTACATTTCAAGTAGTCATTATGAAAAAAAAATCCTATGTGGTAACAAAGAACATCAACTTATAAAAGAAAGACAAAAAAAAATCTTTAATTTTGAAAATATTTTCTTTAAGATTGTTTTTGTGATTTTTTAAACAATATTTGTAACCCTTTATACTAAACTTTTTGAATAAAGTAATGAGTAGAGAATGATTAAATCCTCCATAAAAAAATCACTAGTAATTTACTTTTGCATATTATTAGGCCCATTCAAAAAATCGGGGCTTATTAAATATTTGTGGATATGCCACTGAGTACAATCATTGTATTTTACACAGTGAAATTATATTCAAGCGTAAACAACGCTTCTTTGGTAATAAAATTATGTGTATGAAAATTTTTTATTTTTATATTAAAATTTCAAAATAATTTTCCACGTACTTTTAATTATCACTAAATGAATAATATTAATACTTGAAATCTAGTAATACATTTATGATTTTCTTAAAAAATATTATAGGTTTTAATGTATTATATTCTTATTTTCAAGAAATATTTATTACTATTCATAGAAATAATAAAGAAGTAATTTTTAACGTTTTTTTTTTTTTGTAATAGATTTTTTTTTGTAAATATAATATTGGAATTCAAAGATAACTTAAATATTGATCTAAGTAAAAAGAACTCCGTGATATGAATAAAATGGCAACACATTGTACATCATTGTGAGTTTAGCATTGGTATTTGAAAATAAATATTAACTTTTAGAGTTGATATCTCTCTGAAAATTGATGTTACTAAGATATAAGTTAGGTGCTAAGTTAAGCTTAACTAGACCTTATTACCTACACCTAACCTATTTGAAGTAATTTTTGGATTTGATGAAACTTAAATATTTTAAATTTCTAAATTAATTTTTTAATCTTACTATTATTATAAAAACGACTTTTATATTCAAGTTTATATATTTTTTTAACTAGTAATATTTTAAGTCTTGTGATAGACTACATAAAATTCAAATTACAATTCGATAACAACTTTTGGATTAGTGTTTTGGAAATTATTGACAGTTATAGTGAAAACTGGAGCTGAAACATAGATTTTTTTTTTATTTTAATCATTAGTAATTTCACGATCGCACTACTCATCTTACCTAGTCAATAACTTCCGAAATATTGGTTCAATAGTTGTTATCGACCAGTAACTTTTTTAATTAAATTATTATCTATTAAATAAATTAGTTAATTATGTATGTTGCTATTTGAAAAAGTATAAGCGATGAACATAAAAAAATGTATTATGGTTTATAAATTGAGAAATAAACATACCTAAAATAAACTAAAAATATAACTATCAATATATTTTTATCCTTTTATTAATAAAATGATTATACTGTAGATTAACACAAGTTCAATTATGCATAAATTTTGCATAAAAAAATATTATGAACCATTTTACAACAGTTGCCTAGTGTGTATTATGGAATTTGATAACTACGTACTGCTGTGGGTAGGTTATATTTAATGTTTAATTTAATTATTGGTATAATATTAAGCACCTCCGTCTTTAGGTTACTTAATAAGCTACCTCGTAGGTGTTACGATATTACACTCAAAACATTGCAAGCATNACGATATTACACTCAAAACATTGCAGGCATACCTACGTAAATTTCGCTATAAACTTAAGTATTCCCACAAAAAAATAATCATTACAATCAGTGATGGTTTGTGAGTAGTGGTGGTGGGGGTGCTACTTTAAATATAATACCGCTAGTTATAGGTANAGTGGTGGTGGGGGTGCTACTTTAAATATAATACCGCTAGTTATAGGTATAAAAAGTTTTCAAATTATATATAATAAAATAAAACACAATACACATAATATTATTTTGAAGGTCGCAGTAGAAAATAGAAATGAAAATAATAATAATTGTGATTATACTATTATAGCAACCGGATAACGACGAGCGTATACGCAGTTAATTCTAAAAATAAATTACTCATATAGTAATGTAATAATATTTTACCGTATGGACGACGCTGTCGGTCGTCCTAACACTGTTCGTGTATGAATGCATACCGCGTTTACTGAGGGAAACAACTTTAATGTTCACACACGACAAATGTATTACAACTATTTAACTATTTTATAATTGCATTTTTAATAAAAATATAAAAAATAAGAATATACAATTAATTTTCTTCTTTTAATTAATTTTAGTAGGAGTGCGATCATCCCGTCGTCCAAGCTATGAACCACCACTGATTACAATAAATTGATAATAGCTAATTATATAACTTGTTCAAGTATATCATAATAACTAACTAACTAGTTCATTTTATCATTTTGTGTTATGTAAAAATAACAGGCCTATTTGATTTTTTTAGTGTATTTATCTAATATTTGTATAATGCTTTAGATTGCAAACAGCGATAAGGTTTGTAAAACGATACACTGACTCAATAAATTTTGAGATAATTGATCTAAACTTAATTAGTTTTGTTTACTTATTCACTAAAATTTATTTGTGTCCCTAAAATTTTTCAATTCACACAATTTTTTATATAAAAGATTTGTTTTTATTAAAATTAGGCCACGCATTATTGTTTAAACTACTATGAAATGCCCCAAATTTGTGCAATACCGCCATAGAATAAGTGGCGTAGAAATATTTTTAGTTTTAGGGGGAATGGACCCCTAATTCCCCCAATACTGTAACTTTAATAACAACATATTACTAAGTTCTAATCAATTAAAAACAATTATTTTGGCTGATGATGGTCTTTATATCAAAAAAACTATAAATATTATAAAAAAATAATTATTGGGAGAGAGAAATTAGTTATACAATTTTTGTTTAAATGTTGCCCATTTAATTAGTAAATCTCAGTAAAAAATTATACTATTCATTTAATAACAAGTTTTTAAAATTACGATGTCTATTATTGATGTTTCTAATTTTAGCTAGTAATTTTATCTAGTATTTATCCAATGAACTACTTGTACTGTATTCAGACATTTTTTAAAAATATTATAATAACATTATAATGAGTTTATGTAAAACACTGCTATAGTTATTATTAAGGTCCGAATTTTTAAGCAAATGCATATTTTTTCAATAATCTAGTTAGATAAAATTTCGGCGAGTTACAATGTTTTGATGTGTTTTTACAATGTGTTTTTTCTCAGCTCTCATTTGACCGATTTTAATGATCACTGAATCAAAAAAACTCAAAGTTAGTAAAATCTATCATCGCCTCAATTTAATAAATTTTACAAAAATGACATTTTTAGTATTTTTTTCTGCATTTTAAAACTGCTATAACATTTTTTCTTAATTTTGTACAAATGAAATCTTAATAAAATATACTACAATCCTATTTTTAACTATATAAAATGAATGATCTTTTAGTGTATTAAATTACTTAAAAAATAACTTCCCACAATTGTTCTACAATAAAAATAAGCCATCAAAGTAAAAAAATTCAAAATTAATACCAGAAAATTACATTATTTTCTATTTTTGAAAATATTCCATTTCTTCAAACCTATATCAAAATAAAGCTTTTCCAGAGCACTTTATGATGTAAAAAATATAAATGTTACCGTAATTGTTTTTTTATGGTCTATTTTGATTAATCATAGATTTTAAAGCCAAAAATTGTAAGATTTCAGGAAAAAAATTTCATTTTTAGCATACCACGATTGTTAAAAAAAAAATACAACCTTAGGAATTATTGTAAAATTTAAGTTTTGTACAGAAGCTTTTTATGTGATGGTTATGATAATCAATGTCGAATATCTATTACACTTGTCCCAATTTTGCCACGACCCCAATGTTCTTAGGCTTTTATTTACATATTTAATAAAAATGACTAAAATTCTTATTATTTTATATCATTATATAAAAGTTGTATAATTAGTAATATTAAAAATATATTGAATTTTGTGTAGTTATAAAACAAAAAAACCCAGCACAGGGGGGTCGTGGCACAGTGGTGACGTGGCATAGTTCGATCAAGTATAATGATATCTGACAGTGATTAAAATCACTATCATAAAAAACGGTTCGATGGAAATCTTTAGATAGTGTTTAATTTACAAAAATTGGTGGATTATTCCAAAAGCTACATGATCTGCTATTTCCTTATTTATATCCTGATTAAGATAAAGTATGTCGAATGAAAAAGGGACATAAATATTATTTCTCATAAAAAAACTGTGTTGGTCCATACACTTTTCAATAAGTCATAGCATTATAAAGTTAAAAATATGAAATATAAAATCGAGATTTTTAACACAAAAATAGCATACGGTAGTCATTTTTACCATGAAGACAAAATGAAGAACGACATTTTTTTTTCCATAATAAAGTATATTACATTAGCCTTAATTTAAGATATATATAAAAGTGTCAGAGTTTCCGAAAAACTTTCAAAAGTTAAGTTGAAAAAGTTGTCATTTTGAATCTCTCCCTATGGGCCGGTAAAGGGTCAAATTTATAAAAAAAATATATCAAATGATAGGTAAAAACATCATGCATCTATAAAAAAAATTATATTGATTTGTTCATTTTTGAAAAAGTTATGACAGTTTTAAGTAAAAAAAATTGAAAAAGATTCGAGAATTAGCGATCTTTAAATTTGTAATGTTTTTGGAGATTTCCCCCATTTACGGGGAACGAGGGAAATTTTTTCAATTTTTTAAGGTAATGTCTTCGATTAGCTACAATTTGTGATCTTTTGACGTATTGTTGAAAGAAATCGGTTTGGTGAGAGCTGAGAAAAAATAGTAACAGACTAAAAATAAATAAATAGAAAAAAAAACACATCATAGTAAAATTAATATCTTCTCAGCTTAGTATCGTAGCTAAAATTAAAAATAATAAAAATTCATCACATTTTTATTATTAATAATTCTTTTTGACATCATAATTTAGTTGAGCTTGGGTTATGATGTTTTTTTATAACTAAACTGTTTGTGTTTGTCTTAAAATTTATTATTATATTTTTTATTTTTGAATTCAATAATTAAAAATGTTACGGTGTATACACAGCATAATTAACAATTTAAAGTAATGACTGGAGGTGAAGAGTGCTGCTATTTTTATCACTAGACTTTTATCAGCCTCACTCCTCCTCACGTCTATATATAACAACGTTAATAATTTCCGAAATATTGATCAAATAGTTGTTATCAACCAGTCATTTTCTTAATTATCTATAATTATCATTGTCATTATCTAAGTTATTTTATTATATATATTACAATTAAATAAACTTAAGTTGACATCTTTAAGTTATAAGGATGAACATAAAAAATACTTCTTGAATGATAAACTGAGAAAAACATTGAAATCAAAGAGAGTAATAAAAACATTATCCTAATTTTTCGATTTATTAAGTAGTTAATGATAAAAGAATCGCTTTGTATAAAACAAATTTAAAATTAAAATATGAACCTTTTAATTACTTAGCAAAACGCTGATTAGTGAATAAATAAATTATACATATTCCATTTATTTATCACCTATTTTTTCAACATTTTTACTAACAAATAACTATAGTGTTTTTTTTATAAAGTTAAATAATAATATTAACGAATATTTTGATATGCTATCTAATATTTTAGATTTTGAATAATGTCAAAACTAAAGTCGCATTAATGATGATATGATTTTTTATTTATTAAAGGTAATCAATTTATTTCAATTTGCAAATTTACACGCGGAAAAGGTTTTGGCAAAATGACAGCCTTGCCAAAAATTAACCACATTTTTCAAGGTCATGGTGACGTATTTTATATTAGTTTTAGACATTATCAGTTATCTGTTTATTCAGATTACTCATCAACGGGTATACTTGTTAAGGTAATAACAAATGGTGAAAATATGGTCAGATTAGTTTTGTTTTTTTGTCGTGTAGTTTATATTTCTATAATGTCTTTGTACTGTCATAGCTTATGTGTAAGTAGTAAGTATAGAAATAATTAGGATAATTATAATGAGTGTATTTATTAGCACAGCACGATGGTAGATTATAAATGTTTTAAATAATACCTAAAAATATGTGTTTCTCGAGAACACATTGACCTTCTTCGGGCCGTTGGCGATTCTAAACATACATTAATACATTCCATACCTTATACGTTTGACTGCAAAACGAAGTGTGTCTAAAACATTTTTGTTATATACATTATTTTGCAATGGTACGACTATTTTCTCAACTATTTATTTTTAACTTGCTTAACATAGATTTTAGTTATTATTTTTTGATAAGAAATTTGTTGGGTTTTTTTCATGTAGGCCCAAAATAAATTATTAAAATTTATTTGGTCAACGTTGTGTAATACTAATCACATCCCACTAGTAACAGATCAAGAATTTTTTTATGAAGGTGAATTTTATAATACTACAAAAAAAAAAATAAAATGATTGCACAATATAATGTAGTCAACGATAATTTAACTATAAATTGTGTCTTGAAAATAGAATATTACAATGAATAAACCTAAAGTTTTAATGATTATTAAAATCATATTCTTATGCGATAACAATTACAAAAAACAACTAATAATAAAAAAAATCTGTTTTATACAATATTTAGGTGAATTTTACAAAAAAAAAAAAAAGTAATTTGACACTGATTCCCAATCTAGCTTCTGATTTTTTACATTAAATCAAACATTTGAGATAATTATTAATTATTAGTTAAACCAAAATTCAATCATTATGAAATGCATAATTGAAAAATATATATTTTTTTAATTTTTCCAGTATCATTTGATGATGTTAAAAATGAGTGGCTTACCGGTAATGTTTTTTTTTATAGATCTTTAGTCGAATATAACAAATTTTACATAAAGGAGTTCATTTTTTTTTTTTTATATAAATAAATAATTGTACACATATTGTATACGAAATTAAAACTTAAATATTTAAAATGAGTTTTTCCCAATACATAGTAAATAATGAACAAAACTTAATAAGAAGAAGTAAATCAAGGAATATGATAAGAAAAAAAATATAATTATATATTGGCAGGAAATATTTTAAGTGATAAAATAGTCGACACACATCTTTAAAATTAATAATTAGTTGAACTCTTATAACATACATGACCTCGTGTAAAATTTTTTTATGTTGTAGTGAAATTACTATATTTATTAGCTGGGAATTCCTTCTTATATATTTCGATTATGATTATGACTTCATGATAAATATGAGGTCATTCACATAGTACAAATTGAAAACAAAAAATATTTGTTTATGATAGTACTCTTAGCAAGTATTATGATAGAAATGTTTCAAAATATTGGAATTAGTGTTATTATTAATAAAAAAAATAACAATTTTCATTTTTAACTTATTAAGTAGTCCGTTTTCGCAAAAAACTTGCAGTCATTAAATGTAATAGAATAATATAAACATATATATAAATTAATTACAAGATATACAAAAATAGTGTACTCACTTGAGATCTGGTATTATACTTAAAATATTACTAATATTTATTCCACTAAAACATATAGATAATATAAATAAACACGTCTATATTTATTTATTCATCGTTATGTCCATTTAAATAAAATGTTAATTACTATAACAAACCCAATGTCACAATATTATATGAAGTTCCTTGCATTGTCGATAGATACAAGTATGTTTTGTGATAATGTACGTTACATAATATTGAACGCTACTGGAGTTGAATTGTTATGGATGTAGCACATCGGTCAAGGAACAAGGTTTGTGATTCAAGTATATTATTACAATCTAATAAGATTGTAGTTTTAAATTTATTAAGTTACATTGATGAAAATATATAATAAAAATAAGAAAATTCAATTAAAAACATGTAGACAAAGAACAAAATACAATACTATGTTCGTATTGCAACATCAAATATTTAGGTAGTCACTGATTACTCGCCGGAACAGTGCTAAATTAAAAGATTAGAAAGTGATCACCTGATGAATGGCTACAGTTGCTATTACTTGGATGTAGAAGTGACCTTAACATGTGCTCTCGACCAGTATACACATAAGAGCGGTCACGTTGTGTAGTGAAATGCTTCGTTAGTTTAATATTTTTATTCATGTTGATATTCTACTTGTTGGAATATGAAAATAAAATTTTAAGAATGAAAAATATAATCATTATTTCGTAAAAGCCCGAACAAAACGATTTTCAATGTTAAACAGATTTGTATTATCAAAATAATTTTAATGTAAAGTAAATATGCTTGTAAAGTTTCAAATTAATAAATTATTAATAATAAATTTTTACCGTTTAACTATTATAACAAATTAAATTTCATTGGTGTATTTATTATATTATTTAGTGCAACTATGTACACTTAGCTTTAACAAATACAAATGAATTTTGTCAAGTTGTTTAAAAATTAAAAGTCTAAACCGATCAATGCGTATAGACTTTAACGCTTGTATGTAAATTGAATGAACTTTGTACATTTTTGTTACCTATGAGATACAAAAACATTGTGATGTTAGAAGTAAAAATGTTCACTTAATGACTCCTAGTGTAAAATTAATGATGCAATTAAACAAATGACTCAAGCTTTTTGTCATTATACTGTGACCTAATATCCGTCCGTATTACCAATAGTGCAACCACAATCTTAAGTATAATGATATTGTGGTTTTTTATTATACATCTAAATAAAAGGCTTATTACAATTAAATTTAATGATATTTATTATGAGTAATACTAGATTTTTAAATAATTTTAGTAATTATAACATTAAGATAATTAAATTACCTTGAATAAACTTAATTAAACACGCTGAATCTACATATTTTATTTTAATGCTTACACCCAAAGAAAAACCTCAATCAATTTTGATAGAGAAATTTTATCAAGGGTTTATGATAATGTTTTATTAATACGAACAAAATAATTATTCTTATGAATAATTATTGTTCAAGACAAAAAAAAATCATCATATTGATAAATATATCATAGATTCAATAATGATATATTTATCAAATTGAACAATGAATTTATTATATAGATCGAGGTTTTTCTCTGAGTGTATCTTTACACGGGTTTTTTTTTTTAAGGATTATTTATAAGTAAACTACTTGTTAAGTACAAAAGCACACAAATAATTCAACAATTCTGATTTTCATGTTAAGAAATTATAATTTAGTAATAAAAACATAGTAAAATATATATACAAGGTAGAGTTCGAGACATTAGACTTAAACAAATTTTAAGAATTTGTTGTTTGTATATTGACATTTGTTAATTGGATTAACATGATATTTTAGAGTACGTTAATATTATGTTAAATTATTTTAATTTCATTTTTGCAAAATTTATGTAAATACCTGAAATTCGTTCGAAATATTCTAAAATCCTTAAATCAGAGAAGTTACTAGAACGTACAGCTTGTTTCCTGCTTTATTTTCGTAAGTCATATAGAGGAACTAATTGCACAGGGGTCAAACCGGTACGCAAACCAGTTTGGTTCAAAAGTACATCTATCTTGAATTGTTCTTAAGGACAACTACTATCCTCCGTAATGTAGCGGCCAAGCTCATGGACTGTTGAATGCATCACGCAGTCAGTTCGTAAGCGTTATCGTCTAAGGATCTGTAAAACATTCGAGTTGGCTGAATAAAGTGCGACAGTTATTATAGTTATAACGTATATAATACACGTGTGTTTGAAACGCTTGTGACATATAAACAATAAAAATTTATTATCTCCTATGAACATTGTTCGAATAAAATTAATATACTCCAAGGACAAGTAGACAGCTGCAAACTAGTACTGTAGTTCCGTGGATTATTTGAGGTACGATTTATGATTTCAAATTATTATAATGTTTAAATTTACTTTATTTTAACACATCAACGTTTATTCAATTGGATGCTTAACACACACAACACTTGTCAGTTAATAATATAAATGATACTTTTAAGTAAATTTAAATTAATTAAAGTAAAAAATATATTTTTCTAGACTTTAAGTAAAATTTCTTTTCTAAAACAAAAGCCTAGATGGTTCATTTTCAGATATTTTCTTAACAATTATATTTTCAAGATTGTCTTGATATGATTTGAATTCACCAAAATTATACTATTTAAATTTTATTATACGTTGATAATATAGTGTATTATATTACGAGCTGATGTTAACGGTTGAAAGAAAAAGTAGTGCAATCATTAGCCAAAAAATTGTTTTATATCATATTTTAAATTTGTATCAACAGCATAAAAATGTAGATATATATATATAAGTATTTTATTGATTTTCTCTATAGGATTTTATATTATTTTTAACCATAAAATGGTTATATTGAGAGCTTAAAACTATTTCATTTTTATTGTTTTTATAAACGATTCTTGTATTTACAAGTAATACTAAACAAATTCTAAAATGTAATCAAATATCTTTGATATTTCAACAATTTGTTTAGTTTATCTTCTCTGATCCCTAAAATTAACTTTATATAGTAGACAACGTCAATTTTTTTGCAACAACATTTATAATTATGCATAAAAATCTGGTTAGTTTTGTGAAATTCTATAAAACTTAAAACTTAAACTTAATGTAAGTATAGGAATAAGTTTAAAATCGGAAATGATAGACAAGAATCTTTTTGATAAAGTTTGTCACGTAACTGATGTTTACATATATCAATGTATTGATTTATATACTTATTGAATTTAAGTTTTGAAGTTGATTGATTGATTTGATTACAAGCATAAAATATGAATTTTAATGAACTTAAAAATCATTTTGATGAATTGTTTTTTTTGGCTATGTTTGCGAATCTTAGCTAGTCATTATTAAGAAACGGTAAGATGACGCATATAGTACGACTGCATGTTCAATTTGTAATGTTTAGTTCCGCAATACTTGTATGAGTAATGAAGTATTGGTGATATCTTTCTAGACACAACAAACGAGTCTACAAGGAATACTAGTATTTGCAACATAATGTACTAAAAGGTCAAAGCCTAGCTATATTATATAAAATGTCTTTTTAAATTCAAATGTGATATTTGATTTAACTAAATCCATAAAAAAAACATAAAATAATTTTTTTTTATATATAAACAAAAATAATCTATTAATATCACATGTTTATAGTTTAATTTATTCATAATATTAAAAATAATAATCAATATTACAATTCAGTAAATTTTGAATTAAAAATTCGGATTTAAAATTACCATCTTTATATTCAAAAATAAATTTGGCATATCATCTTAAAATTTCTCATTTATTATAAATTATGTCATATGGAATATTTTAAAAGATTCTATTAAAGAATTTTAATAAATAATAAGCATTACTATAAATAATGTAGTTAATTAAATATTTGACAATAAAGAGATAGTTTTAGCATTATTAAATGATGATAATATTTATAAATTGTATATATATATATATATATTAGGGTGTCCCTTATTTTGAAAATTTTGAAAATTCTTCGGGCTCACCCCCCAAATTTGTGTGTATACATATAAAAAGTGGCTACAAAAAATTTCAGGCCAATCAGATAAGTTTAACCCGTGCCGACTTGGGGTTGAAAATCGGCCAAAAGGGGTACTTTTTTAGTTTTTAGCAATTAACTCGTAAATTAGCACTCTCACAAAAAAAAATATTAAAACTAAATTGTAGATCTAATTGTTTTGTATAAATTAAGTCCTTACAGTTTTTCTTTTAAATCCATTAGTTTTCTAGAAAAATGTCAAAATACATAATATTTCGTAAAATTGCCGAAATTAGCATATTTTCGAATATTTTATCATATATGACGAACCATATGTGATACGACCTAATGTTTCATACAAAAATTGTTTAAAATTAAATTTTACGAAATAAAAGTATTAAGTACAAATTTCATTGAACCGATCGTTTTATTGCTATAGCTGAATTAACTCGATCATATTACGATTTTTACTAAATATATGAATTTTATTGCTTAATTTAAATATATTTCCTTTATATTGTAAAGTGATGTATTTGTTTGACTTAAACTCATAATGATACTTACTTCTCAATATTATTGTATAAATTAAAAAAAAGTTACTATATAAAATACAAAATGTTAATTTCAAAATAATTCATAAATTATAACAAAAATATACATTAAAAACTATGTTTTAATGTTTTTTTGTTGCAATTAGGATATAATATTCTATGCTCTTGAACACACAGTGTAAAAGTAACTCAGCTTTTTCATCGTTTACAGTTAAACTTTCATGAAAATCTTCCATTACCTTAACCGCTTTATCTGCAGAGTCATTTACTACTTTAAGTGAACATACAATTTCTTTTCCGTGTAAATAAAAATTATCAGTATTCCAATTACTTGGATCCAAATTTAAAAAATTAGTATTGATATCGAATCGTTTAAAAAATTTCATACTGCTTTTTGACAAAAAAGAAGCTACAGTTTTTTCTAAAAAAAAATATCAATCACTCAATAGTCATCAAAAAATAAAGATATCAAAAATTATTATACATGAAAATGATTTGTCAATATGAACCGATGAAAGAATAAAACGTTTACTAGGGTTTATTATTGACTCATTATTAAGGGATACAACCATTAATTTTTTTATTTCGGTTGAAATGGAATCGTCCATTTCCCAGAAAATATTACACTCGCGAATAGTCAATACTGCTTTTGCTCTTATAGTAAGATTAACAATTCTTAGGTTATAAAAAAAAACTTTTAGAACTTGTCCAATGGATGGAAGTTTTGAACCTAAAATNTATAGAAATTGTCCAATGGATGGAAGTTTTGAACCTAAAATTTGAGTAGTCGAAGACCCTATTAAAAATATTTTATTGTCATTTCTTAATACTACGGACATTTTTACGTACACTAAAAGAAAAACACAATAGGAAGCAGTTCAACTTAATACGCGATGTGAGCGACTAAAGTGGTATAAGTATAAGTTCACTATATCTATTGCTGCGATTTGTAATAAATTTACGATTTCCAGAGTTATTTATAATTTAAAAATAATAACAATACATTAATTCAGTCATACCATAGTATTATCGCCGTACTTGTACGATAAGTGTTGTAATGAACCAGATGATAACTAACAGAATCTAGCATTAAAATTCATATATTTAGTAAAAATCGTAATATGATCGAGTTAATTCAGCTATAGCAATAAAACGATCGGTTCAATGAAATTTGTACTTAATACTTTTATTTCGTAAAATTTAATTTTAAACAATTTTTGTATGAAACATTAGGTCGTATCACATATGGTTCGTCATATATGATAAAATATTCGTAAATATGCTAATTTCGGCAATTTTACGAAATATTGTGTATTTTGACATTTTTCTAGAAAACTAATGGATTTAAAAGAAAAACTGTAAGGACTTAATTTATACAAAACAATTAGATCTACAATTTAGTTTTAATATTTTTTTTTGTGAGAGTGCTAATTTACGAGTTAATTGCTAAAAACTAAAAAAGTACCCCTTTTGGCCGATTTTCAACCCTAAGTCGGCACGGGTTAAACTTATCTGATTGGCCTGAAATTTTTTGTAGCCACTTTTTATATGTATACACACAAATTTGGGGGGTGAGCCCGAAGAATTTTCAAAATTTTCAAAATAAGGGACACCCTAATATATATATACAGAGTATTCAGTAATTTAGGAAACAGTTAAATTGTTACAAACAATGAGTACAATAGAAATTCATTTCCTTATTTACTGAACACCCTGTATACTAGCTGACCCGGCTAACGTTGTTTTGACATATAAATTATTTCTAGGAAATAATTTTTTAGTTCAATAAAAATAACTAACTTACTATAAGTGTGTGGGATGTGCTAATAATCGAAAGCGTTATAGACAATGAAAGTATGTTTTATTTAGGTTAACAAATTATTTTTTATTAAAGTAACGAATATATTTTTAATTACAATTCTTGATAGCTAACTAAACATCAAAAATAATTATTCATATTTTTACTATTAATTAAGACAATTGAAAAAATAAAGATTATTCTCTCAGTGCAATAGAGTGTACAATATTCTTGATGTCAAAACATAATTAAAGGAAATTGAAGTTATGAACTCTGATAAGAATTGATCGTATTACAATTATTATATTCGATTGCCATCTTGCAACTCTATTTTGGATCTGTAAATAAAATAAAAATCGCAATGGAAAAATAGAGATTGATCGTAGAAGGGTGAAAAATTTAGGGTTGTATGTATTTTTGAATGCTGTATCAAAAAAAAATTAAAACAAAAAATTTTGTCTAAAATATAAAAAAAAAAAATAAGGAGTGGACCACCCTTAACTTTAGGTGCATGAAAAAAAGACCGATTCTCAGACCTACCCGATATGCACACAAAATTTCATGAAAATCGGTCAAGCCATTTCGGAGGAGTTAGGCAAAAAACACCGCGACGCGAGAATTTTATATATTAGAGAAGATATATATCCAATTATTCTACCCAACAAGTATATTTCTAATAATAATAATAATAATTTTTTTAATGAAACGCGAAAAAAATGTTTTATGTACAAATACATTATTGAATAAAAGATAAATTACATTAGTTAGTTAAAATAATGACAATCCATGGTATTCAACCATCTTAGCAATTAATTAATTTTGTTTATTATATTATTATTATTTATTTACATGTTAAATGTCAATATGTATATTATTAGTCAAAATCATGTTATACAGGGTGTTCAGTAAGTAAGGAAACAGGTCAGTTGTTATAAACAATGAGATCAATAAATACCAGTTTTCTTACTTATTGAACATTATATATTAATGAATAGTTACTAAAGTTATATAATTAGACACTATTCACTTAAATATTTATCGAAATTATACGTTAAAATAACGTACAATAGTAATTATGATCTTATTTGGCGAATTGGACATCAATTAGACATTATTAATAGGATAGTTTTACATAAGGCAATTCTAGTCTTAAAAGTCATTAACCCTGAAATATATATATTATGAGATTAAATAAAACATTATTATCAAATTTAATAACATTTTTTGTTAACTTTAAAGTATTAATATCTCGCAAGAATATCTATTATGAACTTACAATATATTATATATAAACTTGAAACACATAAATTAAATAATGTTAATAAATAAAATTAGTAATATATTTTTTATGAAAATTATACATTTTTTACAATTTTCAAATAATAATTAATAATATCTTTGGGTTTACGAGTAGATTAAACTTTTACAGTATCGTCGTTCAAAATAATATGTAAATAACTCTTATACCGGACATTGAGCATTACACAATTATGCAGCTGTACATACTTGCAGGTCATTACATTAAATTTACGATTGGAATTTCCCATTATATGCAAAACGATTTCCAGGTGACCTTTGTATTGCAATATCTTTAAAAATATAGCTGAGCTGAGGTATCACAATTTAGCTCAGCTTACTGTAACTAAAATAAAATGTGATAATTTATTTTAGTTTAGTATGAATCAATTAAGATTTTAATGTTGTTTTTTTTTAATATAAAAATAATCATGTATAAATATCTTCAATTTTATTAAGTTAAGATATTTCTTTGTAGCAGTATTTTAGAATAGTAATTACTTTTTTATAGTGATAAATTAATAAATGTAGATTTTTAATTTTTATTATATGGTTGAGTTTACAATGTCGTTCAAACAAAATAGTTGTACTAATGTTTATATTAAAATAGAAATTTAAAAACTGGTTACTGGTAAATTGTAAACAAAATTGTAAGTTTATTAATAAACTTATCCAGTAAATTTTGAAATATTGCACAGTAATTTAAAAAATAAAATCTACGATAAAAAATTAGCATAAATTTAATAATATCAAAAATAAAGAAGTATCAATTATGATTTGTATTGATTGTATTTTTAAATATTAATCTCAATCTGTATAAATTCAACGAAAAGAATATTTTATCAGAAATCAAACCAAAATCTTAAAATATATTTTACAACTTTTTTTGAGATTAATATTACAATGTATATTATGGATTAAGTTTTAGAAAACTTCATATCTGACACTAAAATAATACATTAAACGTTTAACATCATGTTTATAATCTTATATGATTTGTAAACAAATTGAATTATAATAATTATTTTTTATTTATTTATATTTAATAAATACAACTGTAGTCTATAACTTTTAACATACTATTAATATTTCTTAATATTTTAAATCTTGATTTTAATTTAAAACATCTAGTTCATTAAATGTGTTATCCAATATCTGTATGATTTACAAATTTATATTAATTAAAATTATATTTTTACTAAAAATTCAAATTTACCTGATACAAGGCTGTTCTGAAGTTTTTTGTCACTTTTATTTAAAAATAATTTGCTGCTCCTTTAAAACTAATTTGTTTAGCTATCAAAATTATTAAGTTTATTTGAAGATCTTTATTAGCTTAATATTAATTTTTATCATAAAGCTAAAGTTTCATAAATTCTATTTTAGCTTCGATGCGAAGCTGACAAGGTATTAATTTTATTATGATGTCTGTTTTTTTTATGTCTGTTATCACTTTTTCTTAGCTCTCATCCAACCGATGTCTTTCAACGATACGTCAAGAGGTCACAAATCGTATCTAGTCGAAGACATTACCCTCAAAAATTGAATAATTTTTTTTATAAATAAAGACTCTTTGCCTGTACACAGGAGGGGATTTAAAATGACAATTTTTTCACAAGAAATTAACTTTTTCATCATCATCTCAATTTTTGAAAATGTTCCGGAAATACTAACACTTATATATATATATATATATATATAATTAAAGCTAATGTAATATACTTTAGTATGAAAAAAAAATGTTGAACTTCATCGTGAAAATGTCCACTGTATGCTATTTTTGTGTTAAAATTTTTGATTTTGTATTTTATTTTATTTTAAAATACCTTACAAAAGTTTTTCAGTTAGAAAAAAATTTCTAAATCATTTGATTTTTATATCATTTAGATTCAATAACTTTAATAAATATCAAGGACCCTATCATTGTAGTCCTCCCTCGTTTGAAGAAATTTCTTATTCATATTAAAGTTTTTTTACTATGTGATTTTTTTTTTATGCCTCTCATATATTTTCTCAGCTGTCACTCGACCAACTTTTTTTAACAATACATCAAATAATTACAATTAATACACTTAATTGATTAGATATTTTTAACAACATTTTTATTGGTTTTATTAGTTACAGTAAATCATTAAAATGAAATAATTTTAATATTTCAATTGTAGAATATTTTTAATCACCAAAAATTACTTAGAAACGATTACTATGATTTCTATTTAAGTGATCTATTACAATAAAAATGAAAAAAAAAATATTGAGCTTTTCTGATAAGTTTACGGTAAATAGTAATTATACAATTCCCTGACTGCATATTAATGTTAACAATACTATTTTTTTATTCTCATAAAATTTGTCTATTGAATAATGTAAATTTCAAACTTGAAAGTTGAGCTTAAAGTTATGGTAAAAAATTTAACTTTTTTGTATTATAAACTTTCAAAAAATGAACTTTAAAATACCAAAAAAAATAGGGTAAAGTTATATTTTGCACTGATTATTTTTAAAATATTAAAAATCAAACAATTTTTTGTGTTTTTAATTACTTTTTAACGTAATAAATCATTTCAAAATAAATATTAATAATTCCTATGTAATTCTTTGTGTTTATAGATGACTTGTTATAGACTTTTGATATCAATTAATTTAATATTATTAATAAAATAATTAACTGCGGACACTATCACTTTAATAACATCAAATAACTGAAGTAGAATTTCAATTATACTAAAACTATCTAAGACTAAAGAATCTTATAAGAATATAATTAAAAAAAAAATAAAGTAATTAATGTATATTTGTATGAAAATAACTCAAAATCTTGTGTTATGGCATTAGCTTATGAAGTTTGATAATATACGCTTCACCTAATAACAAACTTGAGTTAAAATATTAAGCTACGCATCGCATCAAATATTTCTAATTTAATTGAATGTCCACTATAAAAAGTAATAATATTTTGTATTACCTGAAGTTAAATATAGTGTAAATAAAAGCATATCATATTAGTAATTCAAAAATATCTTCCACTTTGAAAATATAGATTTGTAAAAAAGTTGTATTCAAAATTTTAGTGAATTGTTTAATTATGTTTTTTGTCCAATACAATTTAAAATTTAATATATTTAAAATTTTTTTTTTAACCTTTCTCCTTATAAAATATATATAATTTATAATAATAATAAATAAACACAATATTTAAAAATAATTCAGCTAATTCAAATTGACTACATATTTTAACAGCTTCATTTATTGTTGCTGATTTTATCACAGGATAATTGTTTTAAACTTCCACTTGACACGATCTCTCATATCATCTAAGCTCATAACAGCCGTCCTCATNTTCTGACACTATTAATTTATTTATAAGAGTGAATAAGTAAATAAGGCATAACACGTTACTGAGAATTTATAGTAAGTTTAATGTTAAAGTTATTATCTCGTTATTCTATACTTTTCCTGTAATAATTTGTAATAAAAAATTTACAGTGTATTCATTCAGAGACGATTAAAAAAAAAAAAAAATTAAACGAACATTTTTAATTTTAATTTCTGAATCTATATATATATATATAAAAAGTTTTAATAAAACTGTTGATTGAAGACTAAAAAATCTATATTTGTAAGACTATTATACACACACACACCACACGCCAGAATCACCTTAAAATAAATTTTTAAGTCATACCTCTACAGTTATTAGTTTTTTAATATTCAGTACACTAATACTGTGATAAATAATAATAAATTGATTAATACATGTGTAAAAATTGTTTAGATTTGACTTTTTATTGATTGTTGAAAAAAAAAATGTTTTATGCTTGCCGCCAAACTTGAGTAAAAAAAAGGTCTATAATTTAATGTGGTTATCAAAGCTTTAATAATAAACTAATTTTACTGTATCTTTCTGTTAATAATTCTAAATATTAATGTATCGTTTCATAACATTTTTTTAGTTATATAATAAAACATTTCATAATATACCTTAGTGGCCGCGATACCATGAAAGCCTCAAGATCTTTCCCATAAATTGTGAAATATCCGATACGCCTTTAGTTCTTCAGTACCTAACATTATGTAAAACAATGTTTACAAAAAAACGGATTAATTTTATTTTAATTAAAAACTGATTGGGTATAATTCATTGACGATACACGGTAATTGAAACTAAATGAAAATAGACTAAATAAATGTTCAATGTTTTAAATTCTAGTAAAATGTTTGTCTATTATGTGTAATTATTTTTATAAATACGATCACTGGTTTTCGTCAAACATGTATTGATAATAGAACATAATTTACTGTGGTGTGTTAATTTATTTTTAATTAAATTTAAAACACTTAATATAAAATTAACTTTTAATTAACATAAAAAAATGTTTTATAGATTTAAGTAAAACAATTTTGTCCTATAGGAAATAAAATTTTACCGGATGACCTCTAAAATTACATTATACCTTGTTATTGTCTGTCACGTTAAAGTGTCTGTATATATTGACTTGATCTTGTTCTTCTTCCCACTCTTAGACGAACTTGTTTATTCTATAGCGCGTGTTATGCGACTATAAAATTAGTATTTTATTATTGCGTTTTTACACTTTTTAATGTTTAATAACAGTCATGTTACATATAATTATGATTTACAGTAAATTCAGATATTTTTATGTTTGATTACAGAAAGTATGGAAGACATAGTTTTAGATTCGGGTACCAATGAAGTAATATCTCCAAATCAAGTTCAGGGTGAAAAGGAAATTGCAATTGAAGTCAAGAATGCAGTAAAATTGTACCCACCAAACATTATTTTAAGAGAATTAAATATGACTGTAAGAAAAGGTGAAATGTAAGTGTCAGTTTATTATTTAATTATCTATATTATATATAATAGAATGAATTAAGTTAGTTTTACTATATATAAGGGAGTAAGATTTTTTGAAATTTTTGTAGTGTAAAATTTAATAATTTTGTATTATTTTCAACTAAAATATTATTGTTTTGTAAATAGTTGATAACACATTGTACATTTAAAAGTAATTATTTTTTATTAAATATAAATTTCACATCGTATGAGATCTAAACATTTATAATTAGAATAATATAAAAAATATAAAACTATATTTTTAGTTATGGACTACTTGGACCAAGTGGCTGTGGAAAAACAACACTTCTAAACAGTATAGTCGGTAGATGTCAAATTGATTCTGGCGAAATTCACATGAAAGCATCAAAAAGGGAAGATGTTGGATACATGCCACAAGTAATATGTCGTATTTAATAATTGTTTTATTACTACTGATGTAACTACATTTAAGGATAACATCCTCAGGATAAAAATAAATACTTAGTAAAGATATAATTTGTTTAGATGTTCAAAGGTAGTGAATATTTTCTTAAGAATACCCTCTCAATTAATTAAGAACAATAAAAAATGTTTTCATAAATATTATAATTTATTTTCAGGATTTAAATCTACATCAATTCCTATCCATACTTCAAACTTTTAAATTTTATGGCAAAATGTTGAACATGACTGATGATAAAATTATAGAAAGAGCCAAAGAACTTTCAATATTACTAGAACTACCTCCTAATGATAGATTAGTTGATTCATTAAGGTGACTATTATTTTATATTTTTAATTTTATAAGGAAATTATTTTTTATCTTAGAACTAATTATAATAATTATCATGTTATTTTTTAAAATATTTAATCAACTTCATGAATTATTCTTATGCTGGTTATACATATTAAACTTTTTACTTGACCTTCATTAAAAATATAACATACACTTTCCAGTTAATGCAAATATATGTATTTTTGTTTTAGTGGAGGACAACAAAGAAGAGTGTCGTTAGGTGTTGCTCTTTTACACAATCCAAAAATTTTGATATTAGATGAGCCTACCGTAGGATTAGATCCAGTATTAAGTGCCAGGTTTGAATTATTTAAATTACACAGTTAGAAACATAAATTATTTCTGATTGAAACATGTATTTTAAATGTATTTTTCAGTATTTGGCAGCATTTAATATCTTTTGCACAAAATGGAAAGACCATTATTATAACTACGCATTACATAGAAGAAGCGAAACAAGCACATACAGTTAGTATATTGAAAATAGTTCAAAATACTAATTAATTTTTTATTATTGATAATAGATAGGTTTGATGAGAGAAGGAGTAATATTAGCAGAAGATTCGCCTGATGTGCTAATGGCACGTTGCAACGCTAACACATTGGAAGAAGCATTTTTGATCTTAAGTCGTAAACAAGAAATGTCTACGAATATTTTGGTAAATAATTAAAAAAAACATGACTATGAATTATTCTTGATGTAATTAAAAACAATTGTGTAATGCAGGTTGAAGATAAGAACAAAAAATATGTTAACGAAAAAAAAATAGCTGTTCAACCAAATTTAAATGATGGATTTTATCGTAATAATCGAATGTTATGCCTTATGTACAAAAATTTAAGTCTTTTGTGGCAACAAAAAACGTAAGTAGTTCAAATGAATATCTAGTTAAAGACATTTTTATGGTACATAAGGGGAACGCAGAGGATGGCATGCTCTTAAGGAAAACTAATATTGTAAGCTGATATTTATTCATACAGTTTCCAAGCCTAAATTTATGTAATTACTTACTTTTTGGTAATCCTCTGTAAAATTTACAAATAGTTAGTTGAAATGTTTTTTCGGTGAAAGAATGTATGTATTATTACGTATTCAGTAATGATGTCCATCAATTTTTAGCTTCAATGCGAAGCTGAGAAGATATTCATTTTACTATTATGTATTCAGATATTTTTTCTGATCGATTATATTTTCGTAATGCCAATTATTTTTACCATAATATGAATCATAATTTTAATCATAAAGCTAAAGTTTCATAAATTCTATTTTAGCTTCGATGCGAAGGTATTAATTTTACTGTAATGTGTTTTTATTTTAATTTTTGTAATTTTTTTTTTGTGTCTGGTATCATTTTTTATCAGTTCTCGCCGAACCGATTTCTTTCAATGACTCGCCAAAAGATCACAAATCGTATCTATTCGAAGACATTATCCTCAAATATTGAAAAAATTTCACTCGTTCCCCGTAAATGGGGATAATTTCTAAAAACATTACAATTTTAAAAATCGCTTATTTTCGAAATTTTTAAAATTTTTTTAAAATAAAACTACTATAACTTTTTCAAAAATGACCAAATCAATATAATTAATTTTTATAAATACATGATATCTTTATCAATCATTTGATATATTTTTTTTATAAATCTGACCCTTTGCCTGCCCACAGGAGAGGATTCAAAATGACAACTTTTTCATTTAACTTTTGAAAGTGTTTCGGAAACTCTGACACTTTTATATATATCTTAAATTAAATCTTATGTAATATACTTTATTATGAAAAAAAAAATTTCGGACTTTATTTTGTCTTTATGGTGAAAACGAACATTAAACTTAATACAAAAATTACGATATTTGTAGAAAAATTCTTTTTTATATTTTAACTTTATAATGCTATAATTTTTTAAAAATGTATGGGTCATTATATATTTTTATATTATTAATATATATATATATATATTAATTTATTTATTCATATATTACACTTGTAAATCATAAAACTTGTAATCGGATAATAAATAAGGAAATGGAAATAGGAGAGCATATAGCTTTTAGATTAATCCATTAATTTTTTTTAATTAAACATTATTTACAGATTTGCATCGAAGCGTTTTTAATGATAGTGATTTTAATCATTGTCAGACATCATCTATACTGGACCCAACTATGCCACGTCCCCATTGTGCTGGGGTTTTTTTTTTATTCAATCACTTTTAAATTAACTTTTTTTCGTATAAAAAATATATTAAAAGTATAAATAAATATGTATCAACGGAAAAATATTTCTTTTTCATAAAAACAATTGATAATAACAATAACATTTGAAAGTGTAAACATAAAGAAAAATAAGTCAATTATGAACAGATGATAACACATATTTGAAAATATAAATTATCTTATAGATATGTATTAAACGTCGTAGTATTACCCCAAATGGCTTTTTTGGAAAATATATTCTGCTATAAATTTTTGAGTATATTATACTAATCAAATCTTCTTTTTCCTTACCTTAATCCCAATTACTTCAGGTCGACCACCCTTATTTTAAACTTTCACTTGACACGATCTCTCATATCATCTAAGCTCATAACAGCCGTCCTCATATCGTCTTTAATAACATCCCTCCATCTCTTTTTTTATCTTCCTTTACTTCTTCTTCTTTCAACGTTCATTTCTATAACTTTTATATTAGTCAAATATATATTTAAATTAAAGATAACAATATTAATTAATAAATATATGTAAAAATCATGACTTTTAGATTTTGACATTGAATTTTTTGAGAAACTTTAAATATTTTACTGCTTGCTCCTGTTTTTACTATTTTGCTTGTTAATAATAAAACATTTATACTGTAATTTTTGTGTACGTAATAACTATGTCAAATGATATATATTTTTTCTTATAAACTAAGCCTAAAAACCACTAGTTTACAATATATTGAAGTGTATCTTATTACCCTGTGTTCCCTTATTTTAATGCTAAAATGCATAATTCATGATATTTAAATTTCATTAGTGTTCAGATCAATAAAACAATATTTAATATTTATGTGTTGTTAATACTAATATGAATAAACTAAAATACGTTCATAAAATTAATAAGAATAATACAATTCTATGTCGAGTATAAAATATACAAGCTGATCAATCAACTATTTCCGAACAATGCGCATATTAAATTTTTATGTGATAAATGATATACTTGTATAAGATAGTACAAGAATTACTTATTCTATAATTTTCTTTAAAAACTATTTTTTTTTATTCATTAAAATTAGTTTTCAATTTATTACTTCACATGATAATTTGATGGATCAATGACCAGATTATTACTTAACATTATTGAAAATATTCAACTAAAAATAATTTTTTTATGATTTCATTATTTTTACAGATTTTTGGGTTTTATTATTTTACTTCCATTGATACAGACATACTTTTTCAATCTTTGTATTGGACACGATCCTAAAGGATTAAAAATTGGAATTATAAACAATGAATTAGCACTCAAAGGTTTTTCAAAATGTAGTCCTGAATTGTTTAATGGCTGTTTTCTCAATAATCCTGATAACTTAACAGTAAGTTGTGCATTTGAAGAGCACCTGAAAAAGAGATCTTTACAAATTGTAAGTATAACTCTTCGTAGTGTAATATGTAAGTTTTTATATGATGGTAATTCTTTTAAATTGGGAAATTATAACTTTTTAAACATTAATTTTAATTACTTTTAAATTTATTTTCTTCCTTGATATATTTTTAAATTGATTTTAGTTAATCAAATGTATATATTATATATAGCCTATAGTTTTCTGTCTGTTTATTTCCTAATAAATATAATTAAGATAAAAAAATATAATTTATATATTTTTGTATAAAAATTCACACTTAATATTTTTGAAAAAATACCTACATGGAATTTTAAATATTGCTCGTATCATTTTAATTGTAACTTATTATGAAAAATAATGAAACTTCTTGATATAAATAAAAAAAAAAATTTAGATATTTGACTCGTTTTTATGTATTTAAATGTTTAATACGCTGTAATATAATAAATTATAATTACCAATAAAATATTGATTTCTTCAAGTATTAGTTCTATAATGTGTTAATATAGTCATTAAATTATTACATTAACTATTATGAAATATTGAAGTTTTTTTTTCTAGGAGTACTATCATGAGGTTGATATTGGAACAGAGGCCGTAAAAAGTAACAAAATATGGACTCTTCTAAATTTTCCTTCTGATTATACACAAGCTTTATCAAGAAGAGTCATTAATGGCACTAGAACATTAACGATCGACGTAGAACAAAGTACAATAGATGTTTGGGTAGATCTAGCTGGTACTTATTTTTTAAATATTTATTTTGAAACGTACTAGGTTATTAATTGATGTTACCAAAATCAACTAAAAATTAATAAGAGTCAATGTTTTAGAATACTTATATTTACTTAGACGAAATATTCATACGTTGAATATATTTTCATTGTTACTCTATTACCTTTCTTTCCTTCTAATGTTCAAAGAATTTTGACAAAATCAGCCCTGTTGACAGTTAAATCAATGACCATACATAATAAATGAATTTCTCATAAAAACTGAACAATATAGCTTAGGAACTATTTTAAAAAATTTGTAATATAATTTATTCAATAGATTTAATAATTGGAAACCTGATGAGAGCAAACGTATTACTGGGTACTCAAGATTTCATGCATGATTTGTTGCGTCGGTGCAATGTTAACGAAAAAGTTGGAAGTATACCTTTAAGGGTAAGACAGTATAACTGTAGTACAATGATTATTTATAAATTTTCTTACTAGATTGAAATTTAAGTACTATATTTATAAAATAATTTGTGAATAATAATAATTTATTCAAAACCATTTTCTTAAAATATGTTTAACATCTTAAAAAAAAAAAAAATTGTGTATACATTTTTTTGTTCTGGGAAAGTTGAGGCAGTTTTTTTAACTTAGAAAACAACAACAAAAATGTTGAATATTTATCGTAAAGTATATTTTATTAGTTTAATTTTATATATTTAAGTATGTGAATTTAATATTTCACGTGGTTACTCACTTTGTTACTTTATATTATTATTTAAAATATTTATAATATAACGTTAAATGTATGATTTATCCCCTAGTTTTTTAATATATAAATAAGCTAGTTAATATTAAGTTATCCATATGAATGTATTTTTACTTTTCGACTTAATACTTATAAGTTTAATAAGTATTTTTGTTAAGTTAGAATACATTTTTAAAAAGAATATTTTTTTAGTTTAACAAACCTGTGTATGGGTCAATGGATAGTTCTTTTATTCATTATTCTTCAGCTGCTGTTTTATGTTTGTAAGTATATTTATTAATTATTGGTTATTTTTTATTTTAATGCCTAAAGTCTAATAAAATAATATTACTCTAAATAAATTTTAGATGTTGTTTTTTTTTGCCAACATTATTGACTGCTGGTCTGCTCTTAACGGAAAAGAAAGAAGGCATGATGGAAAGAATGATGGTGTCTGGTAAGTATTTCAATTTTAGTGTACTGTTTGTTACACAATTATTATAATAATTGTAAGAAGTCATTAAATAAAAGTAAATAGTGACTACAGTAGGGACTAATATTTTTTTTTATTAACCTATAATTAATATTTTAAATAAAAATAATTATTGAATGATTAAGCAAGTAGTTCATTAAAGGTTATGACTGTTTAATTAATATTTAATGGTAATTATTACTTTAAAGGTATACAATTTTCTGAAATATTAGTATCAACAGCAATTATGCAAATGATTATTCACACAATTCAAACATTAATTGCAATGTATGTCATGTACATTTATTTTGATAATCCATATCTTGGCGGTCATTTTGTAACGATTTCACTACTATTACTTATTGGAATGGAAGGCATGATATACGGTAAATATTTACCCACTAATTTTGTTTTTAATTATTTTCAATAGTAATCGTTGTAAATTAAATTGATTAAAAATTTTTTTTTAGGATTTTTGATTGGTGCGATTAGTAAAGATTTCATACTTGCAGCGTATGTAGGAACGGGTACTAATCTCGCTTTAGTTTTCACTTGTGGTAAGAATGCATTATGTGAAATTTAATTATTAAGTTATTTTTTCAATATACAATAAAATAGCGTACGCTACTTAAAATATTATCTGAATGTATAATATCAATAAATTATTATACTCGGTAAAATAGTTCTGTTTAAAAAATTATTTTTAATTGATTATTAGGAATGGTTTGGCCGCTTGAAGGTGCCCACTATTTCCTCAAAACTTACGGTCCAATTTTTCCAGTAACTGCGCCAGTTAGAGCTTTACTTGCAATTACTGGCAAAGGATGGAGTATTGATGCCAAACCTGTTTATAACGGATTCTTATCAATTTTTTGTTGGTCAACATTTATGATCATGGTCATATGTATTATTTGTAAAATAAAAAAAGACCCATGGGTAGTGCGACATTGAAAAAGTACATAAAGACTGACATTATTTAATCTTGTAATTTAAATTATTTACTAATATCAAAGTATATAATACATTTTATTATTATATAAAAATTGATAACAGTAAATATATAATGTTTTAGCTGTAACATTCTATGTTTTAAAAAACGTATATTTTTAATGATTGAAATTGCTCAATATTATTTTTACATTTTATCAATAGAAATTTCATTGTTTAAAAAATAAAATTTTTGTTTATTCGTCAATAAATTTAGTCTATACTAATTTTATTTATAATAAATAGTTACCAGATTAAATTTGTGATCTAAGTAAAACCTGAATGAATAAAACTTTATCGAATCATTAAACATGTAAAATATATTCTTGACAAAGTTTTGTGCATCCAGAAAGTTTTATATTTTGTCATGTATAAATGGCATTGTAAATATATTGATAACTTAAGAATAGTTTTTTTTTAAAATAAATTCGTTATTGTTAGTAAGTTATTTTGTTTTTATAATTAATATAGAATACTTGTCGAATAAAGTTAATTAATTAAAAAATAATGTATATTGTAAATTATAGAAAAATAAAAATAAATTTAAATTGTTATTCTATTGTTGCGTTAATTTTTAAGTAAAAATAATTTTATAACTAATATTATTAATTATCCAATACCTTATTTGTTCAGTAAATTTTAAACTTATTCATTGTCTATTATAGATCTATAACACAGTTGGATTATTATCTTGTGAATACCAACTTCAAAATTGATGCTATTAATCGTTACTAGTTAAAAAATTATCCTATAATTAATTTCGTTTCTTTAGCTAGAGTATACTTATAACTTAGGTTATTATATTAATAACCTAAGTTATTAATAAGTTATATTAACTAACATAAATTTTTTTATGAAAAATTCACCAACTAGGTGTATATTTATCTATCTAGGTGTATCTACTTTTATTTGATCACTTCGGTAGATTTAACAATTTATCACAAGAGTTTTGCTTCATACATGAAATATTCCTATGAAAAGGTGATGTTACAAAGCAAAGGGTTATAAGTTTCAACTATTAGAATACACATATCTACCAGTACATTCAAATGTATCTGTAATTTATATTTGTGATATGGAGATCGCGTTATATACCATTGTAATTTCTATTTTTGACTATGTGCAGGATAAAACCTGCGAGTAAGTGCGTAAATATGAATAAGGCAGTACATGTGGGTATATAAAGTTGTATTTCCCGTTCTGGTAGCTTGAAAGTCTCTTTTCTTCGATGAAATATAAAATATTGACTTTTCTAACCACATTGAAAGACTAACGGTAGTAAAGGGATGGGAAGCGAGTCCAAAGGGTATAGTGAGAAAATAAAAGAGAACATTAGCTATCACATAAACGATGATAAACGAAACGCGCACAATGACACTGCTCTTCTTTTCCTTTTCTCACAGATTTTAATGTCGTTTGTTTTCTGTTGCTATTTTTATTTACTTTATATCTCCTTTTTTAACAAAACCTTTTATTTACTTAGCCAGGATTGAATTGTCAATTCCTACGAGTAGATCGAAAACTTCATAAAGGTGTTGATCTCATTTTTATTGGCAAAACGTTATTTAGCCTGAGGCATGTTTACTTAAAAATACTATTGAATTTTCGGTTGTATGCCTTTCTGATTGATAGACAAATGGCCACTTATTCTCATAAAGTCAGCTATATTTTTTACTGATAATTCTGAGGTATTCTGAAACTATTTAATCATAACGCTTTTGTGCTCAAATATTGTGTAAAACACTAAGTATGTAATAAACTATCAGTACATCAAACGCTATAAGTAAGTGCATCGATAAGCTTATTGGAAAGTTTAACCGTAAAATCAACATAAACTTTTCTGATATGAAAACTGAGGTGCTTAAATGTGATCTGGAAATCAAGTGTAAAATTTTTAGTGAACAGTTTTTAATTTACAAGAATTCAATATAAATTTTGATGATTTGGAAGTATAAAGTTTTTACGTACAATATATTTTTATTATTATAGAAACGAAACCTAACTATATCAAAACTATTATTGTCTTTATGTTATAAACGGTGTATTGTCATTTACCGCTACAATAAAAGTGACAAATAATATTATTACAGTAAAATGTAAGTACCTTTATCGAATCGAAAACTAAAATAAAGAGTGTGTTGCAGAGTGGTTGAGGCATTATTACACTTATATACTTTCGATTATTAGTTGGGCAATTGTATATAAAAAAAAACTTATCCAGTTACATGAAATCTTAAAACTATAGGTATAGAACTATTACAATTTTTAAAAATAAAAAGTAAGTTTTCAGGAATGAAAAGTTAAACCTTGATTGCGCACCTGTGATCATTGATTTACTGTAACCTAAGATTTTATGACTTAGTTACAAATAATTTTGACATCGATAATAACTTCACATATATATACTACTCTAATATTTAGAACATTATACACTTTTTATAAACTCAAAGTTTTTCAATGTCTCTGCGAAGTAAAGCTTAAAATCCTAATAATTTAATTCTTAAAACTTTACTTCAAAAACATTGAAACAAATTTACAAAAATGAGAAAAATCAGGATTTTTAAAATAAGATTTTATAAAAACTTACCTTAACTGCGTAAAAAGGTAGAAAATATGAGACGAATTTTTTAAAATAAAATAAATTTAATTTGTGAACAGAGACTACAACAGAACTGAATTACTTATTTTTTATTCTAATGGATACTCTAGTTATTCCAATACTTCAATATATATATATATTATGGGCAATCACAATACTTTAATTTATCATAAATAAAAACAATATTTTATTGTTGCAACTAAGAAAATTGTACTTGAATAATTCTATAAGTATAGCTAATATATAATTATAATATAAAAAGTTAACAAATATTGTGTATGGAATAATGTAATTTACAACTTTTTATTACAATGTAACTGAATTTATGGAATTAAAAAAAAAAAAATTACAAGTATAATATCATAATAAAATAAAATAATATATTTAAAATTAATAATTTTGTTAAAAAGTAAATCCTAAAGTTATAAGTCGATAAATTATTTCATTAGATTTTTAAGTTAATCTTCAACTTACTATTAGTTTTTAGGTCTTAGTAAAACTACTATTTGGTATAAAATTGGATTTACAAAGACTAGATTTTTTTTTCTCAAAATTGACACTCTAGGAAGACTATAATATGCTGTAGTTGGTGAAATATCTTCAATATTAGGTTTTAATTTTCTACCTTTAGACATGTACATGTATTGAATAAAAATCCATCTCATCCATTGTATATTTATAAAGATTTTTAAAGGGGTCATTTTCTCTTACTTTGAACACTCTTATAATACCAATAATCAAATTACTTTTTGATTGTTGGTATTTATAGTAAAATTATGTCCAATCGAGTCACATAATGATTTGATAATGCAACATCATTTTGAGTATGGCCACAAATTAAAAATTTTTATGTTTTTTTTTATATATATTTTTTTTAATTTCATACAAACAAATAAATAAATAGAAACAAGAAATACATTTGTTTTTGTTCTACCTAGCGCAGTTCTCAGAATTAAGTGTAATAGACGACGTATTTAATAGTTTATTTAAGTTTAACAGTTTATTTAGTAATTTTATTTTAATAAGCTAATATGCATGAAGCAATTTCATTGGCTCCTCTTTTTGCTTTTTCTTTGTTTCATGTATAACAATATCCATTTTTTGATGCTATTTCATAAATTTTGAAATTATAAACTCCTAATATTCTTTTATAGTAAAACATATTCACATCACCACATAGTGTCTGTAAAACTGCCTCGAATTCATAGCAACATACTTGATTTATTCAAACCATTGCAACATCTTTATCTTTTCCTTCCTACTCAAAGGATTATTCTTAATATAGATTTCACACTCAATTTTCATTAATTCTTTGTGATTAATTACTAATAAATTTTCAAGTCTCACATAATGTACATTGATCTTTCTTGGGTTCAAAAAAACCCTATATTTCTTTTTAATTCCGAAATTTAGAATAGATTTGTTTACTGGCAGTAAGTTTGTTTTCTTCATTTTATTTAATGACATACATCCTGTAAATCAGAAATGTTTAAGAACCCATCAATATACTCTCTCTTAGTTTGATTTTGAAGACAGTGTGAGAGAATTCTTGGAAATGAGTCAATATGTTTCAATACATCTAATTTCATATCTTCAATAATGTGATCATGATTAGAATGTTTACCTTGTTGAGATGGTGGCAAATATCCTTGACAATTCACTTTAAAAATACAATTTATGATATTTTTATCGCTTATTAATAGTGTAGCTTCAGACATAGTTTTACATACTCTGAACATACCCTTTTGCTGTTTTCTAAGTAGTAGGCAATATTACTATGTTTTCTAACATAATTTGGAGTTTTTAACTGGTATTTAGGTATTTCAGTACTTATGTGTGTTAATATGTACTATCTTGGCAAAATTTAGTCACCTAATGTCCAAAATTTTGATTTTATGATTTCTCATTCTTTCAAATTTCAAAATTAGTTATACATTTAAGGCGATAATTTTCTTTACTAGGAAGTTCTTATGTTTTTGATCCAATTATTTTTCCTAGAATGTTTAAGTACATCTCACCTTTGTTTTTTGATAATTTGATAACATTTTATTACTATGACTTATACCAAACAGTTCATTTTGTTTGAGTAGTATCATTCATCTGATACTAGTCTCATTAAAAATTTTTCACGGGTATCTTCAAACTTTAATCCAATAGCATTACAATTTTACTTTTCTATGGAAATATGCAGTCATAATTTCCATTTTAGATTGTACACATTGCTGTATAAAAACAAACCTCTGTGTTAGGCTAACTGCAGCACACAAAAGTATTCTTGAAAGGCCTTTTAAACTCAGCTCAAGTAGTAATTGGTGTCAAATTATCCAAATACCAGTTCTTAGCAAGCCCAACTAATTATTGTCTGGCAAGTTGTAACTTAAATTATTTTGGCTAACTATGAAGAATCCTGGTTCCATTAATATTAGTCAATCAATCAGATGCTAATTTATCACAGTCGCCTTCGCCATCAAATATACTTATAGTCTGTGTTAAATTCAGCATAACACGGAACGCACTTTCTTTCTTTGAGAGCATGAGATTTAGTAATCCCACTTCTAAAAATATGTTTACTTTGATAAAAAATGTTTCAGTCTTGAATCAATAACTTTTTAATAACATAAAAAAAAACGCTAATTAATAAACATCTTTGATTAACAAAAAAACTAATGTGGTTTCAACGGTAGCCATGTAATAACTATTACTACTACAAACTATACAGAGTGTTCAGTCAGTAAGTAAACAGGTTAATTATTACAAAGAATAAAAACAATAGAAACCCGCTTCCTTATTTACTGAACATTTTATATGTTACTTTAAGTCTTAAATTAACAATAAATTTTTTTTTTGATATCTCATTA